TTTGAGCTCGTTATATATCTTCTTGCCGTCAGGATCCGTAGTATAGGATGGTTCCGTTGGCTCTGTTGGCTCTGATCTTGCATAGTCTCAATGGCCAGGGACGCTTGGGAACGTCTAGTCCACTCTGTACCTGGTTCTGAAAGTAGCCACATGTGTGTTCAATGTCTCTGTAAACGGATAAATCTGGAGTCAGCCTGTCCATTGGGATGGAACAGGTACTTGCGGCGGTTGCTTTGTCCTTTGCCTCTACCGCCACCACTGGCACCGCCTCTACCGGCGCCTTGGCCTCTGCCGGAGGAGCCTTCTGCCTCCTCCTCTGTTGCCACGGCCTCCTCTGTTGTTGAATCGTGTCATCTTGCTCTTGATATGTTCTATTTGCCTTGAGGAATTACTGGCTGCGTGGGCTTGTACTGGATACGGTGTACTTGGGTGCTTGGTGGAGCTTGAGGGGGTTCCTCTTTCCTATTGATCAGGTAGCCTCTTGTGGGTCTATATGTCACTCCTGTGACTGCTCCTGCCTTTAAACTTGGCTTGTTCCTATCTGCGCGTCGAAGTCGTGATGGCTCTTTTGCTCACGAAAATTCCACCGTTTGGCTTGGAGTGTACTACCGATGACTCTATCGGTCGACTCGAAGCCTTCTTCTTGTGTAGATACTTGTAATGTTTGTTAGATAGACCTACTGGAGCAGTTTCATAGGCTCGAGAGTCTTCTTCCTTGAGTTTCAGCTGTCGGCGCTTGGTTGGGCTCTTGTGATCCCGTCGCTTCAGCACTGTCTGACTCGAACGTCGATATCTCAGTCAATTTCGGAGTTGAGACCTTGCACTTGTCTGTGGCATATGCGGCAATAGAGTCCTCTTTCGATCCCTGTATGCGGCCGTAGCTGTATCTCTCTTGGTTCGGTCGTCGTTGTTCGTTCGGCGCGATCGGCTTTTGCTCTGTAGGTGGTACCCAAAACACGCGATCGGCGATTCTCCTTCAATTCTTGTCGGATCGGCTTGGTTCAAGCATCAATATGGACGGCTAGCTGTGCTCTCGACGCTGATGTGCTTGGTTTGCTCTGAATCGGTCGACAAGTCGATCGGCCGATGCTCCGAGATGCTTGGAATGAGGGAAAATGTGAGCGCGAAAAAAAGCTTGACTGTTAGCTCTGTTGCTTTGCCTTTATAGTGAGGCTGCAGCGCACCTCTGGTCAATACTTGACCAATTCCAATTCCTCTCAGTTCTCTCTCGCTATTACAATACCTATTTCCATGGACAAACTCAATACAATCTTTTTTCTCTCAGTGTTGGGTCTAATAACACTGCAGCTACTAGTAATATCAAGGTTAATTTGTTGATTTGGGCGAGCTGTGAAGAAAAAGTGATCTTTCTGGCTGGTCGCTTTGAGTCTGGATCTGAGAATGCCAGTTTCCTTAAATTCCTACGGTGTGCGGTCTTTTTTTATCCGGTCCGCTAAATATCTAGACCGGCAACAGACCCCGCTTCTGCTGATGGGGAAAAGCTCCTTATGTACGAGGCCACCAACGGTACTGCTTATGACCAAAGAGGCTTTGTTATCATGTGCCCCAGAGTGAAGTTGACGACAAACTGGTGAACGTTTGTTGCCCAGATCCCAACCCCAGAAATGGCCTTGAAGTGGTTCAATAAACCTTTAAACCGGCCTACATGCAATACGTGTACGACCGGCAAAGAAGGATGAACCCTCCTAGTTCTCGACGAACAGGACAAGTGGTACAAGGTCATGACACCTGGAGTGAGCGATCACCCACTCCGACATATGACTCACCTTGTGACGGATTCTTGGATCGATCAAGGCGAATACCGCACTGTATCCGAATTCCTCAAGGACGACAAGGCCATGTGTACTCTATTGGCCTCGTGGTCAACTCCCGGCTTCACGTCTTACGTCCGTTGGTTCACCGAAACAACCTTGGAAGCATCGGACTTCGGTCGCATGCGGGCCATCACTGGTGCCGTCGCAACATTATTACAAGCCACTTCGCACGCACACCATCCCCGCCCCCACCTCTACTCCACCAGTTCGCCTCAAGCTGCCACACTGGCCCTTCCCCATGTGTTTTGCACTACCCCCGGCATGAACTTTGAGGCCTTCTTGGGAACTCTTCTCGGAAAGCACCAGCAGGAGAAACGGTGGTAAGTCTCCTACAGTAGCTTCCCGTATAAATCCCCCGTGCCCTCACTTTCAAATCCTCAATACTGGACCTCCCGATATTATTCGCAAACCATTCCCAGTTCCAATGCAACCAAATACGTCATCTCCCGTTCCACCTGTTCCACGAACCACGTCGGCCAAAGTGTCACCTGCGAATAGTCAGAATGATGACACTCCACATGGTATGAAGAAAGCTGCCGAACTTGCTCACGATCCTATTACCGATACCCCAGTACCGAAGAAGAGCGGGAAACAGAGGAAGAAGAAGACACCAAGCTCCCAGCGGAAGCGAGCCAACCTCCACTTAACACATACTATCACACAAAACTTTTACAACCTCACATATACCACGTTGACTTCAAAATTGCCAAACCTAAACCCTAAATATAAGCCACATGATTCATTCGATTCTATTCACCATAATCCTGTATTAGTAAACGAGTTAAACTAGTACTGGAAACGGAGACGACCCAGAGGGCATATGAATTTATCTTTCTGCCGAGGTATCGCAGCTCCCGCTGACTTATTGGTCGTTGTACCCAATGCAGGTATGCATCAGCCGACATTGCTCGGCCACGATTTATGCGATTCGACTCCAATGGTACACCCTGTCATCTCACGATAAACGGCCTTTCCTCCTTCATTGTATCGTAGGGAGCCTTCAACTGCTTCATATACACTCGCACTCGAATGAAACAGTGGAGGAAGACTGATCCAGACAGGTCAATCTTTTGGATCTACAAACAAATTCTCTCTGGCAGCAACTTGCCAGGGAAAAGCTCCAATCGCCGGTTGGACGCTGAGCAACCAAAAAAGCCCATCCAGGAAGAGCCCAAGAGAGGCATGCAAGCACCTTCGTGGACGGACGATATTTCGGACCTGAGCGGTGGGCGAGATGAGATACTTCTTGAGCTACCCGTTGCGGAAGAAGAAGAAGCTAGCTCCAACGATGATGAGGCTCCACATTTCACTGTCGATGGCGAACTCGAGGAAGACAAAGAAATTGCACAACTGGGTCCAAAAAATATACACCGAGGACTTTGCCCAACAGCATCTTATGAGACATAGCCCGTCCTGTTCCTGCAAGACATGGCCAAGATGAAACGCAAGCAAGCGACCAACCGTCATCACTTGTAATCATAGTGGACAAACAAATCCATGCTGCTGGCATACAAGGCGAGTACGGTGGCGAGCAATCAGCCTCGTCCGCAGTTTCTACCTTGCCTCAGAGCATCCATCATTATTGGTGGACGAATAGCAATGGGAATGATTCGATCAAGAAGCCAAGCCACCATTACACAGGTGCCATTTTCGGCCACATCCTACCTCCCGACTCTCTTGCCCGTGGCCGGGCCTGTCAAATAAATGCAGTGAGCTCCGACTGACCCTCTAGTTCGAAGAACCCAGCAAGAGCTAGAAGCGCGGTTTTGACCTAATCTAAACTCTGAGTCGACACAGCTCTGGCTAGATGCTGCTAGCTAGTTGAAGGGCGCCGTAAGCTTCAAACCCCTTCTTGAATGGACTGTTGCAGCCTCTTCAGTAAGCCTACTAGGACATATGGCGAAAAACCTTCACTATAGAGGGCCATAGCTACCGGAACAATGTCGTCTACTTCGTCTCAGCCCAAGCCCTGCAATATGCTTGTACGTCTATGGACACAGAGGTAGACAGCTTGTGCTGTCCACAGCTTCGCGACAGTTGCTATCGCAGCAGAGCTTTTGTGTCACAAGAAGTGCCGTGGGAGGACACAGATCGGTGATCAAGATTTGCATGAACGCCCTGTTGTCGGGCGCAAAACAGTCCAAGTCGCCGATGTATCAACCAATCTCTTGGTGCTGGCTTCCTTCTGGATGCTCCTCGACTCCAGTAGCACGTTCGTGTCTTTTGACTGAAGTACCCAATGGTTCAAGATTGTCCACATTGCTGGCGTTGTCCCCTGATTCCGGGAGCAACGGGTTTGCTGCCGCTTCATATTCCAATAAGCGGCGCTTGTTGAGTCTGTCAGATGAGTGAAATTGTTGTGTTTCCGTGGATCCCTCGATGTCGGCGGACATTGTCGAATCATCTAGCGCCGAAATGTCTAGACGATCAGCACCGTCATTTGAAGAATCTTCAATTAGCCCGACGGACATCTCGAACGGATGGACTTCTTTGCGTTTGTCGTCAGGAAGCCGCGAGGAGGAGCAATCAGTCATTTCAGATACCATGGACATGCCCGTTCGGCATGACTGATTGTGCGACAACTTCCCCCCGACCGACACATCCAGAGGGTGCACTTTCGGTTCGTGGCGATTGGAGCTCGAGCTCTCCGATAATTCTGATACTATGCCCGTCCTCGAAGAGCGATTCTGTGACTGTAGCGATTCCCTCACTTGCAGTGACGGTCGCAAACGCGATTTGATCTGCAGAGAAGACCTGATTTGTTGCACTGATGATCTCACTCTTCTGGATTGAAATAACTGCTGGGATAGATTCGTTTCGGAGAGCTCATTGTTGCAGTGTTTCTTGGTTGCATCCAAATCTTCAGACTCATCCTCGTCATCATTAGACATATCCACGATGATCAGGGAGGATTTCTTTCTACTCAGTTGTGGCAATTCGTCATCATGCTCTTCTGATGCAAAGCTCCCACTGCTACTGCTGGAGTCATCGCTCACAGAACTAAGGCCAGCAAAACTAGTCGTGTGAAATGAGGGCGCGCGGAGGGTCTCGCTTCCATCCTGCGACAGCTCTTCTTCTTCCTCGTCACTCTGTTCGTCGTTGTATTCGTCGTCATCTGGAGCTCTTGAGTCACGTCCCGATGACCCTAGTTCAAACGAAGATGGCATATGTGAAGAATTGGCTTGGAAGAAAGACTGCGATGCCGACTTGATTCCCTTCTTCCCTGCCTTTACAAGCTCGCAGCACAAAGCACGCTGAATGTGTTCCTTGCGAATGCGATGCTGAATGTATACAACGCAATTCAGGAGGCCCTGGATGGGTACAAATATGGCTGTCAGCAGTTGCAGCCCGTACACGTCCTTTTGTAACGTCAATTGCACAATGGAATGAATTGTCGGGAACATCCAAGTAGCGAGGAACGCGCCGCAGAACCAGTATCCCTGCCGTGCCACTCTCCGTGACTGAACAAAGTGTGCTTTCAAAGCATCCGTTTTGCGTTGTAGCTCATCCTTTTTGCGCATGAGCTTCTTGGGTACCTCTTGGACGATTCGAAAGCTCTGGCGAGAAATCGTCTTCATACCTCTCAGTGCTCCTCTCATGCCGGAGGATGCCAAGGAGGATGCTTTGGACATTCTGGAACCGGAACTGGCGACAGAAACGTCGTCACGATCATCGCCATCGTCCTCGTCGCTGCTACCAGCGCCAAGACTATTGTTGGAACCCATCCTGCCTCCTCGTTTGAGGGCGGTGCCCTCGTTCCCGTCGTCCAGCTCGTGTTCCAACTTTTCCAACATTTTCTCCAGCTTTTGCCGTTTGATCTCTTCCAAGGCATGCTGGTATTCAAAGTTGTATTTGTTCATTTTCACTTCTTGTTCATAGACAGTCCGGTATACCCAAAACATATTGACCAAGACAAAGAGGATGGCCAGCCATAGGGGGCCATAGTAGAATACCCATCGATAGATGGATGCATTATCACCTCGTATGCAGGCAAACTCGTCATCATCATCAGCGGTCCAGCTCTCTTCGCAGTCCTGCGGCCAGGCGGCAATCCAACACTCCCATCCATTGTTGTTGTACAGCTTCAACAGCAAGCCCGCTATTGCAGTGCCAAATCCAGTCGTCAGCGGAATGACATGGAAGAACGGTTCAAGGACGTTGTGGATGTACTTGGTCTTGCATTGGAACCTGATCTTGGCACAGTAGTAGGCACTCAAGGAGGCGTTGTACATGACTACTGACAAGCTGAATTGCGAGAAGAAGCCTTGGACGTCGCAGGTCCCTCGATTGCCAGACGCCAGGTAGACATCTTCCTCCTTTGGTATTGGCCAGGTACTCATAAAGAAGGCCAGTGAACTGACGACAAGATTGCACGCACTCATGCCTAGGAGCAATCGATGATGGGTAGAATGAAAGGCTTGTCGTGTTTGGATGACGTCTGTAATGATATAGCTGCTTCCACAGATGGATAGAAAGGCAAAGAACTTGGGAGCCAGGGCCAGAGCCACTTCCTGCGCAGAGTAGGAAGCATCCTCGCCCGTGAGAGCCAGGGACTCTGCTATGATATCATCTTGGCTATCCATGGCTACAAGCTACGAGAATGGAAGCGTGAGAAGGGTTTGGTGAAGTCACCTTTTGTGGGTCTTTGGTCTTTGGCTGTCGTCAATGCAGTGATGTTTGTTGGTGGTGTTACTGCCTCCTATTATATTCTAGTTGCCGCCGGTCACTGCCACCACTTGACATTGCTCTTTTGTGATTCTCCTCTGACGACGATGGAATTCGAATGGAGCTTCCATGCTGCCAGTCTTTTTCCTGTTCGCTCGAGCCGCTCGAGGCAAAACCACACAGTTTCCTCCGTCATGACTATTACTGGTGATGCCAGTGTCCAGGATTGAAGGAGAAAAGGAGACACACATACACAACAGGCGCTTCATATTCTCACTGGACATGGGGGGTTGCCATAGGCAAAACGCAATAATAGAAACTGCAGAAACCAACAAATTCAGGTCTTCACTTGCTGCATCTTCAACAGTCAAGCATCCAGTGCACAAACCAATCGGAAAACAGCCTGACTGGCCTAACAATCGGCTGTAAAAGATGAAGTCCACAGAAGTAGCCACAGATTTTGAAAGCTGGATTTAATTAAGGAGAACGACACGAAAGTCATTGAAGGTTCCATTTCATGACGTTAAATTCGCGAACTAACCATAGCTCGAGTGACGAGTGACTCAGTCTAGTCGAGTGAGTGACGAGTCGAGCGAGCGACAGTCGCGTCGAGTTCCGGGCTCCTCCCTCATTTTTTGAAAACACAGAGACGCGGTCCTTGAATTAACCCGTCGGCCGCTTCATTTGGTGCTTCATTGTGCTGAGCAGTCTCTTTTCTCTTTGAAACAAAAGAAACATGTGCCGAAGCACCACCTTGACGACGACAAGCGACGATCGCTACGACTACGAGACACCTTGGGACGAAGAAGGGCCTCCCCCAGAAGACCGCGAGGTGCCAGGGTGGAGAGGCGACCCGTCGGAGACGCACAGCGATTGGACGATTGAGATCGTTGCTCGACGTCGCAATGGCAACGACGAGGTCCAAGTCTATCATGTACACAAGTATTTGTTGAGTTGCGGACAACGAAGCAGCAGCTACTTTGCCAAGCTCTTTCAGAGTTCGTTCGCCGAGTCTCAAGCATGCACCAGTCGCATTGAATTGGACCCGCTCGCCGCCAAGGCTTTCCCCAACATGCTAGACTTTCTCTACTACGGTACTCGTACGCAAGAAACGAGCAACCCCTTCCAATCGATACTCAATCGGCGACGGCACTGTTGTTTCTGGCAGACTATTTTGGCATGCGATGGATGCGCTGGCACGTCAAAGAGTTTGTGGGCAAAGACGTGTCGCTCGGGACGCTGGATGTCTACTACCGTCACGCCAAGCTCTTTCACAATCAGGAAATGCTCGACATACTTACCCGCTACATTGGACAAAACTTTCTCGAGATTCCACCCACGTCCAGCATTGTCAAGACCGTAGACCCTCGTCTTTGGCTTGGAGCTCTCGAGTGGACAACCACGAATGACAAGAACTTCGCGACCGATCAACGCAACGACGACGACAAGGCGACTGCGATCAGTCTTCATTGGAGCCAGATCGTCTCCGAAATGGACATCCAGGACATGGATTTAGCATTGTGGGAGGAACTCACGGCTGTCGGGCGCATGCCTGTGGTGAACACGCTAGTTGCCTTGGACCTCTGCCAGTTGGAAGAGCGAGTTCGCCGTGGACACGACAACGCCAACCAAGACGCGGGAAGAAACATCACGTCGCTGCAAGAACGATGTACCACGGCTCTCTCCAAGACATGGGATCTTGTTGCCAGCGGGGACAAAGAGACGCGAAAGCTCTTGGAGGATCAAACGCCTTCATTCTTGGTTGACTTGAACGAAAAAACATTGAAAGAGTCGCAGAAAGACTTGGAGGGCCGCTACGAAGCGATGCTTATGGAAGAGAAACTCAGTCACAAAGTAACAAGAGGCAAACTGTCCAAAGAAGAACAAAAGCGCCGTTCAGCAGAACGCCTTGCTATACTTGCCAGGGATCAGGCTGTGAAAGCCAAGCTAGAGCTGGAGCGACTCAAGCTAGAGCTGGCCGCAACAGAAATCGCAGTGAAGCAGGCACAAGAATACGCTGCGAGGAATGCAACGCTACTACTGCAGTCGGAGCTGGATGAATTGAACTGGACCAAACGGGAATTGCGAAAGGCAAGGAAGATTCTGCGTCGGATTCGAGTTGTCCCCCAAGAGGAGACTACTTACATAGGGTCTGGACAACTGCCCATGGAACTCATCGACCAGCTTGTGTACACCGAGCAATCCCAGAAGGCGCTCTTGTACAAAGTTCAGGGCACCTATCGACCACTGATGTACTATTCGAACGATCAGGACTAAGCAACAGTTGCTGGGGTTGCACAACACCGTACCGGTTCTGATGCGATGGTACGGTACCGTATGGTAATGTACGACAACGGAGACACGGTACCAATATGGTTCCCAGACGATCGATGCATCTTTGAATCGAATCGTCGGTTGTACTGGACAGTGATGCCAAAACAAGAACTAGAGAAACAGACAGTGCAACTATTTCTAGCTACGTACTACCAAAGGTGATTGCTATCTGGCCAACCAGGACACTTACAATTATATGCCTAAACCTACAAAGACTAAACAAGGATGCCTTTGCCTCAACGACACATGCCAGTGAAGCGCGTTTACATGGACGGCACCATGGCCTTCCTCTTGCGCACTTGATGCTTGATATTCTGGTTTTTGCGGCTCCGAGGTGGCCCCTTCGGCGCGTGCATATCTTCAGACTTTCGGACATCCCATGGACAACCATCCTCTTCTCTAGACTTGTGAACGTGCCACAGGTTCCTTCCTAACTCAGCTGACTCCTTTCCAAGGTCCTCGTATTCGTTCCAGGTAATCTCGTACCTTGCGCTAAAGACCACTGTCTGCTTCTTTGTAGTTCGAAGAAGCTGGGCAACAAGCATGCAAAAGGGCAGGAGAAGAAGATGTTGAGGAACTCGTTCTTTGAAGGGAAGGACAGAAGGAAAAATCAGGAACTCACTCGCGCCGCTCGCCACATTGCCGTCATGACATCTGGGCGAATATCCCCCAGATCCATGCTGGTTGCTTTCCTTAAGATCATGTAGCAAGCTGAATCACGGCCAAACTCTCGCCTGATGGCTGCCTGGACGTCAGGATTGCCAAGAACCGAAAGGCTGCTCGATTCATCTCGGCAAATGATGTCTTCTCGTAACGTCTCCTCGGTGATTGGCAGAAGAATCTGGAACGCCATTACTTCTTTATTGCGCAATGCAAGGATGCAAGCTGGGGTAAGGTTTATGAACTGCCTAGCCTCCCATTGGTGCTTCACGAACTGGAACTGGTCATTCAGGTATTCCTTGAACCCTGCTTCGCTCTGTGCTTCAACTCCGGCGACATTCTCACCAGCCTGGATCTTTGGCCACAGAAAAGTCATCCACATCTTCTTGAAAAACGCTTCCATGCTTTTCCATCTGCCCTTTCCAACGGTGGTTTCAACCTTGATCTGGATACCATCTGGTACGTAGAAATCAGGTTTGGGATGCTCTTGTAGCACAATGTCAGCCAATTCCTTTTGATGCTCACAACACGCCCTCTTCCTCGGTGTCACGTGCCAGACTTGGATGAACTGTGCCCGTGTGAGGCAGTTCTCAGCGAAGCACATTGATTTTCGTTTTGCATATGTTCCTTTAGAGCATTCTTCTTTCGTGTGTTCAAAACAGAACTTTCCTGAGCACCTTTGCTCATCACAACCTTCTTTGGCGCAGATCTTTCCCACGTGGGGTGTGATGATCATTTGATTTGCCCCCTGGAGAGAGAGAGAGACAAGGCAACAGGCAACATCAGAAGAGAGACAAATGTAGCTCAAAGATTACACTGCAAAGAAGCAAGCATGGATGCTTACCCCAATTGGTTTGGGCAAAAAAGGGATGTGGTCAGTGCACAAATGGAAAGGGTTTTGTCCAGCGATGGTAACAGTCCAGCCAGACTCCTCTTTGCATTGATTTCCGTCTGGATCCCAATGGCTGCAAGTACTTGGCATCGTTATTCGGCACCACTCGATTGTCACTTGAATCTCCGAGGATCCACTGGTTTCTGTGCATGGGGATCGAAGAAGAAAGATTGTGATGGTAAGGTAAGGTAGCCAGCGAGAGTACGGTACACGAAAACCCGAGATCATGGTATCGGTGGTACATGAAAAATCTGTGAGTGGGGGGGGGGGGACGGAGGAGAACGCTCCAGGGCTCACCCAAATCTTCTTTAGCTAAAATACTAGTTTAGCTATGCATAGTAGACTAACGTCCTTGCCCGTGCCGCGGCCGGTATCTGGCTAAAGGTAGCAGATCACTCTTGTCAATCAAGATCTCTGCTACCGGTATACCCAGCTAGATAGCTAGCTAGGTAGACACGCATGTACAAAAGATTGCTGTGACTCGACTCAGCTTGGATCTTCGAGTAACTCCCGCGACAGCAGCTCTGAACGGCGTCGACTTGACTCGACTCGACTCGATCCCTCCATCCCCTTCCATGATCGTGACTCAGTACTCCTACAGCAGTCTGATGAGTCATTGACAACCTTCATGATTTTCCTTGGGAATTCCAACACACAACAGAACTTCTGAACTCGTTGCGTGACGCTCTCCAATGACAGACATCTCTCTCTGTGGATCTGTCTGTATTCGATTCATTTGACCGGCTTTGTTAGTTATTAGTTAGAAAGCTCGTCGAAGGAAGACATTGAGTTGATCTGAGACAGCCAAGATGTGGCGCCTCTCTGTAGCTCTTTACCTGCTTTACCAAGCTGCCAACATTCCATCAGCGATTGGCTTTGCCCCAGCCGGTGGTGGATTCATGTTGACATTCGAGAAGAGCTCGGTTGACACTCATTATCACAGGGAGGCAAAGCCTCGCAAAACACAGAAACTCTGGATGAGTGACATTGAGAATGACAACAATACTAGTAATCATATGCAGACTGAGGAAACGCCCGACACGGAGACTACACCGGAGGCTCGCAAGAGGGTTTTGCCGGAACCGGTGCGACAAGTGATGAAGTTTCTGGATGACGCCTACAGTGTCTTTACCATCTTTTTTGGTGCCTATTTTGCTGTGGGTATTCTTCTGAATCTCTGCGGTTATGGCTATCGCCTTTCCAAGGATGGTTATGAGATTGACACTATTCAACATATCCGAATGGAAAACCAGTTCAAGCGAGCTGCCCAGGAAATGGCACCAGAACATCAACCTCCATCGGCACTACCCAAGTGAGACTTGGTGATGCACTGTAGGAATGGACAGACATTGTCAGATACCGGTATGTGTTCGGGATGATCATGGCCGTTTCACCGTGATCTATTTGTTTGGTAAATTCATAGTAGCGATTAGTTTGCATGTCTTTAGATTGCCCACTAAAGCTGTAGAGCAAAACCTTTTCTGCTGACAGGATAATGGATCCGGGCAATACCATTGCTGCCGGATTTGGGAGCAACATCATCGATCTAATGCCAAGCGCCGTAGGGGTTCGGAACGCAGAGCTGAGGTTTGCACAAAGTGTCCTGCCAGTCTGGTCCAGTACATAGATGCTGGTGGGAAAGTCTCTAAGGGCAAACTTAGTGGTCCCTTGACCCAAACATCGGAGTTTGCCTGTGATTCTTGACTCCGGGTGAGCTATTAGCAAACCTGGAATATTGCTTGATGGCTGGACCTGCGGACCGGGTTCCCACTAACATTGGTGCAGGACAATCAATGGTGGGGTGACCTCCAAATAGACGGACGGTACGGGCCGGGACAAAAGGGGTGGATGATCTGCTCACGGCTTCAACCAAGCGGAATGAGATGCAACACTCCCAAGGTCCGTCGTCGGGACTGTCACTCCCGCCTCTCGATGCAAATCCTAATCCTTTGGCCCCGTGTTGGTCCGCAGTTTTCCTAATCCCATGGAGCCTAGCTAGCTAGTCCTGAGTTCTGCATCTTCTTTGGCTTTACTAAGCCTAAGATGTAGCCTCCCCGAGATTCGCCAGTGACCCTGAACAAGTAGTTACGGGGGGTTTACGACTGCGGAGTAGGGAAACGCAATGATTTCGCCTCGTTCATTCCCGACCATTCAATCCGCGGGAATCAAATCACGATTCGATTAAATCATTCATCCCCATCCCAATCTCAAAGTGGGAACCTCGATCTTGTAAAGACTAATCCAAGACTGGCCTCCTCTCATGGCTTGCCTGATTCGATTCGATTCGATTCGATTCGATTCGATTCGATTCGATTCGATTCGATTCGATTCGATTCGATTCGATTCGATTCGATTCGATTCGATTCGATTCGATTCGATTCGATTCGATTCGATTCGATTCGATTCGATTCGATTCGATTCGATTCGATTCTCACAAAAAACTCAACAAGCTAAAACAAAAGTTACACAACCTAAACAGACAAAACCAGCAGCCACCTTGATGCTCACAGCCACAGCCACCACCCCCATTTCTGCCAGCAGCAACAGCAACCCAGAGACTTCTGATAGTGAAGTTATCACCTTGAAGAAAGCAATTCTGGACCTAGACAACATGGTTGCTCCACTTCGTACCAAAACTCAAAAGAAACTTGACAAGATTGAGGAGGAGATTACCAACTGCAACTTCTTGATTGATTCCGGTCTTGGCTCTAAGAAGGATCAAGCAGAGCTCAAGAAGACGAAGCGCCAACTACGAAATCGCCGTGTCAAGCTCTGGGATGAGCTGAAGGCCCTCCCTGACTTGGAGGGGGAGCGTAAGGAGTTGCAGATTCAGCTCAAGGATCTTCGTCGCCGCTATGGAATTCTAGATGAGGAAATGTGACACGAGGCCCCCCGTTGGAACCCTATCATAGACCTTAAACGTATAATCCTAGCTAGAATATTGCAATCTGCATTCACTGAAAACTTAGCTGCCGGCAGAAAGGGGTACGACTTTGGCGTCCCTGATAGCTCGCCGTCATGCCTTCTGTTGCCTCCTGCTCCTCCATTGTTCGCATTGCTATGCATGTTTGCATTGCATTGACAATGAATTCCAGTCCTTCAGAACTTGGTCCTATTCTATTCTGACAACAATTCGTATTGGCATTCAATTCTGAAGGGGGGACAATGCTGTGGATGGGTTGCCAATGCCAATGAATGAAGCTTTGGTGCCGTCGTGCCATGGTTTTGCTTTGGCTTCTCATCTACTCCAGCATCTCCAATCTCCAAGCTCCCTTCCAAGTTCTACATGTACATGTAGCTACTAGTAGCGATTATAAAATGCAGACTCCCGGAAGTGAAAGATTTATCAAATCAGAAGCAAAATAACTAGAGATATTTACGAGAAGGAGAAGCAGGAATGAAAAAATCTCGTACTTGACAGCTTTGGTTAGGAATTTACTATTTTCTAGCTAGATAGCTAAGATCACAACCAAGCTTGGCCAAAGGACCATTGGACGTCGCATCACTTCAGTGGAGGGCCCGTAGCAAGGTGGGAGACCGCCTGATGATAGATGTAGGCTATCGCTGCTGTGAACTGAAGCCGCTGTCAATGGTAAGTTTTCAATTGCTCGTCCCTGGAGACTTGATCTTGAAGATGGAAATTGGATTGGCCCTTCCCTGGCTCGGGCAGTCTCTGGCTCAGAGAGTAGACTATCAAGACGATCTGAATGCCTTGAAGCCTAGCAAGATGCTGACATGAAGGAATGGATGGCAGAATTCACATCGTCTGGATTTTCATCATGTGGGCAATGGCCTGCGGACACGTCCACTCGCAGAGTCTGCTTGTACAGCGCTTGAATCTTTTCGCAGGCGTCAGTCTTGAACCAGGGATCTTTCGTTCCCCAGCAAAGCATCAGAGGGCACTTGAGTTGAGCCAACAAGTCGTCTGCAAAGATCTTTGTACCCGCTCCGTTCTTTGATAGCACTCGGTAGTACACTTCTGCTGCATTTTCATGCAACGAGGAATGCTTGATGGATTCAATCAGTTCTCCATCAACATTTGCTGTGTTCACTGCGTAGACGTGGCGAAGGACTTTCTCGATGCGTTCTGGCTGCTTGGTGAACTCAAAGGAAGCTCCCAGCACGAGTCGCTGGAAGGATCCCCACATCTTCGTGATGAGTTTGGGATTTGCTTGATCCTCCTCGCACTTGGTGGACACGAAAGCATGCTTTGGTTCTGTGCTCTTGAATCGAAGAGCCGCATTCATCAGAATGCATCCCGTCACGAGATGCTGCAGCTTCTGCGATGCCGCGGCATAGAGCGCCGCCAAACCACCTAAGCTGTTGCCAGCGATAGCGGTTGGTCTTCCAATCACTTCTTGGACAAAGGCAATCGTCTGGTCTCGCCATACTTCCGGTTCATAGTCCTGGACTGGCATGCTGCTGCATCCAAATCCGAGCATGTCGAATGCGTAAACATGATAGTTTTTGGACAACTCGGGCAAGTTATGGCGAAAGTGGAAAGAGCTCACTCCAAATCCATGGATGAGCAACAAGGCTGGCTTGGAAGGGTCACCCATTTCAATATAGTTGATCTTGTTACCAAGCCAGTGCCATGTGTTGTGGCCCTCTGGTTTCCATGAAACCCGTCGATGTGCCAAATCGGGTTCGCAGTGGCTCGTCACTTCCTTACCTTCTTCTACCAATGCTCCAATGTCGACCGATGGGCCCCGGATGCCTGGGATGGGAAGTACTTCCGATATGTAGGCGGTGGACATCGAAAAGGATCCTACCAAGAGCAGGTGAATAAGAGATGATAGAGGTGCCATCATTGATAGTTGTTCGTGATAATGATAGTTTCAATAGCTTGTCAGGGTTTCAAGTTTATGGCTTTGACAGAAGATATGATCGATGATACTCCTCAGAAGATCTTGTTTTGAGTGGCATACTAGTACTATTGCGACAACTAGTATCTTCAACAGCCAACAAAGAAGAAGAAAATGATGGGGTGATGCTCTTCGCTCTTCGGTCCACCAGCCTGCTCGGGAATTCGCGGTAGAGGTTAGCTTCCTGAAAAGATAATGCAAAACTTCAATTTGACATAAATTCAAAAACGGTTCAAAATGCAATATTTGAGAGTAAATAGTTGTTTATTTTCCTAATTCATTCGTTGATTATTATCATTTAAGCATGCGAACTCTCAAATTTTGTCTTTTTGGGTCGTGCCCAACAAGAACTTGTGACGCCTTGCTGCACAGCTGCACAGCAATGCCTGCTCTCAGCTAGACTACGCTGCGCGCTGCGCAGCTGCAATGTACCAGTCAATGTGACTGGGTAAACTCTTGCTTGTTTGCTTGGTGCTGTGAGTTTTACCATAGTACTGCTCGTTCATTCGGAAGAGACCGATTTGCAGTCAATTGAAAATCAAGAAGACGAAGAATTGTTTTTCGGACTAAAGGTAAAACAACCGAAGTTGGAGCTTCACCGGTTTCATGCTCATCTGTGACTGCTTCCAAAAGCAAAGGGATGGGGATGTGTATTCTTTCACAGCAACACGGGCACATTGGAAGCAGTCCTGAGCACGCCAAGAACCTTTCTTCTCGTGGGTTACACAGCTGAAAAACCTGCAATGGCGATGGGTCATAACTTTTGCTGTCGTACCCTGGCACCCAACCCCTGGTTCTACCTTGAGCGAACGTGGATAGCTACCGACTGGCTAGCTAAAAGACATACAGTTTTCCCTCAGACCTCAAACATGGTGAAGATCTCCACCTTCTTGGCTAGTTGCACTCCCGGGTTGTTCCTGGCATCCCGAAGCAGTGCCTTTACTGCTCCTCTGCCAACAACTCAAGCCCACGCAACTCCCTTGAATTTATCTGCTGGTGGTAATGAAAGTTTGGAACGAGTCACTTCCTCGTTGACCCATCAAGCCGAAGAATTGGAATCGGGAGGCGACCAAGAGCGGGAACAAAAGGCAGCACATTTATTTGAATCGATTGATCAGGATGGGGATGGCCAACTAAAGCTTTTATGAACTCCATGTGGCTTTGGAGGCAGCCCTACGAGAAGAACTAGAAGAGGACGAAACCGAGGAGATTATGGAACTCTTCCGGGACAACCTGATGGAATTGGCTGGTCAGATTCATCTCTTGACATCTGGGACCTTTTAATAAGCATGTGATACGGTAGTGTAATGCAGTTGTAAATAGCAGACTTTAGAAAATCACAGAAGGGCTAGGACATGTTGCATAAGTTGTTGTTTGTTGTTGGCTGTTTGGAATACCGGTACCGTGTGCCGGAACTGTATCGCACCGTCATGGCATGAGAAGCTAGCAAATGGGCATCTTCCAACCCGGCCACCAGAGGCGACAAAAATGACCAGAGACCAAACAAAAACAAGGCCAGAGGATAAAAAGCGGATTGTTGCCTGTTTACTCAAATTCATATGCATGCTATACAGCATTGTAGCTTGGGGGTGGAGCTGAGATGCTGAGATTAGTTTCCAGACGGTGATTCTTCGAGCGCCCATTCTTGCCGGCAAATAGGACATGTTCCTCCTTCAAAAGACAAGTAATAAGTAACCAAGTGAGTAGTGGACCCGGCAAAAATGCAGACATGAAATGAAAGGAATGAAATAAATGACATCTGTCCACTCACGGGCCGTGGGTCCATTGAGCCAAGTGACGACACATTGTAGATGAAAGCTGTGTGAGCATTTTCCCCATACAACGGGACAATCCTCCCCCGGCCATCTTCCTCCAGGGGCAACACCTTCGTAAGCAGATTGACAAATACCACAAACTTCATTGGGATCATGGTTTCCTGTGTGTGTGTGGCAAATTAGTAGTAGCACCAATGATAGAAAAATGCAACCAAAAAGTGGTTGAGACGACGTGATTTCCTTCTCCAATAATAACCAAGACTCTGTCAATTGGTAAAGTAGTAGTAAAGGTATCAACTTACCCCAGACCCATTGCGCCACAGCATGATGTCTTTTGATTCGGACCGTTAATTTGGACCCTTTGGAGTTGGAGGAGGTCGGAATTCCAGCCGCAGTGGTGGCAGAGGAGGAAGTGACCACTGCCGTGTCACTGCGCCGCTTACGGCCTGCGGTGGCTGAGGATGTTGAGATTGTCGACATGTTGTTTGACAAATAGATGATTGATAGATAACAGATGATAGTAAAGTAAACTTCTATCGTCAAGGTCAGCAATGGAAGCAACAGCAATGCTCTTCGTCTCTCGTCATTCTTTTCAATTTCCAGTGATCTCGCGCGATCACGAGGTTAAATCTTTGGGTAACCTCAATTCGTTAAATCTTTGCCTTGGCTACAAGCGCTCTCACCACCACGAAAAGATCGAAGCAAGATCCAAACAAACTTAGACCCAAAAGCAAAGGAATCACAGCAATCACAATCCACAGAATGACAACCGAAGAGACTTCCATTACATCGGCAGCTGGCACTACTGCATCTACTACTACTACTAATAAGAGCAGTGACTTGAGCTTGGCGGAGCGATTTCATCATGCGATTTCTACCCTAGACAGCCAACCACTTGACGCAGCGCGAGATTTGGAACGACTGCAACAAGAAGTGGCGCAATTGTCGTTGTTTTCCTCCAACGAAGGATTGGAGGATGTCAGTACCAAGTCGTTGCCCTTGTTGGCTCTGGAACATCATCTGGCACTGGCGTATACGCGATTGCCCAGTGGCCGCGGTCAAATGAATGAACGGCAATCGCAGTTGCGACGCAGTGTCGATTTGTGGGCGGCCTTTTTGCACAAATTGGAGACCCTCGAGTCCAACAGCAGTAGTAGTAATGATGATTTCCAGCTAGTGACACCGGCCGAACAAAAGGAATATCAAATGCTGCTGGAATGTTCATCGTCGACCACAACCACAGAGGATGACAACAACAATTCACAACAACCACCTCAACTTCCCGCGGCCAATCGAGACGACAAGATTGCTCGTTTCAAAGCCAAACAACAAGCGCAAAAAGAAGTGGAACGACTGAAATCACTGCGAGAACGACGCAGTCGAATAGGAGTAGCGGCAGAAGAAGTCATGGACGAATTTGATGAAGAAACGTTGGATCGCAGTGTCGCCATGACCAATCTACTCTTGGCCAAAGCAGAAGCACTGGAAGAATGGGCATCCACACTGCGAGAACTCCCCATGATTGCTCGCATGGTACAAATGGAACAAGATAGAATGGAAGGACGAATGCAGCCACCACCACAACGAGCAACCGCTTCGGGGTTGCAAGTGACGCACATTACGCTCGATGGCGCTAATAATAATCAATTGCAATTCAAACGAGAAGAAATCAAATCGCAAGTCTTTCGACCGGGATGGAATCAACCCACCATGAGTTTACACGAATTGGCCGATCGAGAACGTGCCGATGCCATTGCACGAGGAGAACGACAAAAGGCAGCCGAAGCCAATCAACAGTTACAGCCACGACGATACGATCAGCTGCAGCGAGATGGGCTGGAGGATAATGCCAATGCCGTCGATGCCAGTGCGGCCCTCGATCAAGCATGGGATGATTGGAAAGATGAAAATCCAAGAGGAAGTGGTAACAAGCGAGGAGATCAAGGTGATCGGAATTTTTAACCTTCTGTTGTAGAAACGATACTGGTTGAAAAAGTATGCTTGCCTTGCCTGCTATGCAACCGGCCGAGAAGAGACCATTGACTGGAAATAGCTAGCTACGGTAGAGTTAGAAAACCGGTTGTTGTTTCTTCTCTTACTTTCTCTAAATCGATATGTATTGTGCGATTTGACAAAAACCTACCGTGTAGGTGCTCACGGACTACATACTACATGTACAAGTTCATGGATGACACGGGTAGTCCCTCTGCAACTATACAATGCAAAAAGTGATGTGGGACTTACTTATACACTTCCAATCCGATGTCCCGGCCAACTAGAGTCTCTGGAAGGGGTGCAAGTGGAGTAGACTCGACTGACTCAACTCTCACTGGCCAATTTGCCATCCGCAAAGAGGGAGTTTCCACGACCGTGTGCCTCACACACGGCGGCATGAAATGCTTCCACGGTGAGTTGACTCGAATCCAACATGATGCTGCAGAAGGCTCGCCGCACAATCTGAGCGAGCTTTCAAAAATGAGTACACCAGCACCAGCAGACCGTTGTGTATGTTGTGAAGCTCTGCGCAAGAGGCTTCAGGAAGCGCAAAAAGATCATAGCACCCAAACAAAGTGTCACAAGAAAAATCCAGCGGATGATCTAATCTGCCCCATCACCAGAGAGCTACCTTGTGTCCCTGTCATTGCCATGGATGGTCGAACATATGAGGAGGAGGCCATCAAGACTTACTTCAGCACACAACATGCAAAGAGTGCTCCAATCAGATCTCCCATCACCAATGAACCCATGGGCAATGCCTTGCTCCGTGCCCCTCATATTAAAAGCTTGATTTCCACATTAATTGAGAATGATGCCCTTCAAGGTGATTTGGCAAAGACTTGGCAGGAAAAGGTCCAGGAAGTGAAAGAGAAGGAAGCATGGCTAGAAAAAGCCCATGAAGGGTTTGTGCTGGCCATGCTGAAAGTGGCAGAAGGGTATTCCAGAGGAGTCCATGGCTTTGAAAAGGACCGACCCAAGGCGTACCGATGGTACCAAAAGTCGCATGATGCTGGCAGTGTGAAAGGAACAGCTCGTGTTGGGGAATTTCTTGTGAAAGGCTTGGGTGTTCAGAGATCGTTTCCACTTGGCATGATGTACTTGGGCCAAACTGCAAAGGCGGGATCTGATCTTGCTGCATATTTGCTTGGACATGCTTTCGCTGAGGGAAAATACGGCATGCCCGTAAATGAAAGAGAAGCAATTTTTTGGCTCCAGAAATGCTTAGGGGCCTGTGCCCACTCACACATGAAAAGCGTGACAAAGGTGAAAGCAAAAGGTCTGCTGTCCCAACTTCTGGACGAGCAGAACCATGCTGCAGGGGAAGAATAGTATCCATCAAGCTTTGATTGAAGCATCAAACAAAGGTTACCATATTGATATCGCTTGATGTTATTCACTGTGCAAGGGGACAAAACTGGATGTATCAAATGCCAAGTTTACTACTGTAGTGATTCAAGTTCAATGATTATTAGTCCAGGATAGTGTGACAATAGATGGGTTCCGGCACGCTGGCGGTGTGTGCGTTGGCCTTCTTCGTGGAGTTTCCACGATCGTTGACTTACCATGCCTTTCGCAACGATCGTGGAAGTGAACGCTGCCGTTCTATTACCCACAGAACGTCTCCATAATCTGAGCGAGAAGCCGTGAGAATGAGGTCTGAACCACCAGCATACCAAACCGCACAAGCGCCTCCCAAGCAGCATCAAGTATCACGAGATGATGGAAGCAACCACCAACATGATGAGAGCAGCAAGTGCCAAAAGAAAGACCCTGCCGATGATCTGATCTGTCCCATCACCAGAGAGCTGCCGTGGGTTCCTGTCAATGCTGCTGATGGTCGAGCATACGAAGAGGAGGCCATCAAGAAGTACTTCAGCACACAACATGCAAAGAGTGCTCCAATCAGATCACTAGTCACCAATGAACCCATGGGAGAAACCCTTATACCTGCCCCTCACATCAAAAGCTTGATTGCGACTTTGATAGAGAATGATGCAATTCAAGGGGACGCGGCGCAAGCATGGAACAAAAAAGCCATGCTAGAAAAGGCCAATGAAGGACTTGCCATGCTGAAAGTGGCAGCAGGTTATTGCAATGGAGTGGATGGCTTTGAATGGGACCGACCCAATGCCTACCAATGGTACCAAAAGTCACATGGTGCTGGCAGTGTCAAAGGAACAGCTCGTGTTGGGGAATGCCTTGTGAAAGGCATAGGTGTTCAGATATCATTTACACTTGGCATGATGTACTTGGGCCAAACTGCAAAGGCAGGATCTGATCTTGCTGCATATTTGCTTGGACATGCTTTCGCTGAGGGAAAATATGGCATGCCTGTAAATGAAGAGAAGCAATTTTTTGGCTCCAGAAATGCTTGGGGGCTTGTGCCTACTCACACATGAAAAGCGTGACAAAGGTGAAAGCAAAAGGTCTTCTGTCCCAACTTCTGGACGAGCAGAACCATGCTGCAGGGGAGGAATAATATCCGTCAAGCTTTGATTGGTGCACCAGGCAAAGGTTACAGCATTGATATTGTCACATGATGCATTGGCTTTGCAACGTGACACAACTGGATTTATCAAATGCCAAGTGTACTACTGTTGTGATTCAAGTTACTACAACGTATGTGATTGGTAGGAGTGCTAATGGATCTTTTAGTGTGGTGTGTTTGGTTCTGATGATTGATTGATTGGTTGATTGGATTCGGATTGTGTTGGTTGTGGTTGTATGAGCGGTGGCTATGCCAATATGAATTGGAACAGTATTGTTGTTGGGTATGTAGTGTTTGCATCGCCGATTACTGTTTCTCTCAGTATATTAGAATCGCGTAATGTCTCGTCCATAGACGTTCGATCGAAGCCAGTCAAAGGATATCATAGCCTGATTACGAGAATCCACTTGTTTCGCCAGATAAACGGATCGCCACAGGGCAAAAGCAAACTTGCCCGCAAAGTCAAACAGGGGCACATCACCAACTTGCACCTGCGTCAAGGCTTCCCCGCCACCGACGTATGCCAACAAGCCCAAATTCAAAAAGTTGAAATCAGGTGCTTCCTCCAACCCACGCACCATCAGCCAAATCCGAAGTAACGAAAAGTCGTCAAAAGGATGATCTTCTTTTTTGGGAAGTCGAGGTGGTGTCTGGGCGAGATCGTATCCTCGGTTGAGCAAACGTGCCGCAAAGTATCCCTGTTGTCCGGCAACTTGAGCCGTCTGAGGGAGAATGGCTGGGACGGAGCTGTATTTGGTATCCACTTCCAGGCATGCAACATCACCGAGCACCAGAATGGAACCAAACGACTCGGCAGTGGGAGTGGGACAACGAAGCCAGGGATCGACGTTGATTCGACCCGCACTCCCCTTGGCACTCTCGGGAAGCTGTGACAGCATTTCCTGCACAAATGGCACAGGTTCATTACCGGCGCCCCAAACTGTCACACCGTTGGGGACAACTTCCAACTCGTCGCTGCCCTTCTTTTGGAGTTTGACGAAATTGCTCTTAACCTTTGCGATGCGAGTGTTCAATCGCACTTCCACGCCTTGTGCTTCGAGGGATTCTTTGGCTCGCTTTCGTAGATCGGGGTTGAACATGGGAAGCAAATCAGGGCCACCATGTACCAACATGACTTGATAATCATTGGCCAATCGTTGATAGGCTCCAACCTTTGGTTCACAAATCTCCTGCAAAAAGTCATTCAGTTCTCCTGCCAGTTCCACACCCGTAGGACCGCCACCGATAATGACAAATCGAACGCGTCGTTTTCGTTCCTGCGTCAATGCATAGTCGGAGCCACGAATTTCAGGTCGACTGGCAAACTCCAAGGCTTCCCCAATGGCAGTCCGCAGTCGCTTGGAATCATCGCTGGTCTTTAGATTGTAGCAGTGTTCTTCCGCTCCCTCCACCATGCTCGATCGCACACCGGTACCGACGGCACAAATGAGATGGTCGTACTTGAGTTGAATGAGTTTATTGTTGATGTCACTTTCGTAGTAGATTGTCGACTGGGGTGATTCGCCATTCTCATTATCCATTTCTGTGGCCATAGGGATGATGCCTTCATCTGTTTGTTTGGATGTAACTTCAACTGTGAGTTCTTTGTTTGCGACATCAATGCCAACCGCACGGCCCTCGACGTAGTTGTCAATGGTAGGATTAGAAACACGGATTGGTTCCGTCATGCTGCGAGGTTCTACAGTTCCTACTGCCGCCGACGCCAACATTGGCGTAAAGACCTGGATTGCAACAAACAGAGTGCGTGTGGATGGATGAGAATAAATCATACCAAAACAGAATTTCACTACAACACAATCAGAATCAAATCCGTCCAGCACGCCACCATCCAATACTTACAAAATGATTGACGGGCGACACCACCACGACTCTCAAGTCAAATGTATTGGCCACCTTGACAAAGGCATGCGCTGCCCATCCGGTACCCAGAACCAACACGGTGGGACGCCGACCATCCTCCTCTTCTGCGCCCACAAAGTCGTCATCATCCGTATTGGCATAGTATCGTTCGGCGGCCATTTTTTGACGTGTCTTCATGATGGAATCTTCAATCTGATCAAACCCCTTGGATAAGACGACGTCGTAGGGGACATCCGTAATGGCGAATGGATTTTGTTTATTGAGTGTTTTGACTCCAATTTCGGTCGAGACCATTTTGAGAAATCGTTCCATGTCTTGCTCTTCTGGAATTGGTGACTCTTCTTCCACTGGTGCAGTGATTGTTGCTGTTGCTGCTTGTTGTTGCTGCTGTTGTGGTCTCTCCCAAGAGCTAGTTCCATCTGCCTCAAAGTAGTAATAAGGGTGTCCACTTTGTGGATCCACATGCATGGTCCATCCTTCTGGCAATGGGTCGTCCTCTTCTGTTGGTTCAGGCACTACAGCAGAAGTCTGCTGGTATGAATTCATGGCACTATTTGATTCCAGCTGGACTGCAGCTGCTGCTGCTGTTTCATGTGCTGCCGGCCTGTCCCAAGAAGTGGTTCCATCAATGTCACAGTAATAGTATGGGTTTCCACTTTCTGGATCATAGTACATGGTCCATCCCTCTGGCATCATGTCATTCTCTACATTCATGTGTTGGTCTTGAGTGACCGGCAGTGCTGCTTGTGATGGACCCATTGTCGTTCCATATGACAATTCGGCCGGATGAGTAGCAGCCCCATTAATATTATTGTTATCATCCTTGTCAGTAGTGGTGCCGGTAGAAGGACTGATATTGTCGAGGTAACTGCTGCCACCCGCCCACGACGACAATGCTGGGAAAGCGTGTCTTTGCAAGCCACCGGTTGGGAGAAATCCCTGGCCGACATCCGAGAGAGCAAGGAGCAAAAGTACTGCTGTGGATACCCTCATGCCTCTATCATGGCCCCTCTGTCTGTGGGTCATTCTCACTCTTCACACAATACTCAAAAAGATATTATCTTGCGCAAGGACCAAAACAATGAAAATAATGAGAATGCATTGCTTTTCTTTTACGCACTGTCGCACGGCGGGGCGCTGGAGGGGATGCTGCAGAACAAAAAGCAAAAGCCTCATCCGCAAAAAGGCGACAAACATGCGTCAGTGAGTAACGCACTTGATGCCGACACTCTAACCCTAACGTTTTTTAGTATTGCAGCAGAGCTGCGATCTTTGCTCGCATTCTCAAACACTCGCTGGGTTCTCATGGGGCTTATTAATTTTGCGTATGCGTATGCGTTTGCGTGACTATACACTAGTGAGTACAAAACACGCAAACTTTCACTATAACCAAAATAGTGTCAAACTTCTACCAACTAAAGAAGAACTACTAATTTCACTTCTTTGTGGATTCTTTGTTTGCGTTAATTTCATCAATAACCTGTACAATATAGCTGTGACCAAGAAGAAATTCAACGATAGTTCTCAAAACATTGTAGCCATGTTTGATAGGCTTCCGCATTTTGCAGTACTGGTGGTAAACCTTGATTGTCATCCCTCTGTCTTCTCTGATCGTCCGTCATTATTGGACCTATGAGCAAAAATGGAAACAACAAACAAAACAATGATCTCCTCATATGTACAGGCAGGGTGGCATGTGATTGCAACCACCTAAAGAGACCATTAGCTTCAGGAGGCCCTACAGGTTGCCATGGGCAGCTCCAGCCCCGTCATCATTGAAACCTACCAGTACGAGTACATCGTAGGCAGCAAGGTAAAGTGGGTCTTTGATAAAAACACACTACCACAAAGAGCTAGCCTGCAAAGGTAAAGCCATTAGTTAATAGAAACACACTTAAAGCAAAGAAAACACACCAAAATACTGGTGAAAAGGCACTGCCCCGTTAAATAAACACACCAAATTACCAGTTGAACACACCAAATTACCAGTGAAAAGGCACTGCCACTTACAGTCTACTCGCGCTAATATTTATAATATTATATTTATCCTCGCTGTAATATTTATTAAATCTCGAGGTCCCCCCCTCAGTCCCGGGTATCCGTGAATGAATCTTTCGAGCAGCAACAAATCTTTCGAGCAGCCCGACAACGTCGTCCAATCCATTCCAACCGTTTCAATTTGACCGAGACAGCATGTAAAATGCCAATATCGATCCAATGGAGGTGGGATTCCTCGCACCTCTGCCCGTGGCTGTCTTGTCTGGGCCAGCCCAAGCGCTGGTTGTTTACGTGCAGTTTTCGAAGATGGTTTCGAGGAGACAAAAACAATTCCTGAGCTGCCAAACAATTTCACCAAACCATACCAAACCCTCCAACTGACATAGAGGTGGATGTTGCAAGGCAGCAATTGCATGCAAGGATCTTTGCGCTGATTACGATTTACTCTGGGGACGATGTGATGCAAATGGCGGAGAATTGGATCGATGTCGAGGATGAGCCCGAAGTCATTAGTGCAACCGTCGACGAAGAGATTGAAGCGCTGGAAGTCGAAACAACAGAAGCGGAACTGGCTGTGATTGATGACGAGGAACCGGAACAAATGGAGGATGATCCCGAACCAGCCGATGTGTTTGCCTCATTTGCGGAAGCTGAAGAAGCACTCAATAAGCTGTCCGAAAGTGCCTCTGCTTTGGGTATCAACCAGGCAGCCACTGTGCATCTTGACAGGTTTGCTAGGGCATTGAATGTGCTAGGGCTGCTAGGGCAGGCAAACGTAAACGCGACGGCTCTATCCATTCGTACTTTACTAGTGGAACCGGCCCTTGAAAGCCTTATATTTATTCTCTCTAATATATTTATCGAAATCCGCAATCCCCCCCCATAAATAATAGAGCAAGTCAACTGTAATTAAACACACCAAAAACACACCAATCAACACACCAAAAAAACACACCAAATTCCCAACAACCAAGAGCACCCTCCTTTCAATTTTTGCCGGACAACGTCCCAACCTTTGTCACTATAATAACAACTGGTTGGATGACAATGACAACCATGATGCTTCGATTGCTGTGTTTGCTTCTAGCTCCATTGGCATGCTCTGCCTCTGCGGAAGCTGTCAAGTATACCTCTTGGGACGATGTGAGTTGGGCAATTACTCGCAAAGATAAATTGGCATTCCCCCATCATCAGCAGCTCTACAATGACTACATGGCCGCTTGCAATCGAGAAACGAGAGGTCAGTGCCAAGCAGGTGAAGACTATCGATTGAGAATGAATAAAGATCAACCCGGTGGTGTTTACAATTTTACAGAGGTACGAAAGAAACTGAAAGAAAGAAGAAAAGGATCATTCCTACAAAATCGAATTCTCATTTGTTTTTATTCTTGTTTTTATGTTTTGGTCAACTAGACTGGCTTTGCCAAGATCCGTGCTCCCAAGGCGCTCTTTGATTTGATTAATAACTTTTGGATCCAGAACAAGGGCAAAGAGACGATTGAATGGAAATCGGTTAATTCCTATCACAACATGTGGACATCACCGCCGCATTTTGTGTCGATGGAAAGTGCCGAATTTGGAGGTGGAGACGAATTACAACGACAAGTCTGGAAGGAAGCACGCAAAGTCTTGGAGGAATGGACGAACCAACGATTGTCGCCCGTATCCATGTACGGGGTACGAGTCTACAAGAATGATTCCATTCTGGCGCCTCATGTCGATCGCATGCCGTTGGTCACGTCGTGTATTATCAATCTCGAACAAGATTTGGATGAAGAATGGCCTCTGGAAGGTGAGATTTATTTAAAAAATCATCCACCATTTATTTGTTTGCTGTAAATACGGTTTTGTTTGCATGAACTAACCAATCTTTTTTTGTTTCTCTCCAGTCTTTGATCATCAAGGTTTGTTTTAGTGTTTCTTTTGATATGGCACAATCTGCATGAATGAATGCATGATTCAATCCTCTCATCTGCTGAATTGCTGCTGCTATTGTTTGGATTCACAGGAAATGCTCACAACGTGTCAATGGTTCCTGGTGACATGGTATGTCATAAAAAATGAAACAATCTGCTACAACACGGAAAAAGCTAATCATGCAACTCCTCTGCCTGGTTTCTTACTTACTTATTAGGTCCTTTACGAATCTCATTCCGTGATCCATGGACGTCCTTTCCCCATGAGAGGTACGTGCGTCCGTTGCAGACAAAAATGTCAGCAGCAACATGGACCATGTACAATGTCCTCACGGTCCATTTATATATTGTTGGCATCCTTTTGTCATCAGGACGGGCCTATGTCAACGTGTTTTTGCATTTTGAACCCATCGGACCATTGGATGACCCGGAAAAGGCAGGACCTCATGCCGATGGACTCCCTCCCTACGTCATTGCTGGAGGTCAATGGGATCGGGAAGCACGAAAAGTTGGAAAATGGGAGGTGGTAAGTACTTTATATTTCTACAATTAGTCGACGTTTGGGGGCGTTGAAAACCAATGACATCTCACATTCAATCTATCTGTGGTATGGTATGGTACGTAGCTCGACAGTGTACCTCGGGCTATCAACCGTGGCGATGTGCGAGCTTTGGAATATATTGCCATGAACATGCCAGAAAAAATTACAATGAAAGACTACAACGGCTGGGAACCCATTCATGAGGCGGCATATGCTGGAAATTTGGACGCGTTGAAATTACTCGTCGATAATGGAGCCAGTCTTTGGTCCCAAGTTGGAAGACCCGGGGACACCCCAGGTCCAAATGTATTGGGAATTGCCCAGCTCAATGACGAAAACAAACCAGATTCCCCTGTCATGGTGTATCTCAAGGAGCAAATGGTGGATTCCGAATTGTAGTGCGTGCGCACTACTCGTGACGACATTTCTAGCTAGGAGGAATCAAACCAATCTACATACATGTTTCCTAGGAAGCACAACAGCAGAAGTCGTCATGACGCTGCCCACATCTGCTATCGTGGAAACGCTTTGAGCTTGGAGCATCATCATCTTAGGTCCAATAAACATAGCTATTAGAGCTTGTAGATGTCATCGCACATCACATCGCCAAAGAGATCACTTGCCGTCAGACGTTGACCCATCTTGCCATCTACCCAGTCATCGTTGTTCCTTCTACGCGGGACAGCGTCACAAACCAACGATACCAGGTCCTTGTCATTGGTTTGTGGGATTGGTTCCAAGCTTCGTAGTCCTCTTTGATGTTCCTGTGCCCTGGCCAATGAAGTCTTCTGCTTCTGCTGCACAACTTTCTCGCTGGTTGCTCTTGTCGTTGCAATTGCAAGGGCTGGCTACGGTATCTTGTTACTTGCCACCGAAGCGTCTGCAACCTGCTACTAGTACATGTAGTCGATACCGGCACCCCTTGCTAGGTCTTCGTTTTATCATGTTTATGGGCCGTGACGCCGTGACCAGCATGTTACAGTATCGCGTATTCAAGAGTTTGCGAAGCTGTGCAATTCTGTTCGTTGTTCGTCCTCACAACAAGGGGTCCAACACCATCTCGTGGAGGGTCTTTTCAGGTGATTTCGCTCGGGTACGTACTCATGGCTCCACTTAGCTTGCTTCTCTGCCTTTCTCTCCTTGGAACTTTGCTACTAGCTAGCTAGGCGAGGCTTGGTGCCTTAGTATAGCTAGCTATTAGTAGTTGGCTTGGATGGTACATGAATCACTGAAGTTTAATAGGTTAGGTTTTATAACTAAACACATAACAGAGCGGAAATTGAATGATCTATAGCTTGGTCTAGAAGCTGGATTTGTTCGTGAGGAGAGCTCTGGGAGTCTATTTTCGGTAGAAAAGAATAAGTAATCTTGAACGAAAGCAATCAACTGTATCAACATGTCTTGCTTGTCTTGGTAATCTGGTAGTCAGCTCTTTTAAAGCTTGGAGAGTCTGTCCTTGAGGTCTTCTTCCCGCTGCACCAAAAAGTCGTACCACGCCCCGGCGTGTTCCCTGCGAGCGTAGTCAAAAGGAGTGTGCCCACGAATGTCTTGTGCCATGAGCCATTCCGGCGATGCCACCTTGAGGATTGCATCCATGAGCTCCAGGCTGGGCGAAGGTCTCCAGCAAGCGTCATGTAGCACGGTGCGTCCAAAGTCGTCTTGGTGATCCCAGCGTACCTTGGCTTCGTTCATCAAGTACACAGCAACTTCTACATGGCCTCGTCGGCATGCCAAATGAAGGAGTGACTCACCCACACGGTTGCAAGCATCGAGGTTCTTGCCCTGTTGATGCAGTTCCTTGAGCTTCTCGAGGTTGTTGGACCGCACAAGCACCGCGGCTGCATTGTAGCTGTCGCTCTCTTTGGTATCTGGCTTCACAAAGCTGCCCTTGGTGTATCGTGGAGGTATCTGCTTGGGCCCAATGTTTTGGTCTTTGAATAGTTGCTCTAGGTATTGCTTTGGGGTAACCTGAGGTTTGGGTTTTGGTGCTGGTTTCACTGGAGCAGCTACCTCGACGGCAGCCTTTGCAGGTTCTTTGGTAACCGTGTTCAGTTGCGCCTTGGCTTTGGGCACCACTAGAGTATTCGCAGCTGCAGGCATAGGAGTTACACGAGCGACGGTGTTGAAAGTGGGAGCCACCCTGTTGAAAGTGGGGGCCATCAGGGCATTACCAACTGCTAGAGACAAGAAAGGGTTGGTGGCCGTAGGTGCTAGAGACAAGAAAGGGTTGGTGGCGGAGGGCATCATCCTCATCATTGGAATCCCATAGGCTCCAATGCGCCTCTTCTTGAGTGGAACGGCGCACTGCAGAAGTCGAGCGTCAAGCTGCTGTCTCTTCAGGATAGCTCTTTGTTCATTGGCAATTGCTACCAGAATGCTGAGGGATCTGTTTGCTTCACTTGCCATTGTGCTTTGCATTGTATTTTTGTTGTGGTGGTGAAAATATTATGAGAAGCTGAAGAACTGACGCTTCTGCTGGGACAAATAAAGTTTCAACCAGGCTTGAAGATTGAAGACCATCACTGCCAAACCAACTCCGTGAGGAACAGAACGCTTTCAAACTCAAGAGTTTGTTGACTCTCTCAACGGTGTCGTGCGTGAATCTTCACAAGCTGTGAGTGAGCTCTTTACCGGAAAACACCGTCACCTCAACAGTTCCGCAGAGAAGCAGCTTGTTTCCTCCACGATACATTTGGCAGTTTGTTGAGTGGATCGCCTGGCACAGCAACGTGGAACTGAGCCACGTATGTCGTGCGAGAAATGTTGAATAGATAGCAGCTAGCTTTGGCTATCGTTACGGTTACCGGACACTTTGGATGGGCGTGGCCCAATGTTCCAAGAAACCTGACCTCACACTTTCCTTCAACCTTTGAAAGAGGAGTACTGTTACCAGTACGTACTCAGCAAGAGTTTGTCGATGGGCTTATCAACGCATTTGGAAGGAGCAGCAGTGGAAGCAGCCGCTGCAGAATGATGGACCTGCTGTATGCTGAAGGAAGGAAAGAAGATGGTCAAGATGCAAGATAATGATGAGTTGGCAGTGACCACTGAGTCAGTTCCCCTCCGCCGAATGCCACGTCTGCAGTTCGGGGTTGGCTCAAGTAACAGGTTCTTATTTCCAAAGGCTTCCTAAAGCTTCAAAACTGTCGGTCATTTTAGTTTCGGAGAAGTCGCCCCAAGATTTAACCGTTAGCCTTTTCACTTACTCCAGTCGTTTGTCAATGACATTTGAAGGAGAAAAGAGAACTAAAAAAGACCAAAAGACCTCCAAAACTTGCAAAAAGCTACTACTAGTAATAGTTAGCACGAAAGTTTCAGCTTTGAGTGAGCCTCCAAAAGCAACCTTTGACTACAGTACTACGGTAGCTAGTACGGCACAATAGTATGGTACGCACTTCTCGGGTGGTACGATGTACTAACTTTTGCCAACCGTTCAACCAATGCTACTGGTACCGTACCGTAGCTCGTACCGTACGGTAGCTAGCTGACCGACCAATGAGTTGTATCAGCCAACAGCTCAGCCAACATGGCGACAGCCCGATGTTGTAACTGTAAGAAGAACAACAATTCCACAAGCATCATGCATCATGACGTAGCTCCGTCTCTCGTGGTATCTGCGAGAAAGAAACAGTCTTTCTGCGATGCTTGTGAAAACTTCAAAGTCTGATCCAGCTCAATCTAATGCTGCTACGTATGTCACCGAATACATGTATGGAGGCTACGTTATCTACTAGCTAAGACTGCAAAAGCAAGCACCCGCCAAATACCAGTTCTCGGCCGGCATTTTAACATTGAGTGGTTCTGAGTTCTGAGCGACGATGGATTCGATTCATTCCATTCCGCGAATCTGTCTGGCCTGTGAACGGAGGAATGTATTTCCTTTCTTCAGTGGTCGCTCTAAAATTGGATGAGCACTGACTCGACTCGACTCGATTGCCAATACTTAGTGATTCGCCCGTTTTCAAGGCATGCAACGCTCCGAAAGCGCCTTGAAACCGGTATGGCACACACGATTGCCTTAGTGAATCGAATCTATCAGCCATTCAAATCGTTCGCGTTCCAGTGGTTGGAGTAAAACCGTCATTGCTGCCCTCTTCCTTGTCGTTGGAATTGAATCGGGAGCGAGCTCCGGCCACTGCCACCATTCGGAGTCCGCAGTTCTTCTTCTACAAGTTTTAACAAGCATTCGCAACCGGCGGAAGATTCGTTGCGCTCCAGTCCTTTGCTAATAAAAGCAGCCATGTAGGACACGAGCACCGGTGTTCACGTGTTCCCTCTTTATACTTGTTATCTATCTCACTCACGAACCATCTGAAATGGGCGCGTCACATGGCCTTGTCCTTCGTTGCCTTTGCCTTACCAGCAGGCAGCAGGGGCGCCACGCAGACGTCAAAATGTGAGCGTTTTTGACGGTTATTTTTCAGTTTTCGGAAATGGGTACCCGGAAGTGGTCATTTCGCGAATCCTGCATAGCAATGACTACTTCCTAGAAAGAAAAGATTGAAGAAAATAAATTGAATTTTATCACCATGGCAACAGAGTTGACCAAATGGCTATTAGCTTTACCAATACATTGAGATAGCTAATGCTTTCAGAGGACTAGCTCCCCAACACACTCACAGACACTCCCTCTGAAAAGCATTAGCTATCTCCAAGGTTTCCTATGGAGCCTGAATGAAAAATCAAGCTTGGATTCCATTTTGTTGGCATTCTGCCATGCATTTCTCCATGAGAAATGTGCTCTTGTCCTCACTCTCAGCACCCAACCTGCAGTGCAGAGTCATGTAAATGAATGTGTGGCTTTGCATGAAGACTAGAGCACTCAACTCAAAGTTTCAAAGGGGATTGTTGGCTCAACAGTGGCAAGAATTCATCAGATTTCATGTTTGTAGTCAGTCGATTACTCGAAGCAGTAGTAGAGAGGCTGCCTCTTGTTTCATTCGTAGTAGCACTATAGCAGAGGCTCAAGGCTCATCGCCACTCCGTGGCTCCGTCGAAGAGGGAGCGATCCTCATGGTTGCTCCGTGATGGTGAAAGAGGAAGAAGACAGAATCGAATCGATCCGCCGCACCGTTGTCGAGGCGTCACTTTCGCTTTCGCTTGTTGCAGTAGTAGTAGCCGCTTGTTGTTGTGGTAGTAGCGCTCCGTTCGCTCGCTCCGTTCGAAGAGGAGGTGCCATGGTCGATCGCTCCGTGGAAAGAAGACCAAATCGATCCGTCGGCCGATCTATCCAACGAACGATCAAACGGATGCCGCTGCCGCTACCAACCAACCAAGAGTAGCCTGTCATGGTGGTGAGTAGTAGCCGCTGTTAAGAGGAGTAGCCGCTGTAAAGAGGAGGAAGCATCATCTTGATAGAGTCAATAGAGTAAAGGTATCGAAATAATGAAAAAGAAGAGGTGTACGAGTGGCTTGGATCGATCGAGTGATGTCAGTTGAGATTAAGGTTAAGGCTATATATGTCCCATAAGTCTTTACTCGGAACGTTCCAGGACGTTCCGGTTCGCATTCGAATGTCGTACCGGGAGCGGGCTTGCGTTTGCGTCAATTGCTCCGAGTCTGCTGGTAGCTTTTGCTTGCAGGTATTGCAAAACAGAGGCTTCATTGTGAAAGATTAAATCCAAAACAAACCAATGTTCAATAAGGAACGACCATACCACGATGACAGCACCGCTTCCCGTCTGCTCAGCGAAGTTAAGCATCGTCGGGCCAGGTTAGTACTACGGTGGGGGACCACGTTGGAATCCCTGGTGTTGTTCTTTTTGCTTCTCGTATCAGCCATGTTGTTGCTCTGTTGATGGTGACAACATTTATTTGTTGCTTTGTTGCGGGGTGGTGAATGGCTGCGCACCAATAGCGTTGACTTGATTACTCCTGTTTATAGCTTTAGCAGAAAGATGGCGGCAATCTGCTGGGTTTTCATTGTATTGATGCTGCATTTGTCGTTGCCGTTTGTCTTTGCGTTGAGCACTCCAGGATTGACAACCAAAAAGAGCCAACGTCCCAAGGCTCCCCAAAGAACGAGACCGGCTGCGAAACCTTGGCGATATTCCAGCCCCAAGAATTCGAGATGGGATGTTCGTCATACCAAGAGTTTTCGATTTGAACTACTACTGAAAGCGTCGGGAACGTTGACATTGCCCATGCACAAAAAGCCCAGAGAGTCTCTGTCGCACGTCTTGGGCAAAGGGTTACTCTGGGCGCTCTTTCAAGACCGTTATGGGTCCAACCCAACACAGACCATACTCGTCGAGACACCCATTCCACAGGAACCTCGCTATGTTCCCGATGTCGTTGCCTTTCATCACCCGAAAATAATAATACCATCTGCAGCACAACAACAACAACAAGACGACACTGCTCTCCTGCATTCGTTCTTGGAACATGACATTCAGCCTTCCTTTTGGGGTGAATCGGGACGAATGTCGGCCGAAAAGGCGGCGGATTTGGCACACAAGTATCCAAATACCCATTTGGTGCATTTGCGGTGGGGATCCGGTGATCAAAATACCCATGCTGGATTCTTTGAAGAGATTGAAACGGCGATACTACCGTCTCTCCATTACAGGACGGCACCGTTTGAGTTTGCCTTTTTGGCACGAGAGCCAAAAAGTTGTGTAGACGAGGATGGGGTAGTGAGAATAACAAGGGACGATGTGCAATGGCGAACGGCAGGTTTTGGCATTGATCGAAACTATTGATAAATGGTAGGTTGCTATAGTTAGTTTGTGGGATTACTTTTACGACAGATTATTGTGTCTTTGTTTGGCATTCAGCGAAGATCGAACGCTACCATACCGGTGTGTGTCTGCATGAGTACTGCCGATGACTGTTCATTTTTTGTGCATTGTTGGATACCATCCAATAACCTGGCTAAGGATGCGAAACTTTTGAAAACATGGCATGGTGGGTGTACCAACGTATCGTCTTGTACCATACAATTGACCTTGATTATTTCTTCAATTTTCCAACCACAGGATACTTTTTCTTTACGCCGAATGTTGCGATCCAATCGTCCAAAATCTTTTTCTGTTTGTCTTCCAAATCATCGATACTGGTGTTTTCAACGTCCTCGGGTTCAAAACTCATTTTGGCCAGTGCCCGTGAGGCATCCTTTCCGGCAAAACGATGGTAGCCTCCCTCGGGACCATAAAATGTCACTCCTCCAAAGGAAACATCGTACACTTTGTCTCCTGCTCCCAAGTAGATTGGTGCCGTGGCATATCCCTCTGGAATTTTCGTCTCTTGAGATCCATTGTGCTTGGCCAATTCTTCCTTGCTCAATTCTCGATCCGCCAAAGGTTTCAATACCGCATCGGGAACCAATCGACCTTTGATGGGATACGGTCGATAATAGGTGAATTTCTCAATCCATCCTTCCAACTCGCACTTTTCACTGGGCGGTAGAGCGGCACATCCTTCCAGATCGTCCAAATGCTCGGTATCAAAACTCATTTTAGCCAATGCCACCCCGCATTCGTGTCCCGCAAAATTAGAGTAGGGCCCATCCGGGCCGTAAAAATCTTTCCCATCCGTCACGTCGAATACTTGTCCATTGACGGACAGATACACGGGCTTGTCCTCGTCGCTTTTCTCGTCTTTGGTCCCGTCGAAGTATTTGAGTTGTTCCATGGTAAAGTTGCGCGGTGGATCTGGTTCTTCCTCTTCCTGGGGAGGTTGCACCGGTGACGGTGTGGTCATCCACTGATGCGTCATGACGATTATCGCAAGAAGGACCAGAAACTATAAAGAAGAAAGCAGACGAAAGAAACAAGCAAGGTTAAATGAGAAATGCAAAAGGAGAAAGAGTATCCTAATGGATCTACTCCATGCTACCACGGCAAGTCGAGCAAAAGATAGCCATTAAATCAAGTCTCCACAATCTTCCACATTCGTACTGTACATACTGACCTCAACTGTGTTCTGAACTCCCGTCAACTGATCCAGAAAGTCTCGTGCTGGCCGAAAATGATTGTCAAGCACCATCTGCAAAGAAAACTGTGTCTCTGTTGCTTCAATTCGTCTCAAGTGACTTCCTCAACGCTACGTTGACCTTTGGTCCTGTTCAATGATGACGAGACTAGCTAGATTGTTTTAATTCTGCGGGTAGTATCAACTTCTTCTTGCAGACAGACTGGATGCTGGAATAGCTATTTGCTGGGATCGCCTTGACGTGGTTGTGAGTTGAGAGAGCTTGGAAGAGCTCGAAGATCTAAAACTCTGAGTGGACGCAGTCACGGAAACTTCTGGGACTAACAGTGACGCCCGCGACTAAAGGTTTTTCGTAATTCGTGCAAAAATGCAGAAAGGTTAGAGTTCGTCGTCGGGCAAAAAGCCCACAAGCAAAGCAAACCCGCATTGCGAAAAAGCGAGGGATGATGGGTGCTGATCTTCTACCTTGTCTATGCATAGATGCATGAAGATAGTTCTGTACCGGTAGGCTTGGCAGGCCATACGCTACACAGTGTATTTGACTTGTTGATCAGAGATGTATGCATGTCTATTAGCTAATGTGTGTGATGGCCATACATTCCGAGTCCGGACCCTTTCGGCGGTATACGGGTCTACTAATGGACAACTAATGGCATTATCAGTTGACTACGTCGCTTTATTGGCGGCTTGCTTTTGATGCATCACTTTTGTGCAACAATTGCCAATTTGGCCAGCTGCGAAGATCCATCGACGAAACAGTAGCCGTTGCCTGTTTCATTGTTCGCTCACCTAGCTAGGCTATGGTAGCAGTGCATGCAGCAGCTCGTGCACCCCAAGAGGAAAAGTTGGTGCATTCTTGGGATTGCCTCAACGACTTGGCAACTGCAGTATGGCAAAGAACTGGCTGGGCGATCAGTTGCTTGCTTTACCGGGACAGCGAGATCTAATGGCAAGATTGATAGTGACTCTTGCTTTGGTGCAGCCAGCCACCTAACTTTGCATACAGAATAGCTAGCTGATGTACACCTTGCCGTTTTCGTTGATTGAGGCTCTCGCTACTTTATTCCTTCTGAATTGCAGAACACAACGATTTTAGGTGCACCACTTGGTTTCAATAAAGAGAGCTAACGTCTGCACTTGCTAGAAGAGCTCCTTCCCTCTTATCCTAGTTTTCCGTGGAACGCACCAACAATCGCCACAGCAAATTGACTCCCGCCAACACCACCCGGCGGTGCGCTTTGGCGGGCTTCCACCGCCCATCGTTCTTGTTTTGGCTGCTCTCTTACACCAGCGGTTGAAACTGTCGTCCCTCGCCGGCAGCATAGTCTTTCTGCAATAATTTGTCAAGTGGGTGGGGTAGCGGGAAAGCATTCTGTGGGCGAACACTGCGGAAATTGCGGAGGCCAAGCGTTAACCCCCACGGCGGTTATCGAGTTAGGGGTAGGAGAGAGCCGCAACCGCCAATTAGCGGCCTGACACAGTGCCTAGCCAACGCTCACAATTTCAGGTTCCGAAATTATCATTCTTGTAGTTTCAGCTCAAAATTGCCGCCACACAATCAACATCAAAGCATTGTTGTGTATCGGGACCTATCCCTCTCCAACCTTTACATGAAAACTCTCCTTCTCGCTGCCCGCTGACACACTCCGACACAACCCTCCTTTCACTCTCTCTCTCACACAACCACAATATGATGATAGCCGTACACACCATCCGAGCTCCTTCCAGAACACCTCCTTCCGATTCATCCGCCATGAGTATCTGGACGTCCTATGATGCCATGATAGACTCTGCCAATGCAGCTGCATACAAGCCAATGAAGAGAAAGCGGGATAGCTTTGAAGCGTATGACTTTCAAGTTCACAAGCAACCTCAGAGAATGCGGTATAGTCTGCTACGGGAAGACGCTAACCAAGGCACATTGCTTCAGGAACGGCAAGACGGTGTATATCATCGCGATAGCCTCCTCAGCCTGACAAGCCGAGCTCTCTCCGACAAACCACGTCTGGTGACGCCTCCCCCCATCGAAAGTGCCCAACGAGTATCTACCAGCAAGAGTCATGAAACCAGGAAGGTTCGTCGGAACAAGAAGGTCAGGAAGGCCAAGAGGGGATCGCCGCGAATGACAAAGAAACATTATAACAAGAAAAAGCGAATGGAAATGATGCAGGCCACAAACCGGCAGATTCAGAGCATCCTGGGGGGCTCGAGACTTCAAATACCTGCCCAGGCTATGCAGCGGGTCATGTACTACCGAAAGAAGGTAGAACAGTTGGATCTATCGCTACGGGATCAATGCCATAGTATCGTTTATAAAGAGCAGGATATCAAGTCCTGGTTGGGGATGACGACCAGGAGCAGATCCCAGATCATCAGTCTCCGGAAGCGTCTGCACGACCGCTGGGCTGAAGTGAAAGACTTGCAAAGCATAGTCAAGCCAAGGCGACAGAGGCTCAAGAACCTGAAGTTTGCCGCACTTTGCGAAGAACGATCCATTGCGGAGGAATGTTGAACGAACGAATGAATCACTCTGTCTCGTATGTGTTATCATCCGTTGCTTCCTTCTCTCCTTGCTTCCGCACCTCTATTCCTCTATTCGTTCTTCTCCTTCAGCCTCCATATGGACCACATGTTTCGTGATCACAAGGCACAGTTCAAGGGATACCTAGGCCTCCTGGCAGTATCAGAAAGTATCTAAAGCTTTCATGGGTGGGAAATGTCGAATTACTGTTTCTAAACTTTGTACTAGCTATCTCCATTAAAGTAACAAGCAACCAATGCATCATCCTTTGTTTCACGGTAGCAGCTGTTACGGTACGGTATCAACCAATCCCACCAGTTGCCCACTCACTCACCTCGATCTAGATGCGCTCTGTTGTGCGTTCTCTGCGCCGATCTCTCGACAAAACTGTCGCTCTGCGTTGAAAGGAGAAAGTTGCTCGCCGAAGGGTGTCATGCCCCATCCCTGTCTCCCTTTTATGACCAAAAGAACCCACTTTCAGCACCCACGCACCCACGACGCAGTACTGTAGTTTGCGGCTGCGCCATCGATCTATCCTCGTGCTCCATAGACACTTGTCCTTTGCGAATCGGTACTGTTCGATTTAACAGCAGACACAGCTTTCCCTTCACACGTTCCTCAGAAGGGCAAGAAGGCACTCCTTAAGCTTCGCCAGGGTCTACGGTATGGTGCTGCGGTGCTACATCGTGACTCACGCTGAAGCTATTGGGGTACTAGCTAGCTAGCTAGCATACTAGCTAGTACCTCTTACTCATAATTCCATACTATTATTATTGTTATTACCTAATTGCAGTTAGTTCCATTGATGTATCATCTCTCCTCGTTGGCTCGTTGGGGCTGACCAGATACCCGTAGCTACCGCTAGCCCGAGGTGGCAAGGAAGAAGCGCTGAGGCCGGCTCAGAGAAATCAGAAAACTGCATATGCATGTACGGTCACTCTGGGCATCCATTTTCACGCGCCCACTGCAGCACTTCCTGGTTTGCAGCAAGGCCACAAGTCCCACTGTGGCGAGGGCATCCATTTGCATGGGCCTACTGCAGGACTTCCAAATGACCATTGGAAGCAGCTTGGCTCCATGTCCTTGCATCCCACGGGCAACCATTTTGCATTTGTGATGGAAAAGTTGGGGCCACGACTCGACTCAGTCACGTCACACAATAACTCTATCTCTAACGCCGCTCTTCCATTCTCCTTCCTCGCTCATCGATCGTTCGTCGTCGAAGCGCTTTGGCATTTGGCGTGTGTCCATCGGTTCGTTGCTATCAATCAAGCCATCAAGAACACTACGGTACTGCAGAGTACCGTACTAGCTAGCTGGCCAGCCCACATCCAGAGGAGACAGAAACAATGGCATCACAGGGTCGAATTGTGAAAGAATTGGCGGAAGTGGGCAAGGATGACAAGGTTTCAGGCATCAAAGCCGTGCCCGTCACCGAGGGGGACTTGAGGCATTTGAAGGGGACAATACCAGGTCCTCAGGGCACGCCTTATGAAGGAGGCATCTTTGAGATTGACATTGTTCTTCCAAAGCAATATCCATTTGAACCACCAAAAATGAAATACATTACCAAGATTTGGCATCCCAACATTTCCTCCCAAACTGGCGCCATTTGTTTGGTGAGTTTCGATTTGAATTGATAAAACATCAAGATGTCTTCGCTGAGGAGTTGGATGATTTTGGAGAATCAGAGGGTGGTTGAAAGGAAGCATGATGGTGCCAATAAGCCGTTCCTGGCTCTGTCGTGGCCAAAAAAATTGCTCTATTTCCATTCTCATAATCTTGTGATTTTTTTCTCTCTTTCTTGTCAATGTCGTCTTCCACTGTAGGACATTCTGAAAGATCAGTGGAGCCCCGCCTTGACCATCAAAACTGCCTTACTTTCCTTGCAAGCTCTGATGTGTTCGGCAGAACCAGGAGATCCACAGGATGCCGAAGTAGCAAAAATGTACATGGGAGATCGGAAGAAGTTTGATAGCACAGCCAAATTCTGGACGGAAACCTATGCCAAACCCACATCCAAAGAAGATGCGATTACACGAGTTTGTGAAATGGGATTTGACCGAGAAAGTGCACGAAAAGCCTTGGAAAAAACTGGATGGGACGAGAGTGCTGCAGTCAATTCCTTGCTGGGAATGTAATAGAAAAGGCAAATGAGACACAAAAACAACTGACGAGGCAAACAGTGTGTTCTTCCTAATGACAGTCCAAGAGAGCAACAATCAACAATCTATCCAATGGCTTTGATCAGGCTACAAAAGTAAATTTAGTAGAGATAGATGACTCGCCACAATCATCTGACCTTGAACAGAACTGAATATCCGTATTCGGTCCTTTCTATTTATTGATACATTGTGTAGAATGCACAGATTCTGATTCGATTCGAATCGTCCATCGAGCAAGTGCCCACCAGCCAGCTACGCGTATCCCGCTGAAAGGGCACAAGACAGCGACAGCTCTTCAATCACTACAAATTCATCCAACTCCTCCCCCACTACGACTGCGGCGCAACTTTGGATGGCTTTGGGTCTTGCAACGTAATTCTCTTCCAAGATGGATGGCAGCGAGCTGCTATCCTTTTCATGGATATGTCGACGCCAGAAATGTGCAATGGTGGACTCCAATGACCTGACATCGTCGAGCACTTGATCGACAGGGACAGCCTTGACACCCAGTTGCCACTGCGTCTGGACGGCTTCCTTAACTGAGGAGAAGGATTGCCTACAGAATGGGCAACAAAGGTGTTTGCGAACCCATCGTTTTTCACAATCCGCACACAGAGCATGAGAACAGCACATCAGCACAGAGTCTTCAGTCTTGTCAAAGCAAATGGCGCATTCATCGAGCTCTAGTGGTCCATCGGAGGGTTGCTCATCGCCAGCTAAGAGTGGCGTGGTTGATGGCTCTTTGTCTTCTGTTTCGAGGCTAGTAGCATCGCCCCCCAATAAAGCACCAATCGGTGACTGTTCCTCTGGGCCATTGTGAATTGGTGGTGCTGCTGTCAGCGTAGCTCCCGTGGGTGGATACTCCAGGACCATCTCATACGAATCCGCTAGCCGGCGAATCAAAGTGTAATAGCGGCAGAATTGAAACAGAGACGTAAGGCATAGAATTTCTGTTTTCTCAACATCCTCCACTGCCACCAGAACCTACAAGCGATAGAGCAAATGGATAGATGTGAGCAATAGGTTTGGCAGGGCAGAACAGGGCCATGGTCACTACCGAATGCGGGAAAGGATCATTGAACCTACCGATTCTTGGTAGAACTGCGCTCTTTCCATGTAGCTTTGGGAGGCTAGCTTCCTGAGAGCATCTTCTGTTTCGTGTAAAGACACATAAGGTACAAATCGTATCCCTCTCTTGATATGGATGGCTCGTCCTTGTTCTGTACTACTAGCAGCTGTAGAGCCTCTAAGTTGTTGACTAATTGCAGCATTTCTCTGGTGTACCACTTCGGCTAGGAACGTGGCATCATCTGCCCAATCCAATAGTTCATCCCAACACAGAGGAATTATCCCGGGAGTTGCCGGCATGGGGCCTCCCAAAAGAAATGTGCACAGAGACGTTCTGGAAGGTCTTGGCGGTGGTGGTGGGCTCTCTTCTTCTTCATCATGATCGCTGCTGGAGTGTATGTTCCCCATTGTGCTCACGATAGTAGCATTGACTAGTAATCTCTCGAAATGATCGTTGGTGGCGGATGAATGGTCGGCTGCGGGTGATAGAGCATTTGGTCGAATTGTCATGGGTTGTAGGGGCTCTAGAAGACACATGACTGACTGTGGCTCATTCGTGATATGGGAGAAATGCTGAGCGAGAGTTCTGTTTTTCGTTCGCTTTCCTCTGAGGCCGGTCACAGATGTGTGTTTGATGGGTGCTCCTGTATTCTATATCCTGATGAGTCCTTTATCTACAACAAGCGGAACACATCGAAGCGATCCGGAATCAATCAGGGCTTTGATGTGCTCTGGATGATGCTGCGGTTGTGGTGGCAAATGTCAATGACAGTCGTGCCTGCACGACTACCGGTACGGGACTCATCCAAAAAGCATTCTGGTACCACCCACCACCCACCCGTTGGCAAGCTAGCAAATAGAGACGGAGGAAGAAACGAATGGAGAAACAACTTGACCAAAAGTTGCTGCTTCATGCGGAGTATACTCTAGGTGCAAGGTTTGCAAATAATGATCTATATCAATGAATGATTCAGTGGGTGTGTTTACCAGAAGCTCGGCAAAGCAAAATTGGTCCTCTGGATAGCGCTGTTTTCCGTCCAATCCTCCTCATCAATGAACTCCCTAACTCATCAGACCCCACTCATGGTCCCATACTTGGAACTCCTCCCAGACTCACCCCCCCCCCCCCTCTTGTTCATCTTCCAAGCCCCACTCTTGGAACTGCCCCGCCACTCCTGATCCAGCACCACCAAGCATCAACCCCCCACCTGCACCTGGATTCACCCCTAGCATTCCAGCACTACGTAGACCCCACACCAGAATCAAGCAAAGGACCTGCCGTACGGTACCTCTGTTCCATCTCCAGGCCCCATCCTGGCCCAACTCCTGATCCCGCACCAGGCCGCGCTCTTGGACCTTCACGTGGACCAACTCACTGGACCAACACTTACTCCGTAATGGGAGCGACAATGCCTCGCTGCCTTTGGCTTGTTCCTGGCTCTAGACGGAGAGACAAATAGTACAACAACAATGCGACAATCGAAGGAGACCAACCCTTCAAGTTTCTCCCTAGAAATCTACAGGTCGCGGTAGAACCGTGTTCCGAAATCGATTTTTCGTCTCAAAACTTCTGCGAGACTTCCACTTTCAGCCACTCAGTGTATAACAAATCGCTGGCTTTATTTTCGGCAACCCTGATTCAAGGTCATAGTACGAGTTCACAGTCATAATCCATAAATACAGGTCTCCTTCAACCACGTGCCACAGTCATCGACTCCCACAGAAATGTCGCATCACAACGAAATCTTTGGGTTCTCGCGTTCTTTCAGCTCCTTCTCCGATTTGGACCTCGGCTTGGAAAGTTGAAAGATCAGTTGGTTGTTCGCTCTCACAATCCCTCGCTCTTGTCAAAAGCAAACGCTATTCCAGCACTAAGCTAGCCAGCCTCTCTGTCTCTCAAAACAAATCTGCCAATGATGAAAATCGTTTTCTCGTACCTTGTCTTGTCCTCTTTGTGGAACGTTGCCTCATCGAGCGACACACCGCCATGCGATCGCGTCTGCTCCAACGGCGGAAGATGTGTCTTTGATCTTGCTTCGCACGATGATTTCTTCTCGTCGTCGTCGTCGAGTCCGACCGTGATGCGTTGCCTTTGTCCCACGGGGTGGGCGGGTCCTCATTGCGACTCTCTCTTGGTCGCCAACCACGGCCAACCAACGCATCAAGAATCTGGCTCCTTGTTGGAAAGCAGCAGCAACAACAACCACGATGACGCCAAGACGGGGCATTCTTCCTACTTCTCCACAACACCTTGTGGATCAAACTCGTGCTTGCATGGAGCCAATTGTCTCTTGGAGGCGAAGGGAAGCCGTCAACAGACGTGTGATTGTTCCACGGCGCACGGTGGTCTTTTTGCCGGCAAGTCTTGCGAGTTTCCTGCCACTGACACTTGCTATCGTTACGACGACGACGACGAAGACGCTGGCGCTGCCTTTTGCGTCAATGGTGGAACCTGCAAGAGCTATGCTCATTTCCAAGGCGACCCGTAAGTATAGTACAGTGGCGGCGTGTGGAGAGCGACCGGACGTTCCATTTTTCGGTGTCGCTCGTTTGGTGTTCCTGTTTTTGACAGCGAGTCGTTGTTCTCATTCTGTCTCCTTGACCTACTTGTCTCTTACTCCCCCTTTGCATGCCATACAGCATCCATCCAGGATGCCTCTGTCCTCCAGGATGGACCGGTCTCTATTGCGAAATTTACTCGTCCTCCGCCGGCGACGCTCTGGCTTTGCATGGAAGTGAGTTTGTGTTTGACGCCGCCGATAACAACGATGGCGACGACGACGATGATGATACATGGGTGACAAGCACTGCCAGTCACGGAACCTCTACCAACGTCATGAGCCAAGAGTACTACGATCACATTATTGAAATGGGGTCCTCCCATGCCGACACCACCCACGATGATGATGATGATGACACTGTTGGATTTGAATCATCGCAGTCGGGACAAGAAATCAACGAGGGAGACGACGATGACGACGACTCCCTCTCCAACGGCAGCAACGAGCATGACACTGGATTTGAACCATCGCAGTCGGGACAGGAATTCCACGAAGGAGATGACGACGACGATTCTGGTTCTCTCTCCAACGGCGGCAACGACCCAGGTGCGAGCCATGGATCTCAATTCTCCTTTGACGATGATACGACCGACAAGCCATCCACTGCCGACAAGGTTGACGACGACGATGACGACAACATGGATCACCAGTCTGGATCACAGGTCGGCCCAAGTGACGACGACCAAACCGACGATTCTCATCACCATTCCTCCAATGGTGGCGCCGTGCATTCGGATGATGACGACGACAGTACTCCTATCACACCAGACCACCATGGCAATGACCACCACGACTCGGCATCTGGTTCCGGCGACAAGGAGGACGATTACTACTCACCCACTCCTGACCATGGCACGGGCAGGGATTTCGACAACGGCGGCGGCGGCGACGATGATGATGTCACTGTCCATCCAGGAAACCTTGTTTCAGACGATGACGCCGCCAACCCCGACAAGCCCAACACCAAATCATCGGGCAAAGCGGCTTTGAACGCATTCATTGCGTTGACTCTTGTTGTCTTGGGCATGACTGGTCTTCTCTTTGCATGGCGCAAGTACATGATTTGGAAACTTCAGAGAAACCTCCCTAATGTGGACACTCCAATCTGGGAACAGGATACCGAATTGGAAGTCTACAGCGACCATCCCAAATACCGCTCTTCTCCCAACAACTCCTCCTCTGATTTCATGGACCGTCCATTCCATTCCCGTTTTGCTGATTCCGTCATGGTGTCCTCGTTCCCTTCCCGTGACATGGAAGAGTCGACCCGCCCTGCCTCCATGATTGGGGACCCCAAGCCCAACTTTGTTGGCCGTGGAGTGGAAAACCGCGATGAGAACGACCTTGACCTTGACTCGTCGTCGGGAAACAACATTTGTTAGGTAGGAGGTTGAGTCTTTTTAGATGAAGAGGAGACAAAGAAAGCATCGGTCGGGTTGGTTGAATGGGAATCGAATCCAATCATTACAAACAAACAAAAAACACGTAAAAATATAGTGTCGTCGGCAAAGTTTTTAGAGTTATCAAGCAAGACTTTTGCGATTTGTGTTCTGCGTCGACCTAACAGGCCCAGCCCAGCCCGACTGGAACCAGGCTAGTTGGAGTTTTCCAGCAGACGGCATAACTGGCTACACGTATTGGTAGCGTGTAGGAGGCTCCATTCAGAAAGGTAGGATTTGCTGCAAGAGAATCCAATATCCATCAGTTTTTGAAGGTTGTGACCTCCTTTCCGCTCACGAAGCCATGGCCGTCCCGACCTAATGGAGGACGCGTTTCCTCGAGGTCACACCTGTCGCCCTCTAGCTATCTTTAAGTGCCAATAGCCCCAAGACAACCCCTCTTGCCCACAATTGAAGCCGAATTCAAGACCTAGACAACACTGGACTCCCCAGTCGCACCATACGCAGTTACCAAGGATTGCCCCAACATCCCTGAAGGAGGGGCTGAGCAGAAACTGCCAGTGTGGGAAGACACAGAATCACGGCGCGGAAGCGAAGGCTGGTTGTCATCATGTGCTTCAGTCGAAGGGGATGCCCCTTCGTATTCCTTGATGATTTTGACAATGCTGTCGTGTCTCTCCTGTTGCCTAGCAGCCTCACGACGATCCAGAATCGGGATGATCGTCAGACTGGCCAACATGGCAATTTGAAGAATATGGAACAGATTCCATGAACCATGGCTGCAAGGCTGCGTAGCGTAGATTGGCCCTTTTTGCAAATGACAATCGCCAGAAAGAAAGTGGACCAGAGATGCCATGGAGAACTGTGCAATTCCCGACAAGGCAAATCCAATCCCCGACAGGAAACCAAAGTACTTGAAGCCAAGCTTTGCTGTGAGGCAGGCAATAAAGACTGGAAAGAGGAACTGCCGAAAAAGAGTGTATAGAACATAGCCAAACAGCATCGAGTTGTAGCTCTGGCCCACAATTCTCAAGAGGAGACTGGTTTGACCCAGCACCAGGGACACAATAGTACAAGTTTCCAATCCCACTCGGTCCATCAACCATCCCACAAAAATGGATGCCACCAAGCCCCCTGACATGATGAGAGTAAAGCTTCTGGCCAAGTCATGTTGCGTCTCGATTGAAAAGACTTGCTGGTCGGCCAATTCGGTGGAGATGGAGGCAATGGTAAAGTTGACAAAGAAGCTGCTCGTAACAAAAATGAGGAGGTTTCTCACGTATGTCTGACTCAGGAACTGGTTCCAAAAGGGCTGATCTTTCAAACTGACGAGGGTTGCTGTGGCATATTCTTGTCCACTCTCGAATGCTCCGGCAGATTGGTCGTATGACTGAGTTCGACCGTACGCCAACTGTTGCCGTAGCCCCGAGTTGAGGGGTTCTTCCACCAGTTGATGATGTGACAGCGTGGCCTCTACGAACTCTTGTTCTGGCGACACTGGGCCCAGCAGTGGATGACCTTCTTCGATGGCTTGACTCTTATTGTTGTTGCTGAGGTGCGCATCGGAATCTTCAGATTCAAAAGGGACATCAGGCCACATTCTGAAGCTTCCCAGTGTCGACAGGGCAATCACTACGACATATCCTCCAAACAAGACGCGAAAGCCCCAGTTGTAGCGCTCCCACAGGTCCCCAAAGACAGCCAAGACGCTGAAGCTAAAGGTGACTGACCCACAAAGAATGCTGAGCATCAGGAACTGATTCTGGGGAAACAAATTTGCAACATGGACAATACTGGAGCTGATTCCAGGTCCACCAAACGCAATCATGCAGGTAGCTATAGCAATGGCCTCAAAGCTTCTGGCCATGGAGAAAAGATAACACCCTGTTCCAACTAGAAGGTTGCAGAGCACTGATGCTGTCCGTGGTCCAAATCGATCCAGTACAAGTCCCATGGCCAACGAAGACAACATGGCGACACTGGATGCCCAAGAGAAGATTTTGGTAGTTTCCATTGGCGTCAACCCAGCGCCTCCTTGTTCCTGACTGGCAATCAACATGGTCCTGTCAATGCTCGCCCACCCAAACGCGAGTCCTCCCGCCAGTGCATTTTGAAGACAAGCAAACAATACAAGACACGATCGCTCTGTGAGAGTCCAGACATGGCGAGGTTTCTTGGCGTCGTCTTTTCTCGAATTGTCCACTACACCATCACTCGATGACAACGATGAGAACGTCTTTGCGAAGCCTTTTGCGTCGTCGCCTCCCGAAATGGATGGCCGGCACATGGCACTGCTTCTTCGTTTGCACTGGTCCGCCGGTGGCGCTCTTTCGGACCCAACAAACTCCAACGGGGTCAGTGTGGATGCCTTGATCTTGCCTGACGTTTTGTGGCAGAAGAAGCCACAGCCTGAAAGGAAACTGTGATGGGTGGTAGAATAGACAATGCGTCGCCATGATGATGATGATGCTTTCCCACCAACAGCTACTATGTACCTCGAAGACCTTGCTTGGTTCAACACGAATGCCTTCGAAAGCGAAAGATGACGTGGAGGGGTCTGATGTCATCCATAAAAAGAAAGCATGTCTGAAAAGATCAACATTCTCATTATTATTTGGAACTTCCGCCTCGAACTCCCAACCCTCGATTGATGGATTTTGTGCCGGCAGCAGCTTTGATTTTGAATCTTTGACTGTCAGAGATGAGTGGAGGTTGATGTAGCGGATCTGGCTACCGCCTTCTCTACCAATAGCTAGCTACATGTAAAACAGATCACGCTGCTTGCTAGCTAGTAGCAACCACACCGTACTATGTAGCTTCACGATTTGGTTCACATCACATCACACAGTACTAATCCTAATCTAGCCAGTTTATTTCTATTAGACACATCCGGTGCTCACAGCCATCAACGCCAAACCCCACTAGGCTGCCAAGGCTTTTTGTCAACACTCAGATTGTGCCTCTGTAGATTTCCTTCCATCACCTAGAGACAACCACACCATTAACTAGTAGTCGCTCTGTCACCACCTGCGCGTCAGCCACTATTCTTTCTCTTCAGACGCTTTTGTTTCCTTCCGCAGGATGAATCGTCGGCATCCTTCTCTCGCTTCCTTTTTTCTTTGTCGGCAGTAGCTGGATCGGGAACATTAGAGTCACCCACAGGAGTTGGAGCTGCCTCCTCGCCAGCTCCGGCGATCATGCGAAAAACGTGGTCTCGCAGATCAATCCATTCAGACTCGCCGTCATCGTATTCCAGAAACCACGGTTTCTTTGCTTGAATGATATTGTCGCGTTGTTTGGTTATCGTGCCGGGGTAGTAACAATTGTCCTCGGACCAGAAAACCTCAACGCGGCAACCGGTTTTGATTCGAAGCATTACATCGGACATATCCATTCGATTGCGAAATCGTACACTGGGATCAGTGTCGTCGTCGCTGCTTCGACGCCGGATGGGGGCACTGTCGTCGTCACTGTCGTCTTCATCATCAACAGCATCATTCTCATCTGCCTTTGGGCTCGTTACAACAATCTCAAGATTTTTTGGCGGGGTCAAAATATGGAACTTGTTTCTATGAAAGTCGATCCACTCTGACTCGCCGTCATCGTATTCAAGGAAGAATTTCTTTTTCCTGTAGCTGCGCTCTTTCGTCACTGTGCCTGGGTAGTATTCCTGATCCCCGCCCCAGTACACAGAAACTCTCATACCCACTTCAACTTGACGAGCCTTCTCCGCGTGTTCAGCTCCAAGATCAGACTTCTTTAATGGCGTAGACCCTGAAGTTTTCCTGTTGGCACCTGTGTCGACAGAACTATCAGAGTCGCTTTCGTCAAAGTCTGTCGGAGAAAAGCGATTTGGTTCCTTCCTATGCCTAGAACCATTCACCATGGTAACTTTGAAAACATCTTTTTCAATCCGGGCAACCTCCTCGTCTGCTTCATCCTTCTTAGGAGTTTTCCGGGGCCTTCCAGGTCCACGCTTCTTAGGTTCCTGGCATTCGCTCTTCCTCGGACGTCCTGGGCCTCGCTTCTTGACAGGCGCAGGACTCTCTTGTGCAGCAGCGGCAGCAACTGCAACGGCAACAGCTTGACTCTCTGACTTTCGAGGACGCCCTGGGCCACGCTTCTTTGGTGGAGCTGCCTCGCCTGGGCTGCTAATCTTTGGTGCGTCGGCCTTTGGATGCTTGGGAGGGCGTCCTGGGCCACGCTTCTTAGGAGGTTCGGGCTCGGCAGTTTCCTTTCTGGTATGCTCGTGGGTGTCATGCTTGACCAAGTTCTTTTTCTTCGGAGGACGCCCTGGGCCTCGCTTCTTGGGTGTCGCATCTTGTTGTGCGATCACATGTACGTTCGTTTTGCCATTTTTTGCCGCTTGCTCCGGTTTGCTAGTAACTAAAGGCCTGTGCTTGGGTGGACGCCCTGGGCCTCGCTTCTTTGCGGGTGGTGGAGAGCTTGTGTCCGCCTTGCTGTCTTCGTTTCTGTCGGATGGAACTACAGCCGGCTCATGCTTTTCATCATTGCGGTATTTGGGAGGGCGACCCCGCTTCCGTTTCGCTGGAAGGACATCCGGTGCGGCTACTGCCTTTTCCGGCGCCTTTCTAACAAACATCCCCTTGCCATTCCGAGGCTTTGCTGCACCAGCAGCGTCATCTGGTGCGTCAGAATGATTGGCTGCGCCATGATCTTTGCCGCCGCTGTGCGATTCTTGCCCTACCGGAGACAACGCTTTAGCGTCGTTGTCCTCATCCTTTGGTGCTGGGTTCTCCCCATGCTTGGCGTTAACATCCTGTTCTTGCTCGTCGGGTTGCTTGGCATTCTGCGCCACCGGGTCATCGACACTTGCTTCGCTGCTAACTCGGCGAACAGTTTCAGTGCGATCGATTTTGCAGGAGTTTCCACCAGAAATGTTCAAATTAACTTCATGCAGCTCCTTTTCTCTGTTGATTGTGACAACATCACCGCATTTGGGAAGCCCATCAGCAATCGTCTCGCTCACGATAGAAACTGGGGCAACGCGGACTATATCGCTTGGGGGAGGATCAGTTGTTGTAATAATTGCTGCTGGGTCAGTGGACACGTCGTGACCTTTTGTTGTTGGCATATTGTCAGCAGCGGAGCCGTTCGGCGCAACTGTGCTTTCAGAAGGTTTGACTGGTTTAAGCGGAACAGTTGGCTCTGGAATCGCCACCGAAACGACAAGGCTCTCTGCCACCTTACTTGCTTTGTTGCGGCTTGAAGAAGAAGCGCCAAGCAAACAAGCAACTCCGGTGGGACTGTCTTTTTCGGAACAGGATGCGGCTTCGCTATCGGACACTCTTGTTGGTATGTCAATTTTGGAAACTCCAATAAGCCCAGAAGGCTTCAGAGACGCATGGGTAGAGGGTGGCTTATGGACGTAGTCGTTGTCGCAAGAATCAGGAACTATGATTGTTGGTTGTTCCTTTTCAGGTTTCGCGATCGTTGGCGGCGTCTGATGGGTTTCAGTATGTTTCTCCCGCGGTGCTTCTTCCGACGAAGCAGGTGGCAGAGATTGTTCAATAACTTCATCTTCAAGCTGCGGCACACTGTTCTCAACCGACTCTTCATTCTCATTTTCGCTAGATGTTTTCGCCTCTAAAGTACTGACTTCTTCCGTTTCTTCCGCTTCCATAGACACATCCGTCATCTCAACATCCATTTTCGACTCTCCATCCAAGTTGGACGCAGGTGTTGTTGTGTCTTTTGTTGCCTCAGCTTCCGCGCCATCCACCCTTTCCGCAGCGGTTTCTTCTTTGTTGCTGTCGTCGGCACCTTCTGCGTCCACCACAACATCAACCTCACTTTTGCTGGCGGGTGCATCATCATCGACTTCCATGACGTCCTTGTTACCATTAACATCCTCGTCAAAGATGCATGGTTCCGTTTGGACTTCCGGCAAAGCCTCTTCGAACTCCTCTTTGATAACAATGGCAGATTGCTCCTTTAGCAGTTTTTCCTCTTCTTCCGTCAGAAGCTTCACTGTGCTAGAGTGCAAATCAATCCATTCAAAACCACCAATGTCATACTCCACATAAAGCGGCTTCCGCCTGTTCCGAATCAATCGCGTAACAATACCCTCCATGAACTTCAGCTCTTTGGGACACTGAACAGCGATGCGAGTGCCAATTCCAACTTGTTCCATGACCAGAGGCTTCTCGGGAACCTCTGGTTCTACTTCAACTTGTATAGATTCCTCGTCTTCAGAGGTGGCATCAAGGCTTTCTTCGGAATCCGATGAAGATTCCTCGTCGTCGTCGTCATCAGTTGTCTCTGGTCTCTTTTCGTCTTCTTCGATAGTCTTGGGCTTGTCTGGCTCCTCATCATCGTCCATCTCCAAATCTGGATTTGCTTTTCGTGCCTCCTTTTCCCTGAGCATCCGAAGCAAAGGAGAGTCATGTGGTTTCCTCTTGCGGCCTCGCTTTGCACCCGGAATCTTGGTCGCAATGCTTGCATCCTCCTCGGTGAGAAACCTGACCTTCCGTTTCGGTAACTCGACCCATTCACTGTGTCCCTTGTCGTAAGTAACAAAGTAACATGGCTTACTCCGGCTGTTGCGAGGGATCTGACGATGCGTGACAGTGCCATCCAAGAACTTGTCCTTGATTGGGCAAAAAACAGCCACCCGAGTCCCCAGCGCAATTTCCTTGTGAGGGTGTGGCTCTTCCCGTGACTCTAGACGATCTTCCCTTTCGTCGTCCGTAGTAGCAGATGTCTCTGTTGGTGTGGGGCTGAGACACTTGGGTCTGGATCGGCTAGCAGCCGGCGGCGGTTTTCTCCTTACATTCTGTCTGGCCAATGAGAACCGACCGCCAACAGCACGATGTCGTTCTTGCTCGCTGCCGCTGCTGCTATCACTACTGGAAGTATCGATGCGACGTCGTCTCCTTTTGCGCCCACTACTGCTCCTTCGACGTTTTTTTCTTCGTTGACATCTTTTCAGCACACAAAAGTTTCGAGTTCGCAAATCCAACCATTGAGTGTCCCCGTCATCGTACTGCATGAAGAATGGCCGTGGATGCCCCATTCGATGTTCTGTAACCGTCCCCTCAAAGTAGCGCTCCTCCTCGGACCAGTAGACAGCCACACGAGCCCCCACGTGCACTTGCCTAACATCTGAGACGAGTTCAATGTCGCTGTCATCACCCGAAGTAGACGACGAGGAGGAATCTGAAGCGGAGCCTGAAGAACTAGAAGAATCTTCGGAAGTGGTAATGTTGCGTCGTCTGTCGCCACCATGGTCACGTCCGTTCATAGCTTTGACTCGGCAGGTTTGATGCTGTCGATCATCATCTTCTTCGTCATCTTCTAGTTCATCGTCGTCATCATCTTCTTCACTATCATCATCGTCGTCATCTTCCGCCGATGAATCTTCTTCCACAATCTCATCCGTTTCCCGAATTCGCCGTGGTTTGCGTCGTCTTCTTCCACTTTTTCGCACCGGTGAAATGACAGAGTCATCTCCCCGGTCGAGAAATCGAAACTTGACTTGATGTAGGTCGATCCATTCATATTCCCCGTCTTCGTATTCCAGTTTGAATGGCTTTGGATGATTTCTGTCTCTTCGTTGCTTGACGACGGTTGCTTCGTAGTACTGTTCGTCATCGCTCCAGTAGACGGAAACACGTGCTCCAATCTGAATGTCCGGTGGGCTGTTGTTGTTGTGGTTATGGTTTGTACTACTTGTTGTTGAACGCGCAGCACTTGTGGGTGTCGTTCGTGAGCAAGAATCCGTCTTGTGTTGTGACATCATCGTACGTGTCGGTGTACTGGGTTGTGAGGAAGAGGATGCCGAATTGTTGTGGTTGTTGTTACTAGACGACGACGCTTTGGATCGATTTCGTTTTCTGGGTCCAATCCGTGGCGTCAAAACTAAAAATTCCGTCATTCCCGTCGCCAAATCGATCCATTCGGTTTCCCCATCGTCGTATTCGAGGTAGTAGGGTCGTTTTCGTCCTTCCACCACTTTGGAGACACTTGCGCGATAGTACTCATTTTCCGCCGGCCATAGAACGGCGAGACGCGATCCCACAACAATTTGTTCTAGCTTTTCTTGGAGAGTCTCCTTTCGAGGTCGCCCTCGTGGTCGTCCTTTGGGTCTTCCTCTCTTGTTGGCAGTTTGTTGTTGCTGTTGTCGTCGTTGCTTCCGTCTCCTTTCACGCGCTCTTCGTTCCTGTTCCGAGTCGTAATCGGGGTCTTCTTCTTCATCCTCGTCGTCTTCTTCCGGGGGAGGAGGCGTTGGTGCGGGCGCTGGCACCACTTTCTTGGGCGTTGGAGATTGTTTGGGAGCGGTCATAGTAGTAGATGTGGTCGTAGTAGAAGGGGTAGTAATAGTAGTAGTGACCGTTGAGGTGTTTGCTTTTGGTTTAGGCGGTTGATGCTGTTGTTGTTGTCGTTGTCGTCGCTCTTGGCGTTGTTGTTGTAGTTGCTCTTTTCGTCGTCTGGCAATGTCACTCTCATCATCATTGTCGGTGATTCCGTATCGTTTCACGGTCTTTCTCCTTCTACCAGTTTGAGTAAAACCTGATTCTAGCAAATCGTCGTCCGTGGGAGGTGGTGGCGCTGGTGAGACTTCTTCTTCTTCCTCATCGTCGTCCTCTTCTTCGTCCTCATCATCGTCTTCTTCCAACTCGTGATGACTGGCGCGTCTGATAGATGTAGTGATTGTTGTTTTGGTGGCTTGGTCATTTTCATCGTCATCGTCATCGTCGTGTTCAAACCCCAATTCTTCCAAACGACGAATTTGATCCGACGTCAATTTGTCGCGTCGAATTCTTTGACTGTACACCCATCGGCCCAATCGTCGATCTTGGTCAAACCGAATTGGCACTTGACAATGGCCGTGCTTTTTTTGATACGCTTCCAACAACGCAAACGACTCTTCCCAAGTTCGTTTGCGGTGCTGTTGATCGTCTTCCTCCAAATGGTGATGGTCATTCTCCGAGTCATCGTCGCCGCTGATATTATCGTCCCTGCTGTTGCGTGTCTCGTCTTGCTCCGTCATGGTCAACAAACACATGGCATGCCCCCCAAAATAAATGTAGTTTCCTCCCGTTCTTTGTTTTGGTCGCTTGCTGTGATTTGATTGCCTTGCCTTGTTCAAAAATAAAAAAAGAGGCACCCCTGTTTTCTTGTTCTATCTTGCAAGTGCCTCGCAAAACTGATGGTATGGCAAGCCTGGCCGGTGTGTTGCTGTGACGGCTGAGAACCTGGAAATTAAAAGAAGAAGGGAGCTCCGATGTCAGGAGCATCTTGCATTGGGAACGTTGAAGTGGCCATGCTCGCTTGCTATACTCCAGGAGGAACTCGGCAAACGTCAGCGTCGGTGACGTCATTACGAATCTTGAAAAGAATCAAGTCGGAGTGTTGCCTTCCACTTGTTTAGAGAAAAAAATTTAGAGAACCGCCAATCTTGCCGTAAATGGCAGTCATTTTGGTGGGTCACACTCCAGTGTCACATCACTTTCCCTAAATCCGCTTGTAAATAAATCACCAAAAGCGCGATCCATTCCGCATCCAAGGACCCAAATTTGGCTTCCGGGTTCGCATGCAAACCTCCAGACTTCTTGCTTTCTCACGGATCCTTTGATTGATGACACGGGGTGTCAAGGATACCTTCCACTTGCGATCATTCTCAAAAAAGTCAGATTTCTTGTTGGGATGATGCTGCAAGCTGCAAAGGATCGGAACATCGGAACGGCAATCAAATACCGGTATCCAAGTTCTGCTTCAGCTGAAGGTATGTATCTTTGAGATCTTTGGGAACAAGAAGAACAACCATCTGCTTTGCTACAAGTACAGGCTTCTTTGCAAACAGAACATACAAAGGATATAACCATAGCTGTCCTGTAGATCCACGTTGTCTTCTCGTCCTTAGAGATATTAGTAGCTCCAAGCGCTTAGTGCAGTTTTTATTCCACTTTTGATTAGTCTAGAAGGAGAGTATCCAGTACCGGTAGGCTAGAAGCTTCGTTTGTACACCCAGCCACCAGACTTGAGCTTGGAGTTGAGCAAGGAAGTTTGATGCCAAACTTGAAGTGGGATAGTTACACAACCAACTAACAATTGCTACAGTCTAGCTATATGTAGTGGACAACAGGTCCAAGTCTGCGTGTTGGATTGGACGGAGAGGTGGGGGAGCCTGAGAGGCGCACCTCAACGTGGTCACTGGTAACAAATTGTAGCTCCGCCGGTTTATATTTAAAGATACCTTACACCTTCCGAGAAGATCCAGGCAAATCTTTGCACCCCCACCCATCTTTTCTTTCCATCCTTCCCACACTTCAAGCGGAAGAAGTTATTATTTTGTTGCAAACAATCATCTTGCAAGAGAGATGACCATGATATCATCCATCCTGGGTCTCCGTCAGGGGGCTTTGCGAGCTTCGTCCAAGAGAACTGGGATTTCTCAAAGAGCTCTTTCATCATTATTGGGACAAGAGACTGGCTTGGCGTCGATTTCTTCTTGGCCAACAGCCAACAGACCTCATCGGCCGTGGCGAGGCGCCAGACAAACTCCATTTCGATCTGGAATTATTCAAAGAAACGTTTGGTCGACTGGAACCACTCCACCCTTGGGTGGTGATTTGCATCCACTGATCTCGTTGACACCAGACGAAATTAGTGCCGCTGCCAGCGTGGTCAAGGCTCATTATTCCGACGCGGCAGAAGAAATTCGATTCGTCGCCATTGCGCTCAACGAACCCAACAAGGCGGCGCTTCGAGGCGGTGACAAGCCACCACGACAAGCAGAAATTATTGTGATCAATACCACCACGGGAATTGCTTCGGAACTGACCGTTTCTTTGGTCGATGCAACCGTCATTTCTGTAAAGGAATTGGAACGTGGTGTCCAGCCTTTATTGACCCCGGATGATTGCGACCTCGCCGAAGCCATTTCCAAAAGTTCACCCGAGTTGCAAGCTGTCTTGAAAGAACGCTATGGAATCACAGACATGTCTCGAGTGGCTGCCGATCCCTGGTCTGTGCATCTCGCGAGTGAGGAGGATGTAGCCATGACAGAACCAGACGATCCATCATTGCCCCCTCGTCGGCTTGTGCAGACATTTTTGTATCAGCGAGTGGATGGAGACGGCATAGAGGACAATCATTATGCCCATCCAATCGTCATTTTGCCAGTTGTGGATCTCAATTCCAAAACGGTGATCAAGATTGATGGACTGGATCGACCGGCAACCAAAATCCCTCAAGCAAGTGTCAACTACCACCGTGATTTACTCAACACCAATTCCTACTTGCAAACGCAGTGGAGAGCTGATACGCTCAAGGCATTGGATATCACGCAACCAGATGGTCCATCCTTTACCGTAACGGACAATCTGGTGGAATGGCAGGGCTGGAAGTTTCGAGTGGGATGGAACTACCGCGAAGGAATTGTTTTGCATCAGGTTCACTTTAATGATCGCCCCGTGGTCAACCGATTGAGTCTGGTGGAAATGGCCGTGCCGTATGCTGATCCATTCCCGCCGTTTCCTCGAAAATGTGCCTTGTGAGTGCTCCTGACAAGGTCTCTGCTCCGCGGATTGGCTCTTCTCTCTCACAAATGATTTCTCTCCTCCTGTTGCCTGTCTGCTTCATACCGTAGCGACGTTGGTGATTATGGGCTTGGATTTTGTGCCAATTCGCTAGAGTGAGTGATGCTTCAGATCGTCCATGGACCTTCTTCTTTCCTCATCTCTTCACTGATCTAATGATTGGTTCTTGTTTGTTTTGATGTTTGTTTCAGGCTTGGATGCGACTGTTTGGGACATATCCATTACTTTGATGCCGCCCTCAACGATTCCAAAGGAGACCCTTACGTTGTCAAGAAAGCTATTTGCATGCACGAGGAAGACCAGGGAATTCTGTTCAAACATGTAGAGTATCGCAATGGACACAGCGAATCAAGACGTGCTCGAGAATTGGTTATTTCCAAAATCTGCACGGTTGTCAACTACGAGTACCTAATGTATATTCGATTCAAGCTCAATGGTGAGATTGAATTTGAGCTTCGACTGTCGGGGGAGCTTTCCACCAATCAACCATCTGCAGGAGAAGACCCTAACGATCCATCCCATGGAGTGTTGTGTGCACCCGGTGTGAACGCCCAAGTACACCAACACATGTTTTGCGCTCGCATCGACATGGCCGTGGACGGTGACAAAAACACCGTGAGTGAGATTGATGTTGTCCCTCACACACCCGGGATGGAAGGAAACCCATACGGAAACGTTTTCGGGCCGGTAGAAACCGTCCTGAAGACAGAAGCAGAAGCTGTGAGACTGTATGATGCCAATAAAGCTCGGGTGTGGAAGGTGTCCAATGCCGAAGGAAAGGTGAATGGCATTACAAAGAAACCAACAGCATACAAGCTAGTTCCATTCACCAAAGGTCCTGCACAACCCCCGTTGCTCACGGCGCCCGATAGTGCCGTATCCAAAAAGGGCGAATTTGCCACGGCGCATCTATGGGTGACACCATATGACGAAACGGAGCGTTATCCTGCTGGAGAATATACCCCACAGGCCAAGGAACAAGCAGGTCTACCTGTGTGGATCAAGGATAATGAATCTATTGAAGGTGAAGATGTTGTCTTGTGGCATGCCTTCGGAGTGACACACGTTCCACGCGTCGAAGACTTCCCCATTATGAACTGCGAAATGACTGGGTTTTCTCTCAAACCGGATGGCTTCAATAGCGGCAATCCTGCCATTGATCTACCGCCCGAGACGAATACAAAGAGCAAGCTTGATTCTGGGTGCTGTGCAAGCTCTAGTTAGCTCGCTGCTGGTAGCCTTGATGTACAGTGTTTCCCGAAACCGATCCAAACGAAGCAGCCGAACATCTGTTCGTTGGCCATGAGAACGTGAGTGCTGGGAACAATTCGTGCCTTTGCTTGGCATACAATCGAAGAAGGTTTGATCCAGTTCTACTGTAAACCAAGTCTAATAGGCCACATTTTTGACCCCACATCCCCAACCTTCAACAGCGTAACTGACATTCCTACCAGTATGGAACTGGCGGTGATTTGATTGGCTTTCAAGTTGTGTGCCTTTCAAAGCAGCCATTGGATTGAGGGGCGAGTCTCTTCTTTCGGAAACTGTCTCCGGATCCTCTAACCTCTTCTTGCTACTGTCTTGGCGAAGCCGAGCTGTGGCATTGGAAGTCGTTACTTCAAGATGGGTCGCTCTTGGTGCTGCTTGGAAGGGCTCTTGAAAAGCCCTTCGAGGCCGAGCCTTGACTCGACTCCTGCTGGTGCTGGGGTTGTTGATTCAAAGTCCCTTACGCCTGTCTCTACAGCCGTCTCGGCGACGACGTTTCGTGGGTTGCATCTTCTGCTAGAGTACTCGAGTATCTAGCTAGGCTCTCTACAGTTTTGTACAGTACAAGAGGTCTTCGCACATCCATGTCTTTGCGAAGTATGTGCAGCCTCCACTCGATTCAATTCCAGCTGCGGCCTGTTTTGTTGTAACCTGTCAGAAACACGCATCGAAAGTGGGACAGCAGCAGGAGATCTTCTTCTGACGACAGAACCGCGACGAAACTAGGTTTGAGTGACACGGTTAAAGAAATCAAGTCCTTCTAGTTTTGAGCTGTGTCTTATCACACATTTGCTCTTCGTTTATTATATCTAGGGAGATGAGAAGAAAATTTCCCTTTCTCTTCAGCTTGTTTTTGAGAAGCCATCTGTCCCATTATTTGTTGTGTTTGACTGCGACACCTGGACGTCCCGAATGCGCACCAGTAGCTAGCTTTGCAGTTGATTCAATTATCGTTCTCCTCAGGACGAATGCTCTGACGGCAGTAAGCGCAAACATCCTTCGTCTTGAGCCATTGATCGACGCAATCCTTGTGGAAGCAATGCCCACAAGGCAATCGTCGCAGGTCGTCTCCCTTTTCATAGGGGAACTGACAGACGAGGCACTTGATTTCCGAATCATCGATATCCTTAGTTCGACCTTCCTGGTCCACGCCGCTGGTACCGTTTGTATTGTTGAGTTTTTCTGGATCGTATTGGAATGTCTTGAGTTTTTCAATCTCCTTGTCGGCAATCATGGTCCAACGATCCGTTTTGACATCTCCAAGACGTTCCCCAAGACGAAGTAGAGCTTCGTATGACATTTCTTGCGACTCTTCAGCTTCTTCATCAACCTCCTCTTCGTAATCAGCTTGTTCCTCTTCCTGCAAGGCATTCTGCAACGCCTCAAAATCTTCTGGTGAGAAGTGATCCGAATTCATGCGGAGAAAGTCGGCGCTCGCGCGATGCGAGGCCATGGCTTCTTCTGCCATGAGCATTTGTGCCAATGCAATGGATTCTTCTTCTTCTCGTTGCGCCCGTTCCTCGGCAGTTTCTTCAACGTCCACAGTTTCATCATCCTGGTCGTCTTGTGAATCGTTGGAAGAGGAAGCTACGGGGGATTGTCGCGGAGCATCGTCGCCTTCCAAATCGTTTAGGATTCGAAAAGAACGATTCTGTTGCTGTCGATGCTGCTGATGATGATTGCGAATCGAAGGATGATGGATCCAATTCTGAGACGTCGGGCTGTTCATAAAAGACGACGAGGACGGGGAAGACATTCCATGGAAAGACTCTTCGAGGCCACGGGAGAGGTCTGGTAAGGATAGTTGCCGTCCATCCAAGAAGTGACGACCACTAGGGGCTCTAGTAGCCATAGAGTCGTTGCCGTTGCCGTTGCCGTTGCTGTAGGTTTCGGTTCGTTCGGTCATGTTTTCTTCGTGTCCGGCGTAGCTGTGCTGATGTTGCAAGACGGGACGACTTGGGCGTGCGACACTGGGAGGCTTGTCGAGAATGCCTGGAAATGTTGTATTATCCAAGCGCTCGTCATTCTTGGGACAGTTCATCATTGCGGTCGATTTGCAGATGGGAGAGACAGCGATCATCTCTTCGTCTGTGTCCATGATGGAAGGATTCATGTTCGCAAGGCAAACAAACAAGCAAGCTTTGCTACTTGGGTTTCTCTATGTCAAGGACAGAGTCAAACAGCTCTAACTAATGGACAATGGTCGATTGTTGTGCACTGGCAACAGAAAACAGAATGGAGTTGAGCAGGAGTTTGCAAGGGATCGCTGAAGGTCAGGTTTTGCTTGAATTTGTGGGGCCTTTACAGAAGAAACGGCCGCAACATGAATTTATCTTCAAACTGATTGTTTTTTATCTTCGGTCATAGTGAACACTATACTCTTAATTATCAAATGCTTTTGAGATGGTAATTAGGAGGATAGTGTGTGGGCACTCCGAATTTTTGTATGGGTGTAGATCGGAAGAGCAGCTCCACAGCTCCACACCTGTCATCCATGCCAAAGAAACAGGCGCGATAGCTCGCGATATCCACCCGGAAAGAAGAAGAAAAGGTATTATTTTAGGGCCCCACCGCACTACACCATAGACAATTCCACTGAACGGTGCCATAATGCACCCACATATCATACCTCAGACACACAAAGGTGCCCACTTAGGAACGGGCCTAATGCAAGCCCCCCCCACAGAGAATATTAAAAACTCCATGGGGCGCTTGGCTAATACTAGCTTTCCACCCGAAACGCTGGTCAGAGCTAGTGAAGAGACTGGAACCATGATTTGCTCACTGAATACATATAATCGATTATTACAACTCATGAGAGTAAGCTCAGCTGCGCCAACGGCATGGAGCACCTTGCCCTTCTTACAGCTTTTCGCCTCTCGTCCTCCTCACTTCTTTCGCCCATCTTGCTTTACCCAAACATATCAGAATGGTTGAATTCGATTCAATCTCCGCTTCGAGATGATATCCACATGCTTTGCATCGTCACTCTGAACCTGTCAGATGACTGCCGAATTGCAAACAACACTGGATGAATGGATGTACCATGCCAGTGAAGCAAGTCAAGAAGTGGTGTCTTGCTTGGTATGGGCCAGTGGTGGCAGGGGTTGTTGACCGCGCATGTGCTGGACTGGACCAGCCAGCCATTGTTTTGCTGCCCACTCGCCCAACACTGGCTGCAACTCAAAAGTGTGACTGGCGGGAGCATTGGGGTGCAAACATGGATCTTTGAGTGCTTGTTTGTGAATGGACTGCCACGTGCATGCGTAACGTACATGTAGGTCTAGCTAGGGTCTCGACCCAGCCTTTGGCAGGCCACTGCCGCATTTGCAATTTTGATCCAGTCATCGCCTTCACTTTCACAGTTGTTTCTTGGACCCTTATCCCTCGCAAGGTGAATTTGTCGAGCGGACCTACATGTACAACTGGGGTCCTCCACCACGATTGACCAATCTCGCTGCAGCTGGTCCAATGGGAGTCATGTACTAACCCAAATGGTACCAGTAACATGGAGAGGGTAGCTTTCGGAGGTATCTTTAACTGTGATCCAGCCCCACAACATGCCGATATTGGCAAGAGATCTCTGGTCGCAACACGCATGTGAACTGGCAGTATCGTGCGGTTTTGTGGCTCCGAAATCGGTCACGAGAATGCGAAGTTGTGAGCCAGTTTTCCGAGTGAGAAGGTGCTCGATGTTTGTTTTTTAATTAGGCATGCGCTGCCGAGATAGCACGCTTACCAAATTTAAGCCCACAACTTCTGAGCAGCCATCTTTCGTCGAAAGCTTGCACTCAAACCTGAAAAAAGGATACTCGGCATTGCTGGGGAGAGTTTGTCGTCAGTTTTTCTCATTTTCACCTGCCGAAGGAGTTCATAGGTGGTCGTAAAACCATCCGGTCGATCTTGACCGCACTGCCAGGCTAGCCAGCAGAGCTCCAGCAGTTACCGGTACCACTAGTTATTCGAAGCAAGAAGGAGCTGAAGAAGGCAGATTGTTGCTCTAGCTAGTCTAGAGCTTTTCTCTGCTTTTCACTCTGCGGCTCTGGTGACAACCCAACTTTACTTGTCCGAGGGTTGTAATATCCTCTCCTTTCATCTTGTTCCTTCTCATAAAATCAAATCGACTTCCTCAAAAGAGGGAGCGCTTGACACACACATTTTCTTGAGATACATATTGGATCATTGATCTGTAGCTTGATACCCCTGCCACGAGATTCGCAACATTTTGCAACAATGAGCACTGAGGAAATGAGCATTGAAGTAGTGATGCCCGATTGCTGCCAGCCGTCCAACTCGTCGGGTGTTCTCGAACCATTTCACGGACAACCAAGACCCCACGGCCAGCCCCATCCAACCTTGCAACAAGTAGACGCCCTTGCGCACGACGTTGAATCTTTGCGTCGCAACCTGGGCGTGCACGACCCTCTGTTGAATTGGCAGGTGTCCCGCCACGAGATGAATCTATGCGACATCAGGACTTGGTTTCCCAACGATGACCATGTTGCCTTTTATTCTCCAGCCGCCAAAACAACGGATATTCCAAGTTATGACCGCCTCACCTACCGCCAACTTCACAAAGCGTTGGACCAGTGCCCTTCTTTCGCGGCGAGTCCTACTAGTGATACCAACGTGGCCATTGTTCTACCCGTAGATCACATGGCTCACACAGCCATGGCATTGCTATCCGTCATTTCTGTGGGGGCCGTTGCTGTCCCATTGGATCCTCGTATGCCGACTTTTCGGGTGCTAGAAGCTATGCAGCAGCTGGATTGTGCCGCATTCGTCGCGTCACAGTCCATTCTCTTGGAAGGAAAGCTCCCTCTCCTCGAAAAACAACCAGACGGAACCTACAAAACAAGTCCCGCACTGATGCAAGAAAATTCCACCGAAGAAAACAGACGACTTGTGGAATACTTTACAAACGACGTTAAGGAGATTCGCATGGTGGACTGTGGCGTTTGCGGTCGTCTCGATTGGACCATCCTGGAAAAGACTGGAACAGGCGATGAAGGGATCGTTTGGGCTGTCCAGTCCTCAAAATTGTCAAAGAACAGCCAGAAGGCCAAACAAACAACAAACCCGCAGAAAACAGCAATGCTACTTCGAACCTCCGGAACCACCAACAAGCCCAAGGTGGTTCCCATCTCCCATTCTCATCTTGCATTCGCCGCTACGGGCATTGCATCAGCTCTTGCGCTCAAGCGGGACGATTGCAATTGCAACTCCATGCCATTCTATCATATTGGAGGAATCAGTGCAAACCTCTTGGCGGTCCTGATCAGTGGTGGATCTGTCATCATGGCTGGTCCACTGACTGATCCAGATGTCTTTCTAGATCACATCGAGACAACACCTGGGAAGGACGTGACCGCCACTTGGTACTATGCTGGCCCTTCCATGCACAAGGCAATCCTATTGATGGCCGAATCAAGGTGGGAGGCAAACTTCCGGTGCCTACCCAACAACCTTCGCTTTGTTCGCTCTGCTTCGGCACATCTCAACCATGACATGGCTCTCAGGCTCTCCAGGGTATTTGAGTGTCAAGTTATTCCTACCTATGGTATGAGCGAAGCCATGCCAATCTGTTCTAGTGCACCCATTGATGTTAGATTTCGCCCCCCTTGTGAGGTTATTGACTCTGTGGGATACTCTGTGGGCACAAGCATCCGAATCTTGGATCCAGAAACTGATGAAGTGTTGGAGTATGGATCAGACCAAGTAGGAGAGATCTCTGTGAAGGGCCCTGGTGTCATCTCTCATTATGTTGGTCTGGATGTCACCAAGACTCACACACCTGATGGTTGGCTCAAGACTGGTGACCGAGGCACGCTAGACAGGCAAGGCCGCCTCTTCATCAAGGGCAGGAGTAAAGAGATGATCAAGAGAGGGGGAGAGCAGGTCTGGCCCAATGAGATTGATGATGTGGTTGAGAAGGTTGCAGGAGTTGCCACGGCTGTGACATTTGGTGTCCCCAATGAGCTGTGGGGAGAAGAGGTAGCTGTGGCTGTGGTCTTGAGTGATGGTGACCAGATTGACAACGAAGCTTACATCCATAACCTGGAGAATCAAATTATGGAAACATGCAGATCCAAGCTTGATGACTTGTCTATGCCACAGCAGATCAAGTTCCTTCCATCCACAAGTTGTCTGCTCAAGGGCTCCACTGGAAAATACATCCGATCCAAAATGGCCTCTCATTTGGGTATCACTGCAGTAGATACTGGGGCACTACGGGTGCTGGAGTCGGTCGGCCAGTTTAAGAAGGCTGCGAACCTGCCAGCAACTCCAACCACTGTTTGTACGTCGGCTTTCGATGGCAGCAACAGTGAAAATAACGATGTGCCCTGGTGGGATTCTACCAATGAAGATGGGCGGCGCGTGATGCCTTCTGATGCTCTCAATGGACTTCGCTTTTTGGTTGCCTGTGTTGTGGTAGGAGTCCATGTGGGACAATATCCGAATCTTTCCTGGGTCAAGCTGCAAGCCTACCAACCGAACATGATGATCTTCTTTGGCATTGGAGGTTTTCAGATTGCATGCTCAGTGGCACGGTCGGTCAAGGAACGTTGGGCAAGCTTTGTTGGGAGCAAGATTGGGAGCCTCCACACTCTTTTTGTCCTTGCCCAGCTGTTCACTCTTCCATCGTACATTCTCTTCTTTGCTTTTGATGAGAATGGCAACATGAAATGGGATATGACAGAGTGGATAAAATTTTCGATCCAGTTCCTCTTTGCTACCATCACTGGGATGGGACACGGTTTTGATGTCAACAAGTTCACTTGGTTCCAATCTACATTTTATATGTTCTTGATCATGTTTCCTTTCTTGGATGATTTCTTAAGGCGCCAAACTCTAAAGTGGCAAGGAATTCTATTGGTGTTGTTTGGAATCCTTGCAGCTGGAATTTGGGGTCTCCTTTACTTGATTGTTCCTTCAGATATCTTTTGGGGTCCTCTGTACCCAGTAGGATGGTCCATTGTGACATGGCTGCCTTTGTTGGTGGCTGGCATGTTGGCAGCCTATTTCTTCCGACGAATCGCTGAGTACTACTTGAAACAGCGGAACAAGGACCTAGAGGAGCGGAATGAGGCACAGCCTCAATCAGATGACCCAGACACACTTCTTGTAGAAGACGTGGCTGCATATTCCAAAATCTGGGGCTGGGCAACAGATGTGTGCAGTTTCATCTTGCTGCTTTTTGCCATTGCAGTTGCTGCAAGCCCAAACTGTCTATGTGTCCACAATGATACCATTGAAGCCATGCGACCTGGGGAGCCCCTGCCAGAGGAAGAATGTAGCTTCTCAGATGGCAGAGAAGACTACCGATGGATATGTGGCATAACTCACGAGGAATGGATCAACGTAATCCAGCCTGACCCAAACCACATTGAATATGGCCGGTTTCCAACCATGTTTGGTGGTGCTATTGGATATCTCAGAACCATTGCTCCCTTGTTGCTCTTTTGGATAGCAGCAATGGGCTTTGGCAATGGCTACACTGCCAAGTTCTTCTCATCCAGGATCATGACAAGGCTGGCCCCTCTTGGCTACCCTGTATACTTACTCCACATGGGAACTGCACGCTACTACTGGATTGCCACAAGGGGTTGGGTGAAACAGGATTGGTGGGAGCTTGGTGGGGAGATTCCCTTTCCAGTGCAGTGGTATGAAACGTTCCTGGTTTTGTTCATCACCATTGTATTTGGGTTCCTGATCAACAGTTTCCTGGTACCACCACTCATGGCGCACAGTATATCATTGGGTGTCAGAGTGTGCTCCTTTGTGAGCAAGTGTGTCAAATGCATCACATGCCAGAAAGCACAGGAACAAGAACTTGAGAATGATGATTCATTTGATGGTCAGATCAAGGTTTCTACATACAATCAAGTCAAGACAATGGTGCGAGGCTTGACTGGAGTGGATGTGAATAGGAGTATCAAGCTCAAGTACTTGGGTTTGGACTCCCTTGGAGCCACAGCTTTACTTGGCATGCTTCGCGCCTCTGTCCCTGCAGCCAAAAACCTGACAATTCAACAGCTTCAAGAATGTGAGACAGTTGGTTGTCTATCTGATTTCCTGGATGAGTCTTCATCATTAATATCTGGCGACGACACCAGGCAAACGGGCTCTGGTGATATGGAAAGTGGAGACAGTGGGTCCTCTGATCGTTCCAGCAACCACTCATCGCCATGAATTGACTGCTCGGGACGATAGGATTGAAAATAATCTTTGGTAGTCGAAATTGTAGATGTCGAAGGATGATAGAACTGTAGACCAGTATAGCTATTTTTGTTATTTTTAAGAGGCATTCTGTTTCCTATTTTATTAATACTGCCATTGGACAGCATGTTAGGTTTTGTAGAAAGCAATACTTGTATGATGAAGTATCTTCATGATGAGAGCCGCTAAAGTTGTCTGGGATGGGTTGGGCTGGGCCTGCAGGAGCTCCCTGGACGGGCCGACTGAACTCTGGGCACCAGGGAAGTCTTCTAGAAGCTACATCAGGCACTGAAGACTATGATTGGCTTCCATGGCTAGCATGCCGAACGACGGCGTCAAAAGCGGCCTGGGCGCCGCCGCTGAAAGCAGGCTGGAGCAGTGGTTATCGCCATGAAAGAAGAGGCTCTGGCACAGATAGCTGTACAGATACACGGCATACGGCAGAGCCAACTATCGGCATCCATGCAGAACAATCGGTCCAGGCAGACCAACAAGCAATGTCCTGTGTTGCAAGTTGTTCTTGACATCAGGGTCGAGTCTTGCGATGGGAGGGACATGACGCATGAGTTGCACTCAAGGTGTCAAGTTCGTGTCCTGGCGAATATTCGGAGCAACTTGAAGCATTTGAAGGAAAGTTTCTGACCTCCTTCATGTTTTTCCTAATCAACTGTTGTTCTGGCTGCAAAATGACCAATGACCTCTGACGTAACCCAATCCAGAGCCTTTTTCCTTAATTTTTTCTTCCCTTCACCGTCCTGGTACCGTTATGCGTATGTATTGACTGGTACCGTTTTGCATGCACATGTACTGACAACAAGAATCGAGACCAACCATCAAGTGGTGTCACTGCCAATTGCGTGGGCACAACCGCCGATGTGCACGCAAGAGATGATGGCCTAACTGGTGTCATTGCGATTGATGTGATTATTCGCCCACGATCCCTTCGCCTCTTCCATCATTCTTGTTACCCAGTCTCGCTTCATTGGAAGTGGTGCCTGAGCCGCATGCAAACGTAGTCTCTTGACACCATCAATCTCCAAACAGCCCATGACCTCACCAAGCAACCATCATCCGATGATGACCGGGATGGGCTCATAAAACCAAAAACACAAAAAACAATCATTCAATACAAGATGAAAAAGCAATCATCCAAACTACTCCTTTTCCTCGTTCTCGAACTCGCATCGAGAAATGCAACCAATGCCTTTCTCGCGACCAAACCACCATCGCGTCGAGGCCATGTAGTGGCAAATGACAGAGTTGTACAGACAGCTTCGTCATTGGCGAGCCCTACCCGGTTCACTGCGAACAATCCAATTCGCTCCCAGCAAAGTCATCTATACTTTGACTTGGCGTCAGTTCTGGATCCCGTATCATTGCAAGACTCGCTGCCCCCCGTTTTGCAACAGCTATCGCAAACTCTGTTTTTTCAGCCGACAGAGACCCTCTCCACAGCTCGTATGATCCAGACTGCGGGAGAGGCGTCTTTTGCGGGATTGTTTGCTATTGCTGCCGTCCAGGGGGCCTTGGTCATGAGGCAATATCAGACCAATCCCAACGGTGGCTTGATTGTCCCACCTGGGTTGACGGTGGGCGACGAAGACGCCACCAAAGACACTATACCCATGGACTTTGCTGCTGCTGCACCAATGACGAATGGGGTGGCGGCATTGAAAGCCCAGACTGTCATGACTGATGAGGAGATCCAAGCCATGGTCTGTAATACAGAAGATACCGAACTTTCTTGCGCCATGAAGAAGCAATGGTACCACATCACCACTCAGGTTTTGGCCGTTGCACTCATTCCGCTTGCAGCGGTTGCCGCGCCATCTATGGGCTTGGCATCCTTCTTCCTCCGGTTTGAGCACATTATGCACTTGGCTGTCATGTTTGGTTTGACACATGTCTATGACTTTTTTCGCAAGTTGCCCAGCATGGAGACCCTTGCAGGCAATATCGAACGGCCAAGCGTAAGCGCACAACAGCAAGAACCAATGTTTTCAGGAGACCACCCCCGTGTTATGGTGCTCGGCGACAGCATGTGTGTGGGGATTGGAACTTGTGAGGGTGAGTACTACGGTAGTCGGAAGCCAGTATGCATACAGAGGTCTGCGTTACGGAGGCAAAAATCTCACCGTTTTGCTTTCTTTCCATGATTTTTCAGTCTTCGACGGTGAAAAGGTCTATGACATTCCCCTTCACAAGGAAGAACATTTGGCCGATACCCCTGACGATATTCTCACTTCTGCCTCACCTGGCCCCGTCTTTCCCAAAATCCTGGCAAAGACATTGTCGCAGCGACTCCAAAAGCCCGTTGCGTGGAGGAGCGCAGGAGTCGACGGAGGTTCCACCTTAGACATTGCCGAGCACTTGCTCGAGGTCGTCCAAGACGAAGTGGACCAAGACAAGGCACCAGACTTGGTAGTTGTTTTGACAGGATCCAATGATCTGAAGCATCTCTTGGATGGTTCCGCTTCTGTCAAGGGATTTCGATCCAACTTGATGGACTTGGCCAAACAAATCCAAACCATCTCCCCCAAGACAAGAGTGGTCTTCCCGGCACTCCCGACCTATCGAATGGACCAAAAAAGCATCCTCAACGTGTTCCCTTTGAGTGTCTTTTTGGACTCGTTCATGGGCGTTTGGGATGCCCAAAAGATGACGGTAGCAGACCAATGCCCTGGAGTTATGCATGTGGACTTGACCGTCAAGGATGTGAACAGCTGGTACCAGAAAGAAGAGGGCGAGGAACCAGTAAGTCTAATTGCCGCGGATGGAATCCACCCAAATGCAAGATGCTATGCAAAATGGGGAGCCTTTGTGGGCAACAGCCTTGCTGATCAAATCTCGAACGAGTCTGTTTCGGAGCCCAGCAACTTTGTAATGAACAAACCTTCGCACCAAGAACAGCACTTTGCGGGAGGCTTTGGCATCCGTGCTTGATTTGGCGCAGCCAAGCAACATCAGCGCCTGTGAAATATTGCGATTTGTATATAACTGAAGAACCATTGAGGTATTGCAGAATGTATTGATGGAAAGAATGCTACAATTGAACAGAATAGAGCCAATATAAAAGATAAACATAGAGCTATTCAGTTTTGCTTTTATAGACAGACCAAGTTAGCAAGATGTGGGCGGGCATGAGGCAGACCGCACGGGGCACACAGCAAACAACAGGGAAAGGGCGGAGAGCAAGCCAGCTAGTAGCAAGTTGAAGGAAAACAGCACACAGGCAGCATGCCGATAGTCCAGCTAGCTACTCTTATCCCTTGCAAATCAAAGCACTTTGCACTTTGTGCCCACTCAGAATTCGGGAATGTTTTCGCAGGAGTTGCGCAACCTTTGCATGTGCCCCCCAAGCAAGGTAAAGCTTTACTGCTTCCTCCAGCAATGGTGCAGCATCTGAAGGTGACTCTCGGCGAAGTAGCATCTCACCACACCGCTCCGCAGCTAGAGCTGCATCTTGGACAAGTCCACTTCGGGATGAAATTGCTTTGGCAGAGTGGTAGAGCGATTCCGCTGTTTCAAACTTTCCACTCAGAACAGCATCTTCGGCATCCAAGATTTTTTCATAGCCAATAACATTTGGGTTTCCTGCCTTCCTCCATTTCTTGATTGTTGCATGCACCTTTTTTGCCTGCCGTGTATACGTTGCATTCTTTGTCTGGATAGCCATGGCATAAAGTGAAACCCCTCGGGCAAACGTTTCCGGCATGACCGCGTGTAGCCCTAGGTTCTTCTTTTGGAATCCATCCCCTCTTTCTAAAGCAAGCTTTGCCCCTGCTTCATGGTCTCCAAAGATTGCATAAAGCCTGCTCTGCAGCGCTGATACAGCAATGTCAAGGTTCTTTGTACTACCTTTGTCTTGCTCAACAAGGTCCGTCAGACTCAACGTTGCTTCTGTGCCACCCAACAGTGGATCTGTTTGTTCTTCATTGCCTATCAGCCGAACAAAGACCAACCAGTAAGGTCTGATTTGCCCAGCTATTTGTGAACGTACTTGAGCAGAATAAATCCGACAGTCACTTTCAAGAAGGTTCAGAGGCCGCCCCGTCTGAAAGCCACTAACAATATACGACCAAATGTTCCATGAAGAGAACTCTGTATCGCCAAAGAGTAGCCCACATTCGTAACCCTTCATGTAGTAAGGTTGGCAAGAGCTAAGAGGATCAAGCCAGCTCCTCAAAAATATGTACACCGAAAAGATTGTGAAGGATGCAGTGGTACCATATTTTCTTTGCTCCAGCAAGTTCATAGCAAGAATCCCCATTTTCCCACCCAGCTGATAATCATGCATCACGCCCAGGAAGATCAGTCCAAGTCCTGCCAAGTTTGGTGGAGCGAACATTGACACCCCACGCTTGAATGTGAGCCTGGCCATAGCAAGAATAGAAAGTGGCATGATCATGCCATACCTAGGTGAACCATAGCAAAATGTGGTCAGCTGGTTCAACAACTTCATTTTGCCAACATCCTCGGGATCCATTTCAGGAAGCTCTGCCAAATCAGCCACAGTGAGTTCACTGCACTTCTTCTTGACCTTGCGTAAATTTGTAATGGTGGAAAGAATTCTTCCAGCCGTAGTCTTGGGAAACTTGATCCCTTGTTGTTCCAGGATGGACAAGGTCAAGGCAATTCCGACATCCTGTTGATCAGCTTTATTACACAATGAGTTGATTTGGGAAGCATATATTTCCAACTTGGCAGCTAAGGGAATATCAACCCTTGCTTTAACCTCTACATATCGAGCATTGACAGATTCTGGGAGGCCCGCCATATCTTCGGTTATAGCGGCCACTGTGAACAGATCTAATGTCAGGTCCTTGTTTGTCTCCCACCTGTCTTCTGGAAGAAGATCAACCCCTCTGGCTGCATACTGGGCAGCTGTTGTGAATGCAGCTACATGTTTGGCTTTCTGAGCTGCCTCCAAATTAATCCTTGCCAACAGAATTCGCTCAGACTCATCACTGCTGTTGGGGGAATCATGAAGCAGGTTTGCCATAACGAAAGTAACAGATTCCAATTGGTCTCCAGTAAGACTCCTGTAAAGTTGTCGTCCAAGTTGTCCTTTCAGCTGACTCAATTCTTCTTGTGGAACCAGGGACAAGGCCCCTTCTCTGACAGAGTCATGAATCCATTGATAAGACAATGTTTTGGACCCAGGAGTTGGGGTCTGTTTTTCCAAGAAGCCACATGATTCCGAAAAGGACAGCCAGTTTTCTACAGACAGCTGCTGGCCATCTCCAGCATCATTAGTTGCTGTCTCATCAGCTGTCATGTCTTCTTTTTCGTCCATTTCTTCCAACACAGTATGGAGAATTTGCTCTTGGAAAGAGTTCCCTAAGCAAGCCGCTATGCATAGCCGTCGTTGGAAGATTGAAGGGAGCTTTGCCATTTCATAGCTCACGAGTTCTACCACATTTGTCATGGCAGAGGTCTGTGAGAGTCTGTGAGGGAGTTTGGTCAATGTCCCAAATCCATTGGTCTTTGCCGAGGTCATATTTGAGCAGCTTTTCATCAAGGAGTCGCCGGAAGAAGCTAACAACATACAATGGATTCCCCAAGGTACGTCTGTGACATAATTCCGCCAGAGGCTGGGTGGGGTTCGATTCAGTTTCATCAAAGTTGAGAACTTCCAAGAGCAGCTCATTGATGAAGGCTACACTCAAGTTTGTCGTGGTGAGGCAGGTGATCTCAAGCCGCCCGAGGCTCTGCTTCTGGTTCTCCACTTCCCGTATCAGTTTTGCGAACAAGTGTGTGTCTTCAAGTTCATTGGATCGGTAGATGCATATCAAAAGCATATTGGAATTGTCGAGATCGTTGATCAATGATTCAAGCAATTGGACCGATGCCGAGTCTGCCCAATGCATATCATCGAGCACCACACAAAGGGGGTGGATTGCAGCATTGACAATTTGGAATAAGGTCCGAAAGGCATATATAAACCGGGCCTTCTGTTGATCATTTCCCAGAAGATAATTGTTGTGGGGATCTGGGTCGGAACCCGAACTGATACTTGATGCAACGCTGGATACCTCCGTCTCCGAGGTTCTGTCATAGAGGATGTGGTACAGTTCAGGAATGAGCTCTCTTAATGTCTTGATCTCAGTTGTAGCCCCCAGCTTGTCCTTGATCTGTCGTTGCACTTTGGAGAAGCGCTTCCTGCCCTTATCTGCACCGGTGCTCCCTTGATTTATAACTTTGAGAATTTGTGAGCAAGCATCGGCAATGGCCCGGTAAGGAACTCCTGTCTGGTCTTCTGGATTGAATTTTCCTGAAACAAATGCACCATTTGTCCTGGGATTTATCCTTTTTTTGAGGGATGCTGCCAAAGCTGTCTTTCCAGTTCCACTGTCACCGTTGATCAGGACTAGCTGCCTGGATCCCTTATAGACTCGGTCAAGAGCGCCAAAAAGCAATTTCTGCTCTTCTTCTCTTCCGACCAACCCCAACCGGTCAAAGCGAAGTTTACTGGACACAAAGGCATGATATTTTGTCTCCCGATCGATTGCCCTAGCATTCTTCAACGGAGCAGCTTGGACAATCGAATTATCAACGGCAAGGTTCACACTTTCATTCGTTGCGATGAAGGACTTTCTGCCGACAGAGCCGGTGACTTCGAATCCATGTTTAACAAAGATCGAGTTGATGATCGCTCAGTGACCGTCAAGGATCTTCGGTTTGTTGCCGAAGAAGGGTCCCGGGCGAACTCAGCAGTCACGCCACTATTGCCATCACCGCTAAGACCCCTGCCAGATTCACCTTGCCTCCTCAAGAACTTCATTTCGTGGACGTATTAGTGCCATCCCCAGTTGAAAGTTTTGGGAAGGATAGGAAAAGTGCTTGGGTGCGTTGTTGGCTGCAGGGATGCATGCAACAAAAAGCTGCGCAAACCGAGTTACAGCTTTCTCACAGTGATGACCCGAATGCCCCTGACTATAGATCTAAGTCCGACCGCGAGTACGTTTTACAGTTCACCATTGACAATATTACTGCGGGTTGCGGGCAAGAAAGAGGGCTTGTGAGCGGAGTGCGAACGCTCCGTCGTCATAGTTCCAGACACTCTACAGCCGTAGCATGTATGTACTTAAAGATAGAGTTGGGTGGGCTTGAGAGCAGTGTTAGGTTGTTAAGACTAGCTAGTTCAGGTGTCCTGGAAGAGTTCCGATGGCACATGGCTCCCACACAGCACAACGCACCCAAGCAGTCCGTTGTTTGGTTTGCGGCAGAGTGACTTTCTTCTGGCTTTCAGCGTCGACCTTGCTGCTCTCAGTTGGCAGCCCTGATGCGGCGTTCGAGACTGGATGCGACCCTTCCTCCCCTTTGTTGCTGTCGGCGTTGAACAGCATAGCTTCCAACTCGTCTAATGAAAGGTTTGCATTTTTTTTTGCTTCTTTGGAAACTGGTGGTTTGACAGCACTTTCCTTCTGCGTTTCAACCGTGTCTTTCAAAGCTTCCACTGACGTTTGGCTAGTTTCGCCCCCCACTTTGACGTCACAATCTTTTTGTGGCTCCTTGCCTTCTTGGGGGTACTCTACACCAAAATTTGCAACCCGGTTGCTACCCAAAACAAGTTCCAAGTACTCGGCTAGTCGTTGGATTGTCGGCAATGCTGATCCTTCAGCGGATGATGCCACGACGAGCCGGTCGCACAAGCTGTTCAAAGGACACCACATCTTTTGCAGGACCGCCCAGGGTGCTTTCGTAGATCTCGACGATTTCGGCACGGCATGAACCTTGGAAACAAACTCGCGCGAGACCAAGTATCTCACCCAGGACTCTAAAAAGAACAGTTTGCGTTCCGTACTAGTAGATTGTCGTGATGATTCCATCATGGCCGGAGCGGATGAGTCGTCTGTTCCACCAGTACTATTTGTGGACGACGATTCCTGATTCAGTAACAAGATGTGATCGACCAAGTGTGTCATGAGAGCTGGCAGGAATCCAGGCCACTGTTTCCCCAGTACACTCAACAATGGGGTATACTGTTTTCGCATGGTCTGAATGCCCTCCTCGGTCTGTGGTGATGACACGTTGCTGTTGTCTGTTGGAATCAATGCCGCAGCAGCGCCTTTGTCACCCCACACTAAAAATAAGAGTGCCGTGTGTTGCGCCAACTCCCAGTGGCTCCGGGCCGCCTTGACAAATTTCATGGCCATGTGATGTGCCGATGGACCTGTTGTCTTGATCTTTTTTTTTGCTGGAGGCGCAGCAATCGTTTTGGGTGGTTTCGTTGGCTTCTTTTTATTGGCCTTGTCTTTGTCGTTCTTTACAAGTGCGGCAAAGCGATTGACATTGGTTCCCAATTGTGCCGCAGGAGGGCGCCAGAACGAAGAAGTGGAGGAAGGGTTCAATCCATCCACATAGACTTCTTCCTCGCTTTCGTCATCATCATCACTATCCGTTGAGGAACTGTCATCCGGGCTTTTTCTACTAGTTTTGGCAGAACTTGCCACTGTATTCTTGTTGGGTGGTGATGATGCCGTGGGAGTGGTGGATGGTGGTGCCTCCTCGATCAGGAGCGTGACTTGTTGTTGTTGTTGACTCTGTTGATAGTCTTGCAAGAGTTCCATGAGATGGGCCGTCTCGTCGTGTGACATTCGTGGCACCCAAAATTCTTGATGATAGTATTCCAGCAGGGTTATCGCGGAGAGTCGCAGCACACTCAAGGTGGGTATTTGATTGTGTGTGGAATCGTGTCGAATATCCACCAACCACGACGGCACGCCCAATTCGGCACACAGCATGGCTACACTGCCGGCATGATAGCGCGTTTGTTGCATCTTATCGGCGAGACCATTGATGGACCGCAAGATCGAACAACCGTAAGCCAGTCGCAATTCTTCTGCTCCACGGCGTTCTTTACTGCAGTAATAGTAATCATTCCACAGACATTGCGCGAGTTGATAAGACGATTCGACGGCATGAGGGAGTCGATTGGTGCCTCGCAGTTTCCAGACCGATACGCGACGGAGTGCTTGCTGCAAGGAAGATAGGTTGTTGTCGTCTCGTCGTTGGGGTAAGATTCGAGCGGCATGAATGAGGGAACGTCCTACCGACTCGAATTCCCACTGGTCAGCCCAAGGCGTCTCCTTGACCATGGCTTTGAGCCGTTTGTTCCGAGACACATGATGCTCGCTCAACGAATCGGAAATCAACCAAGGAGTCGACGGATCCAGCCTTGCGTGTTTCTTGGAGCCATGCTTCTTCTCGGGGCTACTACTAGTACTAGACATGGTTTGGTTTGGAACAGAAATCGTCAACAAAACATCCGTTCTTTTGGCTCATTGTCGAAGTTGTGTGGGGCGAAGTTTGGTTGGTTGGTGGTTGGTGGGGCTTGGATGGCGTGGGGTTGGGGTAATACATGTCCCAGAGAAGATATAGCCTAGGGTTAAGGCTATTTATTGGCAAATCGGCAGCAACCAACAAACGAATAAAGGAAAGCCGTTGTTGCTGCCATAGGAAGGAAGCTTGGAATAGTTGTAGTGAAGACGTCCTATTTGAGTATTCCAAGCAACAGATCAACTATAACTCACAATGGAATCGGCACAAGCGTTCATCGCGTTTCTACGTTGTGAAGCCAAGCAGGCGGAGGAACGAGCCAAGAGCCTCAGAGCCACGGCTTTGATCATTGAAGCCAACAGTCAAGAAGGTACTAGAAAACACTAGCTATCAATTAGGCTGTCTATCTGGTGGGATGGGTATAGTACGGAATGATTTGGTTTGATTGCCTCACATGTTCCATTCCATCCTGCCCCTCAGGCCGTGGCAAGAAGAAACGAAAGCGTGAAAAGAGGAGAGCTCCAACGGCTTATACCCTCTTTGTTCATGGTATGTAAGACCAATAATTGTGTGAGGTTGGATTGGCGTTGTGGAGCTTTTTACGAAAGGAATAATGATATCTGTATCCATTCGATTGATTGAACCATCACTTCTTTCTTTCTTCTGTTCAGAGAACTATGACAACATTCGCAAGTCTCATGGCGACGACGATATGCCATCACGGGAGATTATGGCGCTCGTAGGGCAGCAATGGGCGGCAACTAGCACGGCCGAACGACAAATGTGGCAGTTTCGGGCCGAGCAAATGAAACATCAGCAACAGGGAGACGAAGAGTTGCCAGAATTGCCCGCTCCCGTTGTAGCACAACAACAGCCCGATGATGGTGGTGGCAAGAAACGGGCTCGCAAGCAAGCAATGGTGGCTGCTTCTGCCGTTCATGTATAAAAAAGATGGATAGATACTGTCCAAACAACACACGTATCCCCCAGAAGGCCAGCTGGCGAGCCTAGCTAGATTGTGGTTACTGTCTCTTGATGTGTGGGATTTGGACAGAAGCAAATTTGGGGATTGATGAAATCCTTCTTGGACCCAACAATGGCTGCTTTTGGCTGGATAGTACTAGCTAGCCATGTCAGCACTTCACCAATAACCAAACCTTTTCGCATAAACTCTAAGGTGCATGACTTATAGTAGCTATATACATCATTTGATTAGTGCATTTCCTTTCGATACTATCTGCTCTCTGTGCTGGAAGTACCTGCAGTCAAAATGTCAATGGGCCCTGCCTTTTGGGCAATCTTCCAAGACGCCGTAATGCCACGAAACAACTGCAACACAATCAGAGCCGTCCACACTTGAACCAGGGTATCACCATTGCTATAGTCCATGCCCATCAGAGACATGTAGACAGCCAGAGCAGCAGCGACACTCACAAACATACTCTGCGCCTGAAAAGTGAATTCTGCGGCGCCCTCAATGACTCCATCAGCGGCGAACACATAGGAGTTGAGTGGCTGGGAAAAGATAATCAATGGCAAAATGCGGCCCAATTCTTGCTGAATGGAAGCATCTTGCGTGAAAATAGTAAACAAAAAGTTTGAGGCGCTGCCAATGTACAGCAGTGACCCCAGCGTCAGACCCAAGCCCAAACTGTAGCCAAAGACTGTCTTGGCCACCTCCCGAGCATCAGACTTGCTATCTCGTCCTAGGGCATCTGCTACCAACCCCTGAGAGGCCGCAGCCAAAGCATCCGAGATGAAGGAACACAAGAGCCACAGTTGAATGCCAATCTGGTGTGCTCCCAGACTCGCGGCAGCATCAGCGTCCCCGTTCCGAGCGGCAAGAGCAGCGGCCGAAGACAAGGCAGCCTGCAATACCAATGACCGCATAAACACCGAGGAAGATGCAGTTACCAATGGTTCAATCTCTTCCCAAGGTGGTATGGAAAAGGATGGCAGAATGGCAAGAGAATCACCCTGTAGCGCTTTGGCCGCGTTGCTGTCTTTGTGGTTGCTCCCCAGTTCTCCGGCTGCGGAGGGCAAGCGTCCCGCCAACACAAAGAGAAAAAGGAGGGCACCGATCCATTCTGCACTGGTTGTTGCAATGGCAGCACCCATGGGACCCATGTGCCCAAACACAATGAGAACCACATCCAATGCAAAATTGATGAGGTTGGCGGCAACCAGAATCACTATCGGTGTTTTTGTATCCAAATAACCACGAAGGATTCCTGTCGAAGCGGATATGCACAATACTGCTGGAGCTGCAAATGTCCGCACAATCAGAAAATCTTTGGCATAGCCGAGTGTTTCGGGTCCTGCATTGACAGCCCCCATGATTCCGAGTAGATTGTCTTGAAATGCCAGCAAGACGAGCGTCAGCATACATCCCATTCCCAACGCCAACGACAGTGCCTGTCCTCCGATTGCAACTGCGCCAGCTTCATTGCCCGCTGCCCGTTTCGAGGATACCAGTGGTGTCGTGACTTTGGTCAAAAAGCCAAAAAGGTAGAATGAAAACGTCAGCAAGGCGGCAGCTGACCCCATTCCCGCCAATGCATCGGGTGTATCACTGAATCGACCCACGAAAGCTGTATCGATGAGCGTCATTATGGGGTCAATGAGCAGAGCACCCAATGCTGGAATGGCCAAGTCCAATACAGCTTCCCCCGTGGAACCATATTCCTTGGACACACTTCTTTTCTGCGCGGTTGGATCATCAATGTTTGTCTTCGAGGGTAGTAACTGAGTTTGTTCGCCTGCTTCCACATCATCCGGTGCTTGACGAGAAAGCTTTAGAAATGGCATGGCAGAGTGTCGCGTGGGTGGGACTAAAGTAGCCAAAGGTCTGGATAACACTGAAGTTGTGGGTACCAACGAATCACAGAAACCAGTGCTCGAGGCGAGCAGAGCAATCAGTATTGGTAGTCGCAACGTCGAGAATGATAACAATGATGGTCGGCGGTCTCGACTATCAATAAAGATGCGTCGCATTGCTGTAATAATATAGGGAGATCGTGGTAGCCGACTTGTGAGGGCTCCTCAACTGCACTGTGAGCATGGTGCTGTTGTCTTCTGGGCAGTTTTTCGATTTTCATCCCAGGCAGTCCTACAATGACGTGGTGTGGCGCAATTCTATCCGGCAATCGAAGCATTAGCAAACAATCTCTTTAAATCCAAGCTTCCCGCCATGCTTCGTTTGTTCCTGTTTGTGGAACCAAAGGGGACTGGGCACAGCGGTTGGCAAGACCACGAGGAAGGAATAGAGTCTGTATTGTAGCTCTAGCTAGATGGAAGAGCTCACAAAGAACAAGCAGCCCGAGGCTGATGCCCTCAACTGTCAAAAAGAGATTTGACTCTTAAAATGTCTTTGGCCAAATCCTTTACCGTATTCAACTGGACACACTAGCAAGTCTCGATAGCCAGCCAGTATCTACCCATGTGTCCAAACTACTGTGTCCAACAGAACACACAATAACAATCCCTATCCTTAACAAGGAAAGTGGCCCCTATATCCTTGGCCAAACCTACACCGTGTTTTTCTGGACACACTAGCAAGTCTGCATAGCCAGCCAGTACTGGTACCCACTTGCACAAACTACTGTGTCCAACAGAACACACAATATTAATCCCTTTCCTTAACGAAGCAAGTGTCCCTTATGTGACGAAAACAGCTGCAACAAACACACACACACACACCTACCCATAAAAGTGTGAAAGACCCTCAGTCAGTTGAGGGCAATCAAACAAACACAAACCAAACAAACAACAAGCAAACACCAATAAAGATGATGACATTCTCAGCTCTTCCTGTTGCCTTCCTGAATGCAATTGTCCCCTCTTTGGTTCTCCCATATGAATACATCGTGAAGCTGATTGCTCTGGCCGCTGCTTTCCTATCTGTTGCCTTGGCTCACCGTTTGGTTCTTCGAAAAGAGTTTCCTGTGCATCATGATGGTGACATTCTGATTTCTGGTACATCCTCTGGAATTGGAAGGGCCACTTGTGAGTGGTTGGCCAAGCAATATCCACACATTACTTTTTATGCTGGTGTGCAAAGGATGGTACAGGGCTCTCCATTTGATCTGCCAAATGTCAAGCAAGTCATCCTGGACATTACCAACCAAGATCATGTGGATGCTGCACTTGAACTGATCAAACAGGACCAACTTCCTCTTATTGCTGTCATTAACAATGCAGGACTCTATGACATGAGCACATTTGAATTCATGGGTGTGGACACTCTTCGGAAAATCATGGAAGTCAATGTAATGGGAACCTACATGCTAACTCAAGTAGCCCTGCCAATGATTCGAAAAAGCAAAGGTCGAATTGTTACAGTGAGTTCCATCTCTGGACTCATCCCAGGTGGACCTCTGCTCGCAGCCTACCAAGGCTCCAAGCATGCCCTTGAGGCCATGTTTGATGCCCTGCGAGTAGAAGTTGCACCCCACGATGTCTCTGCGAGCCTGATAGAACCTGGTTTCCTACAAAGCAATATTGTGGAGGAAATCAAATGGATGCAAGAGACAGCAAGCAACAACTGCAACAACCAAGCAATGGAAGTCTATCCTGAACTTATGGGCGAACGGTACCTGAGCCTGTTCACTGAAATGGCCACGACAACTGGAAGCATGGAAGAAACATGCAAAAGCATTGAAGATGCCATTTTTGACAAGTATCCTCAACCCCGCTACCTGACCTCAAGAGTTGGAGCTTTGCCAGCATGGCTAGCTGCCAAGGTAGTGAATCGACTTGCTGATATTGCCCTGCACATGGAGACAATTGTGTTCATGCTGCGCATCCGTGTCTCTATTGAAAAGATGCTAGGAGTAGCCAAATAATTGAATTAGCAACCAAACAAGAGTAACCATTGCTGTATGTCAACAAATGCTTCGTCTATCAGTCACCAGTTGATCACATACATGTGCAGTCTGGTCTCCCTTTGTTGGCACATCTTCCCAACCTGCTATATTGATATCTCAAACTCCTTTGCCTTTCAGATGATTCCTTGAGTGGATGGTGTTGTGTAACGGGAAAGAGTAAGCCAACCACCCAATCGCACCAGTACCTGGTACCGGTACTGGTGTGCAGTCGATGGGATTTGCCGCGTGTGTTTTGTTACTCTATCGCAACAAGCCAAAAGGGGGGAGGGGGCGTGGATGTGGAAAACCTACTCGAACTTCAGCATTCACAAAGAGCTCCTCCGCTGGGATCTTTTTCAAATCTGCACCTTTGCTTCGAGTTTTGCCCTGTCTGCCTTGTTTGCTGCTCGTGGTGGCATCCCGCCTCAACTCAGACCGTGCTTGTCAAGCTCCCAGACGCTTGTTGTTGCATGGATGGTGTGTTCTTTTCCTCGTCGTCGTGCCCATGCTCGCGATTATTATTTGTTTCATTGAGAAAGCGCTGTACCATTCCCAACAACCGAAAGCCATACGCCTCGTAGGTATATCCCATCGTCAACAAGTCCGGTTTCTTGGATGGAGGAACATATCGTACGGTGGGTTCAATGGCCGAATCTTCGTGCCATTCATTGAACGACGTCACCACAATGGTACATGGAGCGTCTGCGACTTCTTGTTGGTTGTCCAGAACCCTCTTGGCCATTTGAAGACCTTCCCAAAAGGTTGTATATTGACCCGTTCCTGCCAACTCGGCTCGCACTTCATGTGGAATGGGATAGTGATTGGCTTCTAGCCGGACCCCGCGATCATTAAATGCCGGAGAAATGCCTGGAAGCAACGTGACATTGTGGGCATTGGCCACCACTTGGTATTGGGTATACATGTTTTCAATGTCTTGAAACAGATTCGTGACGGCAGGATATCCAGCATACCGAGGTGGTCCATGCATGTTGTAGGCCGTCACGGCATCCCAAACAGTGATGCGGCTGGGATCGGGTCCTTCCCAAAACACCTCATCACCAACGAGATACAAGTCGACACCGTAGTCCTGTTGTATTGTGAGACGCAATTTGGCAAACGCTTGTCGGTAGGCTCCTTGAAAGATGCGTGTGACGTAAAAGTACACGACGGGTTTCCCGCCATGGACTTTGAGATAATTGGGATGGGAAAAGTACTGTTGTGCCATGTATTCCACATGCGACAGTAGCGTTCGATATGCTTTGCCTTGTTCATCAAAATGCAACGATCCATCTTCCGCCTTAAAAATATCCAACAGACCAAGCGATTCGTACAATAGCGCAATCTTGAAATTTCTGCCAAGTTTGGGCGATCGTAAGAGGTTGTGCAATAGAACATAATCGTTGGCGTTTTGTGGTCCCCACCAACTACAAATGAACTGGGAAATGCCATACTCATTCGCCCATTCCAAGTGCTGGTCGACCGTGGCTGGATCTTCCAATGTATAGCGACCCAGAAATGGACGTTGTGGGATCTCGAGCTTGGAGCGCAAGAATCCTTGATCCCAGTGAAAGTTGTCGTTTCCGTCGTACCACGGATAGTAGTAGGCCGCAATTTCAACCGAAGAGTCAGTGGCCGGTTTCGAAGAAGACGAAGAAGCAGTAGAGTTGACCGGGATCGACCAAAGGTTCAGGAGTATCAGTAGACATGACAATAGGGACAGGGACATCATTTTTGTTGCTGGATGGAAATCTAGCAATAGAATGCTCTAGCTATGTGGGAGAACATCAGCGCTGTCACATTATCCTGGCATCTAGTGAGCCTTCGCGCGAAATTGGTGCGCATTCATTCCCTCCAGTCAGAATCCTCACAAAGTCGCAGTCATGAAACATTCTTATCGTTGGGTCCAATTCGTTTTGCAACAGAGCCTCATCTGGCAGCTAGAGATCTTATCCGAGATGCCAAAACTGGCCTTTCTCAGACTGAACTCCCTGGACCATTTCAGCAACTATTGAATTACAGTGTCCCAAGTCGCCCAACACCACCCATGCATTTCAATCCTGGAGGACAGATGGCACCCCCGGTGCAGCCGCCCCCAGCAAGGCAGGCACCACCAGCGCAAGCTTCTGCCCCCCCTTCTGGTAGGGGTAGCTCAACAACTCCTTCCAATCGACAGTCAGGGGTACGAAATGGAACTCCACCAACCACCAGCAGACGAAATCCCCATGCAGCTCAGGTTTTAGTCTCATGGTTTGCAAATCTCTCTCAAGATCCGACTGTTCCGCCTTTCCATCGTACCACGCGGAGGATTCACACAGCCATGGGTCAAACTGTAGAACAATCTCTGCAAGCATTGGGCCTTGAAGCTAATCAGTGTCTCAATTTCCATTTGCGAGGTAGCTGCCAATCTCAGCGCTGCCGCAAAAGGCACGATGGAACCCCACTTGCTCAGGCAGCAGTCACCCAAATGGAAGCCAGACTCAACGCTGCCCTTCCGAACCTTCGCAACTGAACCCGCTTGTTGGAGCCCACTACAACCACTCATCAGCATCCTACCCACTTCACCACACAATCACCACCGGAAACAACAGTTGACATTTCAATGCCACCGGCCAAGCGAGTCCGGTACAACACACAAACCCCAACCACTGCCCTCACGCCACCACCACCACCACCTATCCCCACTGGCCATCACAGAGTTTCCACCAACACCTCTGCATTTTCACCCACTGCAACTTCCAAAGCTTCAGTCCCCCAAAGAGCAGCCGCCAAGCAACTACAAGCTCTTCACCGCTTGCATAAACAGGCCAATCACATCCAATCACAGCTACCTTCCGGTCCTCCTACCTCTCACAGCACTTCACAGCCCCAACATCAGACCCATCTCACTCCACCACCCACTCACCCATTACCAGAAGCTCTTAAGCTTGACATCCTCCCCCTCAAACCAACCATGCTCTGCTCAGCATCAACCACCAGCTTCTCGCACTTCAATCCAAGATGGAGTGCCTATTGTCCATGCTACATTCACAGGACCATCTTTCCCCTCTTCCACCTTGGTGCCTCCTGCGACTACAGAACCATCCCATTTCAACAACACCGCTGCCTCCACCACACCCACCAATCTCCCCCCAGACGGCCTAAATACAGCACAAAGTAAGTACCAGCGCGTTCAAAAACGTAAATTAATGAACCCCTCTGGCCCTGCCCTTCAGCACCCGGCTGCTTCCCTCTTGCAGGAGTATGCTGATCAGGGTTGCCCTGCTCCGGTTCAAGATCCTTTCACCTTGGATGCCTTGGAAGCTGCTATCAAACGAGGAGCCCATCCATCTGCCCAAGCACCTGAAGCCGCCGCAGCGTTGAAAAAAAGAGGTTACAGAAAAAGTTGCCCAAGGCTATGCGCGGCTTATTCCCTGGGATGAGCTCAAAAAGTCTTTACCACCCAACATTCGAATCAGTCCCATTGCAGCGATACCACACAAGAGTCGAGCATTCCGCATGATTCTGGATCTGAGTTATATGTTCACTCTTGATGGGATCCCTTGGTCGTCAGTCAACACAGCATCCACTCCTTCAGATCCACCACTTCAATCCATGACACAGTTGGGTCAAGTCCTTCCTCGTTTGATTCATCGCATGGCTACTAGCTCTGAAGACGAGGGGCCCTGGGTCTTCATGAAACTGGATATTAAAGACGGGTTTTGGCGTATGATGGTCCCTGAGCAGTATGAGTACAACTTTTGCTATGTGCTCCCTCAGGACAATCCAACCGACCCCATCCAAATTGTTGTACCTAGTTCACTCCAAATGGGGTGGAAGTACAGTCCACCGTACTTCTGTTCTGCCACTGAAACTGGGCGGGATGTTGCCCAAACATTAGTGAACGAACCAACTCTCCCCAAACACCCCTTTGAAAACATGACTATGGACATCGATGATGATCTCAAGCTTTACCAACTCCAACACCCCTCTCAATGGACAGAGGAGGAACTACCAGAGAGGCTCCAAAACTTGAACCGGCTCTTGGAGGTTTATGTTGATGACTTTGTGGCCGCTATCCAGTGCACAAACTCCCAGGCACTCCTGCACCATTCCCGAGCACTGCTCCATGCTATCCATTCTATTTTCCCTGCTGCCCCAAATCCAAAACAGGACCCGGACGACGAACCTGTCTCTTTGAAGAAGCTTCTTGAAGGAGAAGGCATTTTTGGCATTTCGCAAAGGAGATTGTGGCGCTGGATTCCTTTGACGGATGCCTCGCCCGCACTATTGAGCTCCCACCTGGAAAGCTCGACAAGATTAGGGCAGCTATCAAGCAGGTTCTTCACACAACCCACAGCAAACTCTCTGATCTACAGTCACTGGTTGGAAAACTCCAACACGCCTGTTTGGCAATTCCAAATGGACGTGGATTGCTTGCTCCAGTGTACAAGCTCCTTCCAGCAACCCATTCCAAAAAACACCACCAGCGTCGACATGTTTCCATCCCCCAGGAATCCGAGGCTTACAAAGCCTTGCAAGATCTACGAACTATGCTCAAGATTGTTGCAAATCGGCCAACGAAATGTGCCCAGCTAGTCCCTGGTTGGCCACATTTCATTGGGTTCTGCGACGCTTGCAAGCATGGGGCAGGAGGAGTTTGGTTAAGTGGCAGCGACAACCTGCACCCAACAGTGTGGAGGGTCAAATGGCCCCCCGAAATTGTTGCTCTAGTTGAAGCCAACAAGCTCTCTGTGAATGATCTCGAAATGGCAGGACTTCTCTTGCACTACTTAGTGCTCGAGCAGCTTGTGCCCACGCTCGAGCACAAACACTGTGCCGCATGGTGTGACAACACGTCTACTGTGTCGTGGGCCAAACGACTATCCTCCAGCAAATCTCTTGTGGGACAACGACTGGTTCGAGCACTTTGCATCCGACATGCTGTGACTAAAAGCTCTCCCCTGGCACCCTGGTCGATTGCTGGAGCAAACAACAAGATGGCAGACTTGGCCAGCAGGTCGTTCAAGAAAGGCGGGGCTGGAAACTTTGAGCTGTCCAATAAAGCTTTTCTTACCTTTTTCAATGCCAAATTCCCCCTTTCTCAGGACGCCTCTTGGCGAATGCACCACCCGAGCACCAAGGTGTGCTCATTGGTCTTCTTAGAGATGCAAGCGCAGCGACAGCCCATGGGGTCGTGGCTGCGACTGCCCAGCAACGCCACAAATTCTGGGGTGAGTGGTGCAAACTCCTCCAAAAGTTTGGCCTTGCCGACCCTTTCCTCCGAGGAACCAGCCAATCTGAGCAACTCGCACTCTCCCAAGCCTTTGCCCATTGGGTTCGGTGTGGAAATGTCGGACGACAAAATCGCGTCGGCACTCAACGCGTACAACAAGCGTTGGCAGCCGTCGGAAAGACCTTCCAACTGGCTGTTGAACCCTCTCCCACGTACGTCGACCAAAGCAGAGCAACATATTGGCCCGCCCTCCAACAGCAAATAGAATCATATCGTCGAGAGGACCCCCCTCCCCAGCCTAAACTGGCTGTGCCAGTTACAGTTCCCCACACACTTGTGCGGGAAGGCCTCAGAACTTTCAGTCCCAAACTACGTGCTCTCGGTGATCTTACCAACATTGCATTCTATTACTTGCTAAGAGTCGGGGAATACACCTACAGCCCCCCCAAGCAACGAACCAGAACTCAGAGATTTCGCATTAAAGATGTCATTTTCCGCCGGGCAAACCAATCAATCATCCCAAACACTGCCCCTCTCCAGGAATTGCTCACTGCTACACATGCCACATTGCGCATTTCCAATCAGAAAAATGGAAAAAGGGGTCAGTGCATTCATCACCACTGTACTGGAACCATCACAAGCCCAGTCAAAGCTTTAGCACGTCGAGTTTCACACATTATGGCCCACACAAACAACCCAAATACTGCACTCAGCACCTATTTTGAACTTGGTCAACCAAAGCAAATCCGACCACAAGACATCAACAACATCATCAAAAACACTGTCATTAAACTTGGCCTCCAACAGGCGGGTTTCACTCGAACCAACGTTAGCAGTCACTCCCTTCGCGCGGGTGGAGCAATGGCTATGAAGCTCAATGGAATTGACCCAATCACCATCAAAAAACATGGCCGTTGGTCCTCCAACACATTCCTACAATACATCCACGAACAGATTGGATTCCTCACCATTGGAGTTGCAACCCGAATGTCACGTTACATCCCATTCACCAATGTAGCCCACGTTCCATGCTGCCCCCACCTTTCTGAGCCCATTGACGAAATCACACACACACCCCACTAAACTAAACACGTTTCACCCCAATCATTTCGGTATTACAGTAGCATTAGCGTTGCTACTTCCTTCACCTTCATTGTACAACCTTTCAGAAACTTGAACAGTCTTCGGACCTTCCATGGCACGGACCGTCCGGAGCTGTCCATCACTTCACCATCACACCACAAATGGACCACCACATATGGAGATTCCATGCACTAAGTGTGTGGCATACACCAGCCATAACAATAGTAAGCTGCTTCATATGCCCAAACTTAGTATGCACTCTACTGACTAGTCCCTTTGAAGAGTGATAATGCAAGTCTCTGAAAGCCATCTTGCCCACAAGTCAATCCATTCAGAAACAAGAATGCGGGAAGCATCACAGTCTACATGTGGGACAGAGTGTAGACCGAGCCACATGTAGATCTAGTGAGCCTTCGCGCGAAATTGGTGCGCATTCATTCCCTCCAGTCAGAATCCTCACAATTTTCTTTTCTTGGATCGATCGACTTGTGTTGAAGCAGCCCTCTACCCTCCCTTTAGCCTAGGAGATTCCATGCACTAAGTGTGTGGAGATTCCATGCACTAAGTGTGTGGCATACACCAGCCATAACAATAGTATGTGGCATACACCAGCCATAACAGCCATAACAATAGTAAGCTGCTTCATATGCCCAAACTTAGTATGCACTCTACTGACTAGTCCCTTTGAAGAGTGATAATGCAAGTCTCTGAAAGCCATCTTGCCCACAAGTCAATCCATTCAGAAACAAGAATGCGGGAAGGCATCACAGTCTACATGTGGGGACAGAGTGTAGGACCGAGCCACATGTAGTGGGCTGATGGGCTGATCGCAAGCAGAGAGTGTTCAGCGGTGTGTCCGTGTCAACGAGGTTTCAACGTTTTTACAAAAGATCCAAAGATTCTCTCTTTCCAGACTCCAGAGATTTAGTGACATTCTCTGAAAGCCATAACGGTAGGAGCCCTCCAACAACCCAAATTCTCCGTCCTGCGCCACAGACCATTGGCAAGGCAAGAAGAAGAAGTAACACCATGTCGAGCGATGATGATAACAAGAAAGCCACTTGTTTGGTCGACTGGACTGCCTTTGTACAAGGCCCTGCCGCAGCCAATGTGACTTCTGTTACATCCGCCACGGCGACTCTTCTCTTTGATACGCAGTCTCTCTTGGGCGAAGGCATTGTCTACGACGATGCCAAACAAGAAGTGGTCTGGTGTGACATTTTGGGTCGCAAATTCCATCGTCTCCCACTCGGTTCGGGCACGTTGGAAACAGTAGAACTCCCAAAAATGCTGGGATCGTTAGGCTTGCTTGACTCCTCCTCCTCTAAATTTGACGGATCCTATCTCTTTGCCTGGGAGGATGGCTTTCAAATCTACAATCCCAGTACGCTAACGGCCATGACGGAAATGAGCCAAGGAGAAGATGTCAATCCGGAAAAATTGCCGACTCGATTGAACGATGGACGTTGCGATCCCACGGGACGTCGGTACATTTGCGGAGGATACTATGGCGACCGAGAACAATTCCGAATGAAGGTCTTTAATTGTCATTGGAAAGACGACAGTCATACGACACTTGTCCATGAACCCATCATTGATCATGTCAGCGTCACGAACAGTTTGCAATTCTCTCCCGACGGCAAGACCATGTACTTTGCCGATTCGCCCAAGCAACAAATAGTGGCCTATGATTACAACCTACAAGCACCCGACACGGCATCGCTGCTCTCCAATGAACGACTCCTCTACAAACTGGAATTAAAAGGAGCCGTACCGGATGGATCCTGTGTCGATGCCGACGGATATCTTTGGAATGCAACGTGGTGGGGTGGCATCCAATCCAGTTCCGTCCGACGAATCGATCCAAACACTGGCCAGGTCGTCTTTGAGGTATTCATGCCAGATTCCACCTCTCGAGTCTCGTGTTGCTGCTTTGCAGGCACCAATCTAGATATCCTCTTCATCACAACGGCAGCCGTAGAACCGGATCTAGTCAAAGAACCTCATGCAGGAGGCCTCTATGCCATCAAATTGGCGGGGGTCAAGGGACGGCTGGAACATCGCTTTCAGGTGTGATGATTGACGAGCATTGCAGCAAGTGAGAGTAACATCCAACAAAAAGGGCAACAACCCGACCAAAGAGATAGAAACAGACAGAACAATCCTCAGGAGATTCTGGCTATCACGTCCTCTGGTACATCAAAACTTTGTTTCTATTCGTTGCTATTATTCTATGATAATATGTCGTCCTGTACAAAGGAAGCGTAAGCTACCTAGCACTCGACTTCCCCGGGTGGTTCAGCATACTCGGTCGCTTCTTGATGTGGCTGTCTCCCCAAACTAGCGTTGAAGTGGACCGTGGAGCCGTCATCCAATTGGACGCTGTCTTGGATACTTCTGCCGAGGATCGAGAAGGGTCCGGTAACATCGCCGTCGCCGCCACGGCTCCTTTCATCACCCCTATTTCTTGCCTGTGCCATCCATTTGACCAATGGACGCTTTCGGCGCTGATAAAGACCAGTGAGTAGTAATCCAGCATGGAGTTGCAGCCCGACCAAGAGACATGCTATCGCGGAGAGCGCCCAGAAAGACGCTGCTGCGCTCGAATGTGGGACTCCTCGTTGCAAGCTGCAAATGAACAGCTGCACGAGGACCACTGCCTCCAAAATGCGAGTGGCAAAGTAACCAATAGTCAAAAGTGGCAAACCGTAGAACACCATGCATCGGTAAGCACGCGACTGGAACATCCTTGTCTGCTGAACACAGAGTCCATCATCTCCAGGACATTGTCTCCAGGTCTCATAGGTAGCATCAAAGACGCGCATCACAAAAAAGGCCAGGAACATGGTCCACTCCCAGAGCCAGGCCGTCAAGACAGTGAAACCCATCTTGAAAACAGCCACATCGGCGGCATACGTGTAGAGTATGCCAAAAGCGAAAAAGCCCAAGTGATGAACTGTCAGCTGAATGAAAATGGACCTAGCAGAAGACGAACCCGTCGTGTTGGCTGTGAAGCGCCACTGAGCCAGGCGCATGGCGATCTCCGCCACAAAATGGATACCGACCAAAATGACAGTCCAACCTGGGATCACGTAGGTCGATTCCCCAAACTTCTGAATCCAGTAAGGGTCGCTGTGGACGCTGTACCAGACGAATGAAGTAGGAATGCAGAGGGTCGCCGATAAGCTGAAGTTGATCATCAGGGAGCAAAGACGGAGCCGTTGATGGAAGATTCGATTGTTGTTGGTCTCCAGTGATAGTTGTGCAGCATTGCTAGGAACATTTGTCTGGTCCCCACTTTCCCCACTCTCAGAGACAGTGCCTTCAGGGAGAGTTGTCACATCTCCTGCAGGCTCGTCACTGCTGCCACCCTTGAGAAGTTCGGGAGGTCGCGCTTGCCCTTCCATGGGCCAAAAGCGAGAAACAAGAACAAATGCGGACACATAAAGAATGGTGATTAGACCCAAGGATATGAAGACTTGGAGAAGCAAAACTCGCATGTAACCGTTCTCGTAGTAGAACCACTCTGTGAAATCCACGCCAACGTAGCTACAGACCCGTGATGAATCCATGAAACAAGATCCTACATCTTGTGGTTCTTTCCATTCTTGGGGTTGATGGCAGCTTTCAGCATCTTGACTGTCCGTTGTCTGGAAGGGACAAGGATAGTTACCCGAAGATAACAAGACTGTTTCAAGCAGATCACGGAACTCAAAGTCCTTTATCCATTGGAGACCTGGTCCAGTCAAGTACTCTTCGCTCCAAAGGAGCGGGTTCTGGACAAGGGCACTGTTCGCAACATCTTGCAAAGCAAAGATGCTTACAATGATGAGCTGGGTATCCCCCATGAAGTTTCCTTCGAGTTCTGCATTCGAGTCGGCAATCACCCCGGTCAGGAACTCGACATTGTCAATTTGATTGTCGTAGAGCTGTGCCATTTCCGCTGGGTTGTCAACAGCGAATTGATCAAACGAAGTCAATGGCTCAAGGCCAACGTACTGTCTGTAGGCATTGTAAGAAGGCAAACGCTGAGCTCGCTCATTGCTTAGAGCTTCCTCGGTCACCCCCCTTGTAAAAAAGGGAAAGTTATGAGGGCCATACTTGGCAATCCTTGTGTCTGAAAAGGCCGCGGCCAAATCGCTGATGCTGAAGTGTTGAAACAGCCGAGGAGACCACATTGTTTGATGAAGGGGGACGTTGGTGCCATTCAAGACCAAGTGATCAGGGATCAACGAATGCCAAGCTTGATATACATGATTGAACTCGAGAAAGTTTGGTTTGGCGGCGGCCGAGAAAGGAAAGTGGGGTGCAAGTAGCTCTCTCAGCACAGGGGGGTCGTACCCAATCCGAGTGTGGTCACGAACGTGGGAGACACTGTCAGAGACAAAGTCTTGAAGCCTGATCTTCTGAATGATGTGAAATGTCATGACTCGTGCCCGCTGGAACACGTCCTCGTCAGTCCACAATCTCGAAGTCTGTTCCATTAAGATGTCACAAGCCGTGTTGTGCAGGAACAAGCCAATGCTGGTCCACACCACGTGTCCTGCATGGAGATTGAACCTGGGATCACCAATTGCAAAGTAGTGCTCCATGTTGTTATCCACATGCTCTTGGGTCTTGTTGGCTGCACTCGATGAGCTGCTGGGTCCTTGCGTGGGGGTCCACATTTCAAACTCGGGATAGTCCTTCTTGATGTCGCTCCAAAGAGGAGGATAGGAGTCCCAACCTCCCATAGAAGACGTCTTCATTTTCCCGTCCCCTGCCAGGGTTCGTAGAGCGCTTTGCCGGTATGGTGTGTGCCCGTACAGCTGAGACATGTGCAGACCAGAGGCGTCACTCCAAGTGAAACTTCCGTTTGTGCCTGGCAGAGTCCTGAAGTTGTCATCGTGAAACCAGTTGACAAAGGATAGAAACCAGAAGCTCAAAGCCGGGTCACTATCCTTTGGAAGCATGGCTGAACGCGTGCGACGTGCAAACACTGTATCGTACACTTCGGCTACTGGAGGCATCTTTGGAGGGTTTGATTCATTGTCCCATTGCATGTGCAACTCCTTCTCCCCTACCCCCTGCGCTTGCAGCGCTGGAGTCCGGCAAGTGCCGTCGGTGTTGGGTTTCATCAAGAGGTCATGAGTCCCCCTCCAAGAGGAGGGCCCCGCCAGCTGATCGGCCCCCACTATGCATCCTGCTTTGTAGACTGCCGACGATGGGACCAGGGCTCCGATTCGCTTGGAAAGAGCACCAAGGAGGATTGAGGGAATGCCAGATACCTTAACTTTTCCAGCGCCCAGGTCTTTTGCTGCTTTATGTAAAGTCTCAAACTCTTTCCAACCATTCCCATGTGGCTGATACAGCCGTTGCTTTTCCAAAAGAGGCGTGGCGCCGCATTCGGAATCGAGTGCTATCAGACTCAGAATGAGTATAAGAAGAGTTCTCTTCATTGCAGGGCCAAGTCTTTCACCGCGGTAGCGTTGCTTATTCATTGAAGGAGCCTCTTCAATCCTTCGGAGGTTCTATGGAACTGTACTTTTGAAAAGCAGCCAACGACGAGTCGAGTCTTTACAACATTCGGTGGAACACGGTGGTAGCTTGATGGTTAATTTGCTTGGAGATTTTTACGCAGTTATTAGGGTGGACTACGGTGCTATTGAGAACGGTGGACGGGAATGGATGCGGAGGACGAGGAGTGGTTGTGAAGTTTCGGACGTTATGAAGTTATGAGCAAAATTACACAAGATCAAACGATCAAACCAGTTTACCATTGACTCGGAACTCTAATTGCGCTTCTACCATGCGGGGTCGTCTATTAATTCCCCATGAAAGTGAACAAGTCATTGGTTTCAATTGTCGTTGAAACTTGAATTGCTCTCTTTGATCTTTGATAATGGACTGGTAACTGGTAAGCTTACTGAATGACCGCGATGAAAACTCCGATGCTCCGATCTCCGATGAGTATTTTAATTAAAATAGTATGTACCGTACTGTACTTATGTACTTATTGCATTCTACGCATACCGATATCGATAAGCCACGCAGCCACGAAGCGCTACCGGGAAGGTCCCGCAAATATTGAAATAGTTTAATTATGATGAATTTGTGATTAATGTGTTGAATGGTGATGAATGGTGATGAATTCATCAAGAGTTTGTTGAATGGTGATGAATGGTGATGAAAATGATGAATTGATAATGAATCGTGATGAAAATATTTAATTAGTGATGAATTCAATTCCAGATTTTCATGTTTCGCAGGACCTTCCGGTAAATGTCATGTACCGTACCGTGGCTGCATTTGCATAGTGACACGTGCGAACGAGGGCAATGAGGGAATGAGGGTGAATCGAATCGACAGTAAGTGAGGACGTCAGGACCTGCGTGAGACGAGTCATGAGTCGAGTCGAGCCCCCCCCCACACACGCTACCAGTACCGGTACGGCTGTACCCCCTGGAAAGTCCCGCAAAAGCTGAGTTTTTGGGATACTCTTTAATTAAACAGCTGGATTGTTGAATAAATCCAACATGTGTTGAAAAAGTGTTGATTTTAAAAAGTGTTGAAGTACTGTTGATTTAATGTTGACTCCGATTCAACATGTTGCATTTTTGTACATTATTTTCAACACTTTTACTGTAGCTATCTACTATTGGATTCAACATCTGTTGAATTCAGTGTTAAACAGTATTCAACAGTTTTGAAAAAGTGTTGAAAAAGGGTTTAAAAAAGCGTTGAACAACTGTTTAACAAAAGTCAACACTGTTGAACTTAAATTCAACACTTTTACAGATCCTTTCAGCGATCCCAGCTTTGCGGGACCTTCCAGCATTACCCTGCATTTAGCGATTATTACCCATTGCCATGGCTGGCCATTGCGTTTGGTTTGTTATTTATTTATTTGTTCTATCGTGCTATCGTAGTGTTGGAGCGGGTTCTTGCTTGCTTCTGACATGGTTTAGTAGCTGGAATAGTGCGAATTATTGGCCACAGATGGATTGGAGTGAATCGAATCTACAAAGGTGATTACAGTAGATTCTGTGGTGCATACCGTGACGCTCCTCGTCCTTCCGGGAGGCGCCAATGGTGACGACGGGGTCCAGAGTTTGCATTGGTACATGCAGTCGGGACCGCTTCAACAAGTGCACTACCAAGAAGGACGCTCCGAGTTCAGCAGCGACTATCAATCATCAGACTCGACTCGGACACAGACTACTCGCTTTATACCCCAAAGCTGGACACAGAACCCTGCAGTGGCGGGGATGTTGCCAAAGTTAGCGCGGATATTGCCAATGATGTTACAGCCCCCATTACTCCATGCAAAACCGAGTAGTCACTTTTCTCTCCGAGTCCAGAACCCGCTGGCAGCATTGCCAGTGACGATGACGCCGAGATGCCCGACCCCGTCACCCACTTGAAACTGTGGGAATTGTTGGCTGCCACCAATTCCTCTCTGCAGCCTCGGATGTCAGACCCGACCTGCATCCTGCATCTCTTTACGTCATCTCGAACTCGACAGCAATCATCATCTGGACCTCGACAGCAATCATCCCCGACTGTAGATAGTGAGAACTTGAAGGATCCTGCCGATACTCACCAACAACACGCTTTCTGTCAAGCTCTCAAGCAAATGGAAAAACCTTTGCTGTTTACGGATCTTGATGACCAGAACAAAACTACAGCCAGCAATCCGCCCAGGGGGAAGACTCATCAAGGCTTTGTCCTGGAACAGGATTTTCCTCCGTACTCGCAGCTGAGGCGACCCAGCTTTCGCGGGCGATGATGTCCTGTTGGTCGCTCGCAGCGACTCTCCAACGCAGTAGAAGCAATCCCCACTGGTACACGACAATGCAGAATCCGCTTATTACATCCGAAACAACAACATGAAGAACCGAGCTGGTACGAGACTGTGGCCACCTCCTGGTTGTGCCTTGCTACCATCACAGTCTCTCCGGTTGTTTTGGTGCTGGCTCATGTCTTGTGGGATGCCTTGGGCTCCACCTGGATTCATGATGCATGCAACTTGGGGTAAAGGTCACGGCAGCCTTGTTGCTGTGGTGCACTCACTGGATGTGGGACTCCCCTGCTGAAGGAAAAACTATTGGAAGGCTTTTTGGTTCGGTTTGCCTTGTGTTCTAGCTAGCGGATCGGCGTTTTGGGCCGGCCTGATCGGAGGTTTGGATTGTGTACATGTAGGCCACGACGACCGCAAAGATTCACCCACAGCTCAACACAACACTCTGCAATTGGCCTACTCAACTCATTACTTTACGTTGTTCAACAAGCGGGCACCTACAATTCTTGACTAAGCGGTCGCTGTTGCAGCACCAAAGACCTCAACAACGTTTGCCAGAAAATACTTCAAACTTCTTTCGACGTCAATTGATCAAGCCGGGCCGCTCAATAGTTGATGGGTTTGACAGCTGTGTCGCAATGGGTCCCACTGAAGACATTGACGTTGACGCCAGCTCCCAAACCTACTTCAATTGCTGGAGTTCCATCGAGAGCAAACTGGAAAGCTATGCTAATTCCAGGGCCAATGTGCACGTCGAAATCAAAACCATTTGATTTTCCTGGGAGGTTCTGAATGTCCGGGGTGAAGACAATCCCAAGGACGAATCCAACGGCAGCTCCAAAGTTGGCTCCGACACTGGTACAGTCTACAAAAGCCGCGCCCAAATTGCCATTTGTGTCTACTGCGAGAGCTACAACGCCAATGTGCTTGGCCCCTGCACCGAATTCTCCCACTAATCCCGCGTAGAATGTTGCAGCTGCGTGTTGTTGGCCGCAACTCTTATATGCATCCACAAATGCTTCCAGGGGCTTTTGGAAAGAATCTTTGATCGTCCCATCGGCAACTGCCTCTTCAGGCTCATTATCAAGATCTATTTTGGCTTTCACCTTGTCCAGGAGCTCGTCCAAGTCGAACTCATCTCGCAGTGCGTCGATAGCTGGATCAAGACAGTCGGGAACGCATCTTTGACCAATCACCTGAGATGGCGTCGAAGCAGCTCAGTTACTAAGACACAGTACATCAATGCCACAGATAACCAACAAGAAGAAACCCAGTACTTACACAAGTCAAACCATCCTCGCACTGGCGGGTAAGATGACAAGCCTCTCCAACAGCACCTGGTTTCTTACAGACATGGGTACCAGCTTCACACCACAATCCATCCTTGCACTCAAATCCGCCACTGCACGGCTCACCCTCAAGACGTGGTGAATGAAAGCACTTGTGGACACCAGGATGACAAGACAGGCCATCCTCGCAGCCAAAAAAAGGGAACACGGTTCATCGTACTTGCGGGGATTGTTGTAACATTCATGGACACCCGGGTGACAACTGAGCCCTTCCCTGCACTGAGCGAACACAGAACAGCCTTGCTTGTAGCCCCTTCCTTCGAAATTGCTGTAGCCACCACCGTTCCCATGGTGCTTGTATCCAATGGCTTTGCATGAGCCAGCTTCGCGCCAGCACTTGGCAAAGATACGCCCCTTCCTTCCTTCGGGACCAGTTCTGGTGTAATATTTCGACCATTCACCGCCTCTTTTGGTTGGCAAATCTGCCTTGTTAACTCTGATAGCCTGACGGCCCACATCCCAACTCGGTCCATTGTCGAAACCTGCATCGTAGTCTCCAATTTGGAACTTGAATCCAAACTTAAAGAAGCTCTTAGCATCATCCACGCACCAGTTGGCGCCAGCCCTGGAATTGCCTGCGTAGACTGGGCATGTATAGAACCCATCTTCTTTCTTCTTGTTGTCCGGAGGTTCGCAGGCCTTGTTGTTAAGATTCTTGATGCTGAAGTCCTTGTACATCATGCCCAACTCCTTAGACCTGGTGTTCGATCCAAAGTAAACTGCTCCTCTTCTCACGTCCCACTCTTCCTCGCTGCCGGGGTTGCCTTTCGTCTCAAGAACGCGAACGCTGTCGACGCGGCAAATAAAGCGATCAGCCTGAGCTAGCTTCACCCACGTCAAGCCCAGCACAGAGGCGAGGGCAGCCGAAAAAAGAGAAGTCGTTTTCATTGTTGCAAATACGGACGAAACTGGCACAAGCCAGTGTGAGAAAGTTGACAGTGAGAAGTACTGGTACCATGCACCTCAGAAGAAGCTCACCTATTTACTCTTAAGTACTGAAATGTGTCTGCGGATGCTCTCAACTTAAATCTCGAAAGATTGTGAGCACACTCGTGGTTTCTTCTTCAGCCAAGGCGAGCTGAATACGTATATGCTTGCTGTTGGGCTTAGATCGTTTGAGGACTCCTGCTATCCGAGCTGATGAGCCAGTTCACCTTAAAATTAGTAATACCTCCTGCTATCCGAGCTGATGACACCAGTTCCCCTAAATAGAAATGCGGGATGATCCTCTGGTTGTCCGGGCCACCGACGCATGTGGGATGCATTCGCCCATGAAGCTCTTGGAAGCCTCAGTGGTATTACTTTATCATATCATGTATTTGGCGTGCCCTCAGGTGGTGGTGGTGCTACTGAAGGTTGGAAGAAGGCAGGAAGGAGCGGAGGTCTTGGTGGTTCCACTGTGAAGGTCGGAAGAAGTCATCGCAGTTGGTGATGTTGGATCCATATCTCAACCAAGATATGTTGCCTCTTTGGTCACTTCAGGGACTCATTTGTAGGAAGCCACTGAAGGTTGGAAGAAGTCATCGCAGTTGGTGATGTTGGATCCAGATCTCAACGAAGATATGTCGCCTCTTTCGTCACTTCAGGGACTCATTTGTACATGTAGGAGCAAGCAAGAACCCATCGACCACACTGAGTAGCCAGCCAAGGTCCTGATTTGATTCCGCGTGAAGGCATTCATGCGTTGGTAGAGAGACTTGCTCGACCCACAAGTTTCATGTCTCCTACTAATGATGGGGTTTGGGTATGAGCTCTGCAAGAGTTTGCTTGAGTTCTGAGTGCCTTAGCCAACCGAGGCCACTATCGCAACGATCAGCATAGCATCCCCTGAGGCTAATCCTGGTCGAGTGGGCTGAGCCTCGCCTTATATACCGAAGCAACAACCTTGACACCACGGCGAGACGACAATATCCAATCACGACTCAAGTCAACCCAACCAGCTACGGTACAGCACCGGTACACTGTAGCTACAGTACATACTCTACGGTGGCTAGCCGGCCATTTGTTCCTCTTTTGCAATTTGCATTTATTTGGCTAGGCTATCTTTGTTAGGGTTACGGCTAAAAAGTGTGACACACAAACCGACAAACAGACAGGGCCCTACCGCTTGGTTGGTATTTACTGTTTATTCCTTACTGCCATGAGGTCAGTAAAAGGAGCAGTAATGGCAGTAATGCAGTAATTCCTCAGTAGCAGTAATTATGCACAGTAATTTAAAGCCAATTGAAGGCAGTAAACTACAGTAATTGCAGTAATAAAGGCTAATTACTGTGATTTTACTGTCATTTACTGGATATTACTGTTGCAAAGGCAGATTACTTACTGCATGGGATTACTTACTGCAGTAATTAGGTGGCCAACAATGGCAGTAATTGGACAGTAAGGAGCCAGTAACCCGGATTTACTGCAGTAAATACCAACCAAGCCCTACCGTACTACCGGTAGCTAGCTAGTACATCCGTTGAGGGCTATTCCCTGAGACACGGAGCGGGCCGAACGCGGCCCCACCAGCTACAGTATGATTTAAAAGTTGAGTCGAGTCGAGTCAGTCACTGTGACAGAAAAAAAGAAAAAATACAGCAATTCATTCTTAGTAACACGGTCCGGTACCAGGTACAGTACCAGTACACGTGTATGGTACCAGTACAGTACCAGTGCATACAGTACCGTAATACTCAATTCCATCATGCAACTTCAGCACCAGGAACTCTCGACACAGCACCCGCGGCTGAAACCTTGTTAGCCGACGTTGTGATGGATTCGACCGTCGGGAGGGAGAGGCATCTTCGAGAAGGACGACTGCTCCCCTTCCGGCACGGCTTCCGCAAGCAGTCTAGTTCACCTAGCTTACACAGGGGATGTTAAGGGCAGCTTGGATGTGTAATGTGTATCAATTCGGGTCTTACTGGTCACTCGCTGTGCTCAAAGGCACTTGGAGCTGTTCCACAAGGCGCCTGATGACGACATTTATTTTGGCCTCCATCGACTCGAACTCCCAATGTTCATCCCTGTCGTGTTTGTGTCCGCGTTGTTAGGCAAGGACCAAAACGCACAGGAACCTTTCGCTTTGGTCTTCAGTGTAGATAGCAGCATCGTGGCAACGAGGCCATCGAATCCACCGATCGTTCGCGACAACAACAAAGATCTTGACAAAAAGGACAAGCGTCGTCTTCAACAATCGATCGTCGCGGAATCGCAATCAAACAACAGCGCTCTTCTTGGAGGTGTCTTCTTCTTCCATCAACATGAAACAAGAGACGCAGACGGGTGTTTTGCTGGCCACCGACGCCTTTTGCATTGGTCTGCTAGACAATCCACATACATCCTCATCGTCTTCATTTCTTCTGGAAGCCAAAAAGAAACTCTTCTGGATGAGGAGGGTTTGGTGCGAGCAGCAAGCCAACAGACAACAACAAACCCAAGTCGATATCGTTAGGTGCCGACAAGAGATCGTTGGAAAAACAATTTGACACCTTTGTTGCCATTACCGATTTGGAAATCCGACCCTCAACGACGACGACAAGTTTGAGGTAACATGTCATTCCATTGGGCAAAAAAGCTCAAGGAGTGCGGTGTGTTTGGAGTTTCCAGTGATGAATACCATACATATGCAGTTCAGAATAGAACAGAGTGGAAAAAGGAGGGGGGTTCCATTTGCCAAGCCATGATGGAGAAAGCTATGATTCTGCACTCAACCCAAGCAAGGATTGAAACCGCGGAAGAATCAGCGGAGGAGAATATGTACAGAGAAATGCAAGCGCGACGCAAGAGCCTTGATCTTGACATGGAAATGGAGGGAGGCCATGACAGTCTCCACAGCTATTCGGAACATTAAACTTTATGGTAGGAAATGGAATGACTTACAGATCGAGGGATGAGCATTGAGAAGCCGTTGTGCAGTTGCACTCATCTAAATGAACAATTGCTAGTGTGAGTTATGAGCACTTCCAAAAGGGCTAAGTAGTACGGTACCGGCAGGCGCAAGGGAGATAGGCAGTGGGGCTAGCTAGCACTGAGTGGGGCTGTTTCTGATATTAGTTGGTGAGTGGAGGCACTGAACAGGGGCAGTCATGCAATCTTCCGACTACAGGTTTTGTTGGAAGTATCGTATGTGATATGGGAGCATACAGTACCGTATGTGCTACGATAAAAGCGATCGATTCGATCAGGATATTCAATATGCAGCTCTGGCAATCCATAGGTATAATTATCCGACATTGGTTTCTTCATGACGGGCCTCAAGAAACCGTGAAGACAAGCCAAAATAGAGGGCTGTCCTAAGACTTTATTTCTTTGCGCATCATGGGAATAAAGCACAAGAGCTCATGCCATTTCGTTGTTTCCACCTTGAAATTGATGTTGCTCCACCCAAACCCGTCGCATTCAATGAATTGTCGACAGCCTTCTCCGACAGAGGAGGCCAGATCGGGTTGCGTCGCCAAGATCATGTAATAAAGTCCTCCCACGGCAGCTCGGACAGTAGAGGATGATTTTCCAACCAGTGCAAGGCCTTCCATTGAACTGTTGAGCTATTGTCTATGCTCTGGAAGTGCGTGGTCGAAGATTGGAAGGAAAAATGTCTCTAGTAGAGGAGTAGAGGATACCGCTGGGAGCTGAGGAGGGACCCTCCTTCTAAAAGCCATCAACATGCCATGACGCATTCGGAATTCGGAAGGGGGGCCGACGAGTCGAGTCGTAGTACGACTCACTCGAGCTTGGGCGAAAAACCAGTTTTTCTCTCCGAACCCAAGCCCAAGCCATGAAAATAGGAAAATGGCTCAAGCCGCAATGTGACATTCGATACTGTAACCAAGGATTCGGCAAGAACGCTGTGGGCCAAACATGACTTCCTATGGAGGAAAGAATCGAATCGAATCCATCCACAACCAATGACATCATACAGAAAGACGAAAACACCCCATCAGTTCGAGGCGCGAGATTGGCCTGTGCAGGGCAAAAGATACAGTTTTCGCTTCGCAATAATTTGTTTGTCAGAGAACGGAGAAGTTTCCCAAAGCTATGATCCAAGTGGAACAAGCAAAACCGTTCGTAGACGATCTATTGTCGGCGGCGAAGCATGTTGCCAGACGAGAAGCGAGGAGGAACCAAACATTCTAGTGATGTGATGATAGCTTCATATCCTAGAAATTCATTCGGCGAGGTTTGAATGTCTCCTTGTCCGGGCACTTCGTGTTTGATAACCTTGTGCTTTTGAAATGAAAGCATTCATCTTCTCTCACAAATCCAAAAACAAATCCAAAACATTAAGCGCAAACACTAGCATCAGTTACGAAAAAGAAAACCTAAAATCACTTAAAGATGAAGATCTCGTTCACTGTCACCATCCTCTCGTTGCTTTTTAGCAGCACCGTCGCCGACGAAGGTCGTCTCTTGAGGACGCAGAGGCGCATCGCAGATTATGAAGGTGCCATGGCCAACGCCAATAATGTAACTTTCAAATTTGACCCGTCGACGACGGCTCTCGTTGTCATCGACCCTCAGAATGACTTTTTGAGTGAAAACGGCGTTGCCTGGGGTGTTGTTGGTGAATCTGTCGTGGAGAACAATGTCGTGGACAATATTGAGTATCTATTTCAGGTTTGTTGAAGCTTGTCATGTCGTCATGTCGTCTTGTTGGTGCACCAACCAACACTTCTGCTTACCACTCTGTATCTTTTCCTCTCAGGCGGCTGCAAACAATGACTTCTTAACCTTCATCTCTCCCCACCACTACTTTCCCCACGACCACAAGTGGGAGTTTGAAGGAGAACTCGAAAAGGTCATGCACGGACTTGGCATGTTTGATCGGGCTGGACCTTTGAACCTCACGGGCTTTGAAGGCTCTGGTGCAGACTGGCTCGACCAATACAAGCCGTACATTGTCGGAGCCGAGAATGTCATTGTGACCAACCCTCACAAGGTCTACGGCCCCGAAACCAATGACTTGGTCCTTCAGCTTCGCAAGCGCAAGATGGACTCTGTCATTTTGGCCGGCATGTCGGCAAACCTCTGTGTGGAAGCTCACATGAGGGCCCTTACGGAGCAGGGCTTTGAAGTCTTTGTCGCGGCGGATGCAACGGCGGGAGGTAAAACACCCGAGCTCGGCGACGGTTTTGCAGCTGCCCTCATCAACTACAAGTTTATCTCCAGCGGTGTCTACAACACGTCCGAGGTCGTTGCCATGATGAAGCAGACTGATACTGACGAAGCCCTTGTGGTTGACAAAACTGGTGGTTTCTAAGTCGACCGGTTGGTTTGTTGCTCGTGGCTCGGTTCTTGCTCAGGTGTGGGCTTCTGTGTGATGTATATGTACCCAAAAAGATTGCGGTGGTCAGGAGACTGTAGCATTGCAGAGAAGGTGATAAAACTACGGTAATACTCTAGCTAGACAACGTCCGCTGCAAAATGACTACGTCTTTATATCATCTTCTCTGCTCTCCAACTAGAAAGTGCTCCGTTTTTGTACCGGTAGGTTCAGGGCCCTTGATTTCCCTTGAAACCTTTCCACAATCTTGAAAATCGTACCTGGTACGAGGCCTTGGAGCTAGCCAACTCCTTAGAATGAGACTGTAGCATGCTACCGGTACGTGGCCTTTTGGTTTGGAAGAGGCTCATTCGCAGGTACACGTAGTGTACAAGCTAGGCCTACTACTAGCTACTCTAGCTCGAATGTATCCATCAGGTTGCACTTCACGTTGCTTTGCTTCACCAATGTGATATCTTAAACCTAAGGTAGCTTCAATGACGTTTCCGACTTTTTGAAGCCGCACCGAAGAGCCGAAGCCACCCAAATCAAATCGAGAAGATCGAGGATCTTGGATCCTTGGCAGATCCATCGGCAAAAGAGAAACAGCTCAATCTCCAACTTTGAGAGATAGAAAATAGTCCGAGGGAGTGTTGTGACAACAGACAATGGGAATTTTGTTACAACTGATCATGACAATGGCGTTGATGTCCTTGCTTCGACCAAGCTCTGCCTTTATCTTGCGCTCTGCTGGAAGGTCACTATTGGGAAGACCCGTTGCGCTGAAGCCATCACGTTTATTATTATCCACAACCAGCAACACCAGCGAGTCATCCCAATCGAACAAGAGCAACAGCAATGACGGAAGCTATAATAACGATGACAAAGAAAACAAAACTTCCAGAAATCCAAGACCAGGCTTGGAAGATGATATCACTCCTCCCTGGACGTTTGACTTGCTACAGAAGAAGCGAAGTCGCCGCAACAATGTGGTGCGAGTGCGACAACATGTGAATCCATTGGCTCGGCGATTTCAACTTGCCACAATTCTGACAGACCAATGGCCTACCGATGTCTACGACGATGTGTCCAGCAAGCCGCTCTTTTTGGATATTGGAGTCGGCAAGGGTGGATTTCTACTCCATGTGGCGTCGCAACGGCCACAAGAATACAATTATCTGGGCTTGGAAATACGACCGTTGGCGGTCCAATTTGCCAAGGAACGACTGCAAACCAATCCAGCTTATTCCGTGCCCTGTACGGGTCATTTGGATTTTGTGGGATGTAATGCCAATGTGGATCTCGGAAGGCTTTTGAATCTCTATCGGGAGGCCAACGACAACAACAACAATACTCCACTGGCAATGGTCACCATTCAATTTCCAGATCCACATTTCAAGGCGAGTCATGCCAAACGCCGAGTGGTTACACCCGAATTGGTCCGAACGCTGCCACAATTCATGCCACCTGGAGGCAAAGTGTTTTTGCAATCCGATGTTCAGACCGTTCTAGATGACATGAGAGAACGATTCCGAGAGGAGTCGATGTATTTTACAGATCAAGTCGAAGACATTTCCAGCTATTATCCAGACAACATTATTGGGATTCCAACCGAACGGGAAGTCAGTGTGTTGAAGCAAGATTTGCCAGTGTACCGAGCCCTGTTTGTGAGAACGGAAACACCCTTTGACGAGAACGATAAGTAAATACTGTAATAAGAGAGCACATAGAAAACAATCTACAAACCAAAAGTTGTAGAAACTCTCGTGCACCAACCCAGACTATGCACAAGTCAAGGGTACGTAGCCCAAATGCCACAACAACTGGAAATACAAAGTTTTCTCCTAAAGGAATTTGATTGCTACCCGAACCAATGACTATGCATTTGCAACATCGCCCCAGCTCACACTGCGGTTGAGAGACTGGTCATCTTTGCATTCCTTGACACCGTAGAGTTGTTGCTGCTCCAAGTCGTCTTCTGCGTTTTGCTGTTCTTGCAAGACCAGATTGGCCTCATGGATGACAAGGTTCTGGATATTGTCCAGGATTGTGACACAATAAGCATCCAAAGCCAAATGATTGGGCCTGTGCTTGTTGAATGGGATCTCAACCTCACTAGATGCGCCTTCAATACCAAAGAGAGCAAAGGCAGTGAAGGACACCAAAATGACAGTTCCCCAAGCCCATTCGTGGACCCAAATGTACGGAAGAAACATCATGTAGACAAAGAGGAAGGTGCGTAGATGAGACGTATAGACAACCGGAAGTGGTGTTGAGCGGATGCGTTCCATTCCTGAAATCTGCTCAATCAGAATATCAATCAATGATGACATGTAGTTCATATGGGTCACCCTGGCATATGCCACACCAGCAGGTGTAGAAGCATCCACTGCCAAAGTCTTGCGCAAATAGTATCGAATTTGGCTGGCCACAAACAGGGGTGCATGCTCGGCATGTTCAATCTGGTCCAACTCGGGTCGCTTCAGGAAACCAGCCAGTTCTGCAGAGGGGATCTTTGTTTCTCGGCGAATAAAGTGCATGCAGGCCACACAGTAGGCCCCCGTCCAACGAATCGCTTGGTCTCGATAGTGGGGCTGATCTCCACAGTGTGTCAAGATGGCACTGGCCAAGGAGCGGCTAACTCGTGTAACATTCCCCCACATGGTCCTTGTTTCCCAGTACCGGACAGCACAGCGATTGAGCCGGAAGACCAACAGGAATGCCAGACTTGTCTTGAGGACTAAGGAGTACACAGTATCCCAATGGCCCAAGGCTTCATAATTGAAACTCACACCACCAACTTCGTTTAGCAAGGTTGTGACCAGGGCATTGGCAGTTACAATCATCCATGGAACAAGAAAGTTATCAATGGCTCGAGGTTCCCATGCACACATACTCTTCATCCAACCATCAGTCCCCTTGATATGGTCCGTCTGTTTGATGCCGTGCTCTTTCAAAATCCGTTCCCTGTGAAGACAACAGCTCACATAAGATGGAACCAAAAGTGATACAGAAGCCACCACAAAATGGTACAATGATAGACTAACCTTGCAGGAGATCCTTTGAGCAAAGACTGTGCCAATGGAAACCCTTTGTATAGACCTACCGACAATCGGATGTGGTTCATAGATGTCTCTCGCATGTACAACTCATCATCACAGGCAATGGTAACACGCTTCTGATAACGACAAAATGTGTTGTCGATTTCAACTACTTCCAAGCATGATTGTTGTCGCACAATCTTCATGCTCATGCTGCGAGCACTGCTCTGGAGCCTTTTCGGGTTTGCAGTTCGGGGGTCCCCGCATCTTCCTGTACTACTGCCAACTACCTCTCCCTCCTCCATCCTGCTCATATTCGAATCCTTCTCCATGGTCCAGAGTTACATGTATGGAGGCTGGTAATTGTTCTGTGTTGGCGCAGCATGGTTGAAAGATATCCTTGGATCTTGCATTGAATCAATTCATATCTACCGTATTGAAGAACGTGGTCGCTTTTAGTCGGAGTGGCTCAATCTCATTAGCTTTTTTCACCACTGTGGCAAGGTCTTCAATCAAGCACCCTCCAATGATACAGCTCGGTCCATGCCATAAACCAACAAGCATCAAATCAAAAGTCGAGGGAGATGAAAACTCAAGAACCAGGCCTTGGATGGAGATTGTGATCGAATGATGGATCTCGTCCGCTCGTCCAACTTCCGGTACCAACGGTCATAAGGCTATAATTTTGTGCCAACGTGTTTCAGGCGTTACTTCTATGACTTTCACTAACTCTTTTTGAACGCCACAAAAGGCTTTGTATTGAAGCTGCGAAGCTGTCTTTACATGCCTGAGACGAAGGTAGAGGGAACTGCATTACCGCTACGATTCTTTACTGCCTCTAGTGTAGTGCTGCGTGCTGCGGTGTCATGCACTTTCCGCAATCAAGTGCCATGCCAGTGTGCGAGCCACAAAACCAACCAATCGACAACACAAATACTTACTTGCTTGTAATTATTGTAATACTTTGGATAGAGCTGACTGGCTAGCTAGCAAGTGGAAACTGCAGGAGTTCAGACAGCGGCACCTTGTCAATTCGCTCCCAGCCAATTCAACCAGTATCATTTCGCCACTGCAGCCAAACAGACACCTGAGTCCAGTCAATCTGCCCATTGTCACCGAAAACGGGGAGGATGACCACCATCAGGATGACTCGACTCGCTCCATCAGCTAGTTTTTGCTGGGTCTCCAAGCTCAAGAATGACACGTTTTTGAATGACAAGTGGACACCAAATTGCTCCTGCCTTGTTTGAAAAGTCTGGTGTACGTGCTGCAATTCCTCTTATACTCTAACTACCTATCGAGCATCATCAGCAGTAGGCCAAGTGCTCTGCTTTCGTGTGAAGGCAAGCAAGAGATCGACGCAGCATCCCCAACAGCCACTTAGCTCAGGGCTTGGTTCCCAGCAGTTTTGGATTGTTGAATTCGATATGAATAGCAGCATACTAGACTGGTACTAGTACTACTAGTAGCCACAATAACAGACTGAGGAACTTTCCTTTTCCTTCGGCCACCATGGTTGTGAGGCTCCAGCGATTGATCAAGAACGCCACCTTCAATTTTTGAACCTTCAGCTTATGTTGGCATCCCAAGGTTTTCAATAAGAAGCATCATGTGCTGTAATTTGTCAAGAGACAGTAGTATTCCGACAACGCAGACTGCTGGGTGGTAACATCTTGTTCCCAACCAATAGCTACTCTAGCTAGCTAGAGCGCAGGAGCGAAGCCAAGGGTTCTATGAGCTGTGCTGTGCTACTGTAAGAACCCTTTAATCAGCTTGACAGCTTGGCTGTCTTTATGAAGGCACGGAAAGTTTCCGTGATTACGTAACGTTCCGTCCGTCTTCCGAGTCTCATTTGACTGGAGCTGCTTTGGTCAGGTGGCAGTGGTGGACGGTATTGAAAGCATTAGGCACTGGATTTATCAGGCGCTCGTTTTGGATCGCACAGAGTTCGCCAGCACTTCCAAGCACTAAAATCGCTCACATTTCTTGGAAAAGGAGGAGCGAAGGGAAGACTATGATGATGACCAGCCACAAATTGAAGCAAATGGCTTTGATGGACAACCGACGACTCCAGACAAAACCACAGCAAACGACCAGACGAAACTCCCCAACGACAACAGACCCAACCCGTTCAATAACAGACACAATAATAAGAAGCACACTCAGTACAGTACACCTACCATAGTACACTGCGCGGATGACAGTGCACACATCACTGCAATCGTATCGCTGTGCGGTGCAAGGATAGACCGACGCTCTTCGAGTGTTGTTCCCCCCTTTCGTTACCTTCGCTCCACAAAACAAAACACTTTTTTTTTAAAAGACTAGTAGAGGGATCGTCAAGCTAAACGCACCGTCAATCAGCGGAAGAGAGCAGCGGCAGAGAGGGAACAGTCCACAAGAAGACGACGCCATACTCTTGCACACAGCCGCAGCCGACCGCAAGAATCAGCAATATCGCCGTCAACAAGCAGCAGCAACAACAGCAGCTCGAAGTGTTCGCAGCAGGCGGACAGACGGTACGTTGCCACGCTTCATTCGTCGCTTCAGTTCATGTTCACGGCCGCTTTGAGTTATAATTAATCTCCTCCTCTCCATCGCAGTAGCAGCATACAACAAGGACGGCTTCAAAGAGGTGCTCTAACAACAAGTTCTCGCTCTGTTGGACTTAGTAGTTAGAAGCAAGCACCAAAGCAAAGAAGAACCACTTCCCCGTCACGTCTGTACGGTACTTCGATTGTCCTTCTTCAACCAAGGACCCTTCGTCCTCGAGAGGAGAAAAAAAATCCATTGCTGAAAAGCAACACACTTACACAAAGCAGCCATTTTGATGCCAAGAGAAGAGAGTGCTAAAAATAAAGTCGCAACAAATAGTCGCGGTGTAGCACCCTCGCTCTCTACCACAAAAAGAACATCAATCGAAGAGGACGGCCTCACCACGGGTTTCGACGAAGATCGAACTACCAAATCGCCAGAACGTCTCAAGGAGGACGACAACAAGGAGGAGGACGACGAATCGAATTCGACCATGCTGCTGGTGGACAATGAGCTTGTCCTCGACCTCACCGAAGAACAAGAAGATTACCATGTGGTCCTCAAGAGGGCTAGAGAAGAAGTCCTAAACTCGGATATTCGTGAATTTACTTTGGTATCGCATCTCTCCAGAAAGTTTCCAGTGAGAGACTTGGCAGAGATTCTAGAGAAAACAAACAACCTGCGGAGCCTTAGTTTGTTTTCTGTTGCTCTTAGTGGCAGGACCGCAGATTTTGATTTCCTGGCCCAGGTGTTGCGTGGACACAAACAACTGAAAGAAGTCCACATGGTAGACTGTGGCATGTTGGGGGCATGGGAAGCCCCCCCGGGCAGTGAATCCATTTCCACAAGTACGACGAGTACCCTGGAAGCCTCACAAAGGAAGCGTCCTAAATTGAGCTCTCGAGCCAAGGAGCTGGCCACAAAATTGAAGCCACCCCCAGGTCCTCAACCCACCACAGACGTATCGACGGCGGCAATGTCGACATCGGCCAAGTCAAAGACCTCGGGCGCCACGGCCATGTCCACTTCAGGTGGCACATTGGCAATGTCAACTTCGAGTACCGGAGGTCCGTCTACGGCGAATCCCAGCACAGCTGCCGTCGCGAGCAGTTCTTCGAGGAAAAGAACCGCTGCCCAGCTACGATCACCCGTCGTGCCAAGATCAAAGAATCTCGACTCATCGGTATCTGCTAGCTCCAAGGAAATCTCTTCAGCGTCTACCCGTCTGGGTGAAAAGGTTCCCACCATGGATGCCATTCTGAATGCATTGGCCACCATTAACACTTTGACCAATGTAGAGCTTTACGGAATCCCCTCCGGGAAGTACGACAAGCTCAGTGATGGCGACCAAGAATCGAACCATCAAGCGGTCTTGGCCGAGGGCGAAGGCGATCAGGATATTCCAATGGTACCAATGGCAAATGGTGATTCTTACACCCACTCGGATGAAGATTTCCTGGCGGATTACGATGAGGACATTAGAGGGATTCCAGGCAACGGACGACCGGTGTGTTCCCTCACCAAGAAGCTGTCACTTCTGATGAGCCCCGAGTCTATTGGTGCGATTTGCCGTGGGCCCAATCTGAGCCAGATTGGATTCGAAGACTTGAACCTCCAGCACAGACACATTGAGCTCATTGCAGAGGCTCTCTCTTTAAAGGGGTGCAAGGTCAAAGAGCTCAAGATGTGGGGCTGCAACGTCGATGATAAGAGCTCCGATGCAATCGCACGGATGCTCAAGGTGAACGTGTCACTGGAGAAGCTGGACTTGTCGTACAATCACATTAAAGATAAGGGCTGCGTCGCCATTGCCAATGCGTTACGTGGCAACACGACATTGAGATGTCTAAATATTATGGGAAACGAGTGTGCCGAAGACTACGACAAGGAGAGCAAAGGGGGGTGCTACGAGGCACTAATGGATCTTTTGAAGGTTAACGCCACGCTGAAGGATCTCATCTTGGAACCCTTCGAACAGGATGACGATTCGGATGGTGGTATCCCAGAGTTCATTATCATACCCGCCGATTACAAAGACGATGCATCCTCTGCCTCTGAGTAGATTGGTTGGCGTCGAAAACAGGGGGGAAAGCCCGCGCACACAGACCAAGCTCGCTTCCGTGAATTACATGCGGCAAACAAACACCGTTGATAGATCTTGACCGATTTCAAAGCTTTGTCTAGCAAATTGTATATACTATTTTGACACATTGTTTTACTCTACCCACATTTATTTGTCCTCTCCGCTGGTCGAATCTATTTCCAGTTTTGCAACACAGCACATCGGAGCAAAGCAAGATTGAATGATTGGCTGACTAGCTAGACTATGTTGCAACTCGTCCAATTTTTGACCTTGTGGCTGCCTGGAATTGGGATCCCATGTCAGGCCAGCTCTGCAGAACTGGCAAGGACCGTTTTTATAACACACGCACACACAATGATTGCATCATTCGCTTTATCAATACGCTAGCTACGGTAGGTGGCTTGTGTGCTGGCTAAATACTGTGTGCTAACTCGTAGGGGCAGCCGCATTCGGTGCCACTTTTCTGTCTCCTTTTTTCTTCTTTTCTTGTTTCCCAGCACCATCAGCACCAGTCGTAGTATTGGCTAGTGCTAGTGCTGCTGCTGCTTCTGGATTATGATAAAAGAAGAATTTGCACGTCGGCGCGGGAGAAATATCCGTTTGCGACGACGACACCACGGACCACCCCGTGGATGGCAGGACATCGACGGGGGATTTGCAGTGATAGTAGTATTGTGCCGGATCACAAATGAACCACAGTCCATCTTCTCGACCCTGCACCAAAAAGACTTGTTCGCCCGTACTCTCGTTGCGTTTGGTGAATTGTTGTTGAATCAGTGCCGTAATGGGAGGTTCATCTTGTACGTAGATCCCATTAATCTTGTCAATGCCCGCACCTTGAATGAGGACATGTCGACACCGGGGTTGTTCGCCCTGCTGATAGTTGGTGTGCGAAAAGTCAAGCCCCAAGTTGTGTGCCAGGAGTGCCTGCTCCATGAATGCATCTAGAATGTGTTGGGGATCCATAAAGGGTGCTCGGCGCACGATGGTTTGGAGACTGACGGGATCAATGGCCGATAATTGGATATACGTGGATGCTTTTCGACACGTGGCTGTTGCGGCAGTGTCATCCTCCTCTTTGTGGTGATTGTACCATTCCAAGAGTCGTTCCAAGAGGAACAAGGGCGACGCTTGAATCTGTGTGGCATGCTGATAGAGTTCTACGAGTCGCGGTGCCGACAATCCCGTAATGCCTTCCAATGCGGATTGTTGCTCCGAGGAGAGTAGTAGTTTCCACGAAGCGGCTCGTATGAGGGGTGTCACATCTCGATGACTCAAGTCAAATACAATGCATGCCAACGGTGGATCGTCTTTCATCCACTGCTTCAAGAATTTGACCACGGCCATTTCCAATCCTGGAATTTGGTACTTGTCTCCCAATTCGGCCAACAAGACGGCGTGAGTGACTTGTTGTGTTACATGCGTGTCGGTTTCTGACAGTTGATTGGCAAAACTAATCAAGGCATCGCTGCAACAGTATTCGACCAACCACTTGAGTACCGTCGAATTGACTCCTGGAATGGGAATGTGGGCATGGAGTTTGTTTTCACTGAATTGTCCAAAGAGCATGCGCTCAAAGACGGGGCTGGTGCAACTGAGAATGCATCGCAGTGCTGGAACCGCGATACCATCGTCACCGACGAGATGGACATCGGCGACACTGTTTTGGCTATTAGCCACATTTTCCTTGAGGACTTTCATCAATCGCCGTTGGAGGGGTTGGAGGGTCTCGGAGCCCACTCCAGTAGTAGTACTACTATTAAAGACCAAGGCATCGTTGCTGGCGTTGGTGTTGGTGTTGTTGTTAGGTTGAGTGGGAGCAGCCAATGAGGATGCAGCGACCAGAGCCGGACTGGGAGCGGCTGTCAAGGCGGATGGACGGCTCCCTGAAGGTGGGTTGTTGCTGTTGTTGGGCGTGGGACTCATCATGGTGGTTGTTTGCTTTCTTTTACTGTTACTTTTTGAGCAATCTCTGCCAAATTTGTTCTGCTTGCAAACAGCAGGGACGATGATGATGTTTGGAAATAAATTGGAATGAATGTTTGATGCGAAAGGATGAGGTCACGGTGCTTCGGGTCATCGTCCTCATTTTTCTAATTCTGATGACTTTGGCTTTTGGGTTTCCAAACCATGACTGGATGGAGTTCGTGAACGAAGGACGTGAACAACAAGAGCAAGACGGATGCCACCACAAGATCAACAACTTCAAAATCTAGTTGCTACATGCCTGCAATAATAAATAATATAGACTAATAATGCTGCCCCAGTTTGAGTTACAAGCAAAGCGACGAATGCAACATGTGAAGCGTCGGAGACAAGAGCAGCGAACCCGAGTGGCCGTTATGGTGTTTGGTGTGATTTGTCTACTGGGAGTCCTCATCTTTTCCAATGTCTACATTATCTATCGGCATCAGCCATCGCCCAATGGGGACAATGTAGTGGCGAATTCTAATAATAATGACCCCAACAGCAACATCAATAATAGCAACGTGAGACGGAGAAATGTGTGGATTGGAAAAGATGCTCAGCCGTTTGTAAGTTGTTCGTTGTGGCAGGAAGGCTGTGTTGGTGTATGGTTTGCTTACTCTAGTTACCCTTCTTTACTAAAACTAAAACAATTTTGTAATTAGAACCAAGATCAGAGTGCCTCCAAAAGCCACCATTTGATCATGGTCGCAGGCCACAGTGTCACGGTCAGTGGAGACTTGGAGGATGCCGACCACGATGAAAAAGATTGGTTCTTACTCGAGTATCAAAAAGGCAAGGGATTGCCCGAAGTCATTATTGCGCACATCAAACGAGGGATTCAAGAAGCCGACCAGGATCCCAATTCCTTGCTCATCTTTTCCGGTGGCGAAACACGTGGTGCCACGGGCCCCAACACGGAAGCGGCATCCTACTTTAACGTTGCCGATGCCATGACACTCTGGAAAGGCACGGTCCGAGCTCGCACGGCCGCCGAAGAATTTGCCACGGACAGTTTTCAAAACTTGATGTTTTCCATTTGTCGCTTTCACGAAGTCACGGGATCCTATCCGACCAAAATCACAGTCATTTCCTTTTCCTTCAAAGGACCGCGGTTCGAGACTATGCATGCAAGAGCATTGGGATGGCCCGCCGACAAGTTTGTCTTTGTAGGAGTCGATCCACCGGCATCGACCACGGGATTTGATCTCGAAGCATCGACGCGGGGGGAATACGAAAATGCCGCCAAACCATTCGAAACCGATCCGTACGGATGTCATTCTGCCGTATTGCAAGAAAAACGAAAAGCACGCAATCCATTCTCACGAACACCCCCCTACGAATTGACCTGTCCCGAAATGAAATCACTGCTCAATTATTGTGGACCCAAACTATTTCCCAGGGAGGAATTGCCATGGAGAAATCTATAAGTAGCGACGCGACGCAAAAAGAAAAGAAAAACAATCCATGGAATGAGTGAATGAAGCAATCAAGGTGACACGACAATATTATATCGCCACCATTGGCTTTCCAAGCAATCAGCAGCTTCAAAAGGTCGAATGCCAGGCAAAAGGTCGAATTCCAGGCAATCTACCGTACCGTCGAGAATCAACCCGAGCATAAATTTGCAGCAACTGTCTCATGCCGATCGCTGAGGCACAAACAACAAGCTGGATTTCTCAATGTGGCTGCTCCTCAATGTTTATGATCAACATGTTTGTGCCGTAATGTGAAGCGTCGAATGGAGGAGGCATGAGTCACAGTTGCCACGTGGGTGACCAGCTACGGTCCATCTACTGCAACAATCAACAATGATAGATGCAGTCATAGCTGACTATCTCGTGTGCCCGTGCTAGATAGGATATTCTGGAAAGTCATCAGTGCCCGATACTACAGGAATCCAATCCCCACAATGACTACTTAGTATTGTATATGTGCATGGGACTGAATGAGACAGCCATGGGGACCATAGAGTGGGAACAAAGATCGCAATGTCCGCGACAAGGTTTATTTATTAAATAATAAAAAGGCGCACTCCCCGAGTGAAGTCGCCTTGGTCACCACTTCCTGCCTTGGTGTTGTTGGATGGTCAATTTTTCTGCTGTATCCGAATACATACCGGTACATTGCTTAGTTAGTTGGATGCCAAGGGATGCAAATCGTCATTGGATTCCATTCGATTCGTTATTACTGTATAATTAAAGTTGTTTGGCAATAAAGTGTGGTTGGTAGATTGATTGTGGGGAACAGTTGACACAGGGACAAAGTTTGGAATTTGATTGATGATGCTTCCGGCCATCGTCCTCATTTTTTTTCTAACTCTGATGCTTTGGGTTGCTTTGGTTAACCCTAACAATACTGGAGAGAGTTCGTGAATCGAGTGTCAGTCGAATGTTTCGTCAGACGTCAGACGCACGTGAAGCTGAGAAGAGGTGAACCAGTGAGAAGGTGAGAAAGAAAGAATTGGTCCGCGCAATGATCGCCAAAACCACACGCAACGCAACACAACACAACACATCTTGCCACACAAAACCTTGCCACTTCTCTTGCGCATGTCCAGTTGATCAACTAACTGAGCTTTGAGAGGCAGAGCTCTTCATTTCTGTTGCTGGTACTTCTGTTGCTCTTCTTTGCCAGATCAAGTCAAGGAATTTGCTTCCTTTGGATATTTTTTGTTGTCGTGAATTGGATCACCATGATTATTGCCGTCGAGGAAAATCCCTTTCACAATCCTATCAATCGCACTCGACCCATGACATCTCAGGATGCCCAAGCAAATTCAGATTTTGCCAGAAACACCAAGAGACGATGCAATGGCTTTAGCGACACTAATAATATTGAAAATGCCATGATTGTTTCTCGCGACTGTTACGATCAAGTCATGGCGTGTGCTGATTCGGCCGTTCCCTTTCATCAAGATTGGTTCTACCAAGTGCCGCACATGACCAAGGAACGGCTCTTGCAGCAGCATCAGCCCATACAACAAGAGGACTCTCTCGAATCCCTCGACGGACAGCTCCAACAAGTCAAGCGTCGGTTTGGTCCCGCCGCGGAACGATGTGCCGATGCCGTTCATCAATCGGGATTGTTCCAGACACAACCCCATCAAGAATTCGAATTGGCACGACGGGCATGCAATCCGTATGAAGTCCTGGGAGAAACCAGACAGGGTGGACTCAATCACGGACTCTTTCTCAACCGATCCGCCATCAAATTGGCCAATATTGACGCTCAATTGGACTTTGGATTATTGTTGCATTCTAGTAACAACAACAACAATTTGCCATTTACATTTGTCGACTTGTGCGCTGCTCCCGGTGGATTTAGTGAATACATTCTACGACGGTTCTGTCACAACATTACTACCCAACAACAACAAGGACAGCAACAACAATCGTGTCGGGGATTTGGCATGTCGCTGCAGGGAAACAACGAACAAGGACATGGGACGGAATGGAAATTGAGTGACGGACCCATTCTCCTCGGGCGCAATCAGAATGGACCGTCCGTCCACTATCACATTTGCACCGGAGCCGATGGAACCGGCGATATCTTTCAATGGCACAATGTGCAAGCTCTCCAACAAATGATTGCCAAACACACAAAGCAACAACAGCAACCACTCGTCCATCTCGTCTTGGCCGATGGCGGCGTCGATGCCCAACGCAACGTGGCACATCCCGAAGGAGAAACGCAAAAATTGGTCGTCTGTCAGACCGCGGCGGCCTTGAGTATGCTACAACCCGGAGGACGATTCATTTTGAAATTGTTATCGTGTCAAACTACACCCGTCTTGCAATCCGTCCTGCACGAATTGCTCTTGTGCTTTGATTCCATCGCCGTACTCAAACCCATTAGCAGTCGTCCCGCATCGGCCGAACGATACTTGGTGTGCTCGGGATTTCAGGGCAACAATAACAACAACAATAATGATCCCTTTGATGGTCCTCGTTGGATCAGCCGCGTCTTGTTGGGACAACGACCAGTTCCACCGGCATTGGTGCAGTGGTTGGCACGGATTGATCGAGATATGATTCATCTCAATCTCAAGGCGTGTTTCAAAATGTTGTCCCATCTTGAATCCAAAACCATTCGATTGGCCAGTGACAAGGCCGCCGAACGGCATGGAGCCGTCATGGCAGATACCGCCACTTGCATGGAACAAGATGACGATGACGAAGCGTGGATTGCACAAGGGTATCAGATCTATCAAGAACAAAAGGGACAACACAGCAATCTTCATCAACTCTATTACGAACAACAGTCTTCGTCCAATGTCAATGTCGAAGACTATCGCATGGCGTGGAGATTGTTTTGATTCATTCAGCAAGTACATAGTCAACGGCAATCTACAGCACTGCGACGCTACCGACAGCGAGAGTCGAGTCACAGAGTCACAGAGACACCACTACGGTACATTTTTGAGCAAGAGAAAACGATCCAGCGGGAGGCCGTTCGAGCAAGGGCTACGATACAAAACTACAAAACGCAGACAACAATAAAGTAAAAACGGAATCTATATATTGAATCCACGATACCTTACCGTAGTTTCAGGAAGTGAACAACTCTCACTACCGTAGTGCTGGCTTGCTCTCGCCTTGCCGATATGCATACGCCCCACACAAGCTCCCAGAGAATTGCAGTGTCCCCCATCGTAGAATCAGGACACACCCCTCTGGCGCCATTCAAAAGCAGCCTTTGGCAGAGGTCTCGGGAAGTGCCTCACCACAAAACTGATAATAATTGAGCCAATATCATGCTAGCATTCCACCTCGTTGACAGCCTCAGGCATTTTCAAACCCTTGGAGGCTGAACCATTCCAAGCACTGGGCATATTCCCCACAGGTCTTGGAGGTTGCTTCGAGGAATGCTTGGGACTGCACTTGGGGGTTGTTTCAGGCGAAATCTTCTCCGTGTCCTTGCCCCACAACTTTCTGACCCTCATAGCCAGACTCCAAATGTGTTTCGTTGGGTCCTTGTTGCCTTGCTTTGTGCCGACCTTTCTTCCAGTTCCATACAGAAGCTCTTCATCATCCGGGGCCCCATCAACGTCCACTTCGGGCTCAGCGCCCATGCTGGATGGGGTGTCAGACCCTGCCAAGCTCTCACCAGTTTGGTCCAACAAGGACGCAAATGACGACAGCATTGCTTCGCTGTTCTTGCTGCTTTTCACAGCCACCCAGTATGTCGTCATCAATCCCTTGCCTTTTGCCTCAACCTTGTCTTCCCGCTCTGTCAACCAATCTCGATGGCCATGACGAATCAGCTCGTCTGCAGTGGATTGAGATACCTGAATCTTTCCAGGAACTCCATTGCTTTTCATTCGAGACGCCGTGTTAATCGAATCTCCAAAAAGCTGGAAACGGCCTTTATCTCCACGCAATATTCCGCCTGTGATTGGACCCGAATGCATCCCAACTCTCAGTTTCAGGTTGGCCGTATCTGCACCCAGTCGGTCAGCGAGTTTGTTCCCAATGAGTCGTCCCATCCTCACTTGGCATGCTGCCGCAAACTTGGCCATCCGGGGAGCATGGTCCTCTTGAGGGTTAGGGACTCCCGTGACCCCCACCCAGCAATCCCCAATCGTCTCAATCTTATAGACACCATGCTTCAACGCGATACGGTAAAAGCTCTGAAAAATTGTTTCCAGCAATTCAAACACGTCTGAAGGAGTACGAGCTGAACTCCACTCGGTAAATCCAGCCAGATCCATGAGGAGGATAGTTGCGGATTCATAGAGAGTTGCAATTGCCTTTGTGCTTTCCTCTTGAAATCCTGCTTCACCTGGATCCTTCCACTTTCTCCTTTCAGCATTGCCTTTGGGGTCGTCTTCAAACAGACGATCCCTAACTTGCTCTGGGTACAGGGTGGAAATAAGAGCGCGGGACTCCACAGCTTTCTTCAACACAACCTGCTGTCGTCGGGTGACAAGCCAGTCAAACACGACCAGCACCAAGATGGTGAACAAAAAGACAGAGGCCACATTGGAAGCGTACACTGCTGGTTTGTTAGTAATGTACTGGCTCTCAAGTTCTTCCGTGGGATAAATGTACAGGACGTATTCCCCAAAATCAACTTCCACGGCGTCAAATGCTTGGTTCCTGGGGCTGTGTAGGACCTGCAAGGTTTCTTCCATGTCTTGGAAGACAAACATGTCATCATAGTTGGAGGCATGGGAATCTTGGATCCCAAGGTGGGTTGCTTTTGGACCTTCTATGAGATAACTGAAGGGCTCACTCTGTTTGCTCTTGATTACAGCAATAAAGCCTCCAACATTTTCAGGAACAATCTTCTCAAAGTTTAGGCGCCACATCAGGGGCGACAGCAAGAAACCAGCTACTGTCCTGTTTGCTCCAGGGTAAATCAGAGAAGTTGTAGCATCTCCCGCGAAGAATTGCAACTCATGTCTGTATTGTCCACGTTGGATGTAATCATTTGTAATTCTGATCGGAAGTAATTCCTCGAGTGTGATGTTACTGGGATCGCGGACACCAACTGCACGACCTAGTGCCGCGTGTTGAGTTTCGAGCACAGAGACGATCGAATCAGCTACGACCCGACGGGAAAAGAGATCTCTATTCAGTAGGAATTGCATAGGAAGGATGGGGGGCATCTATTGCACAAGCATTATGGGATGAGAGTGTTTCGGGCGGCCATGCGAATAATGCAACGCTGGGCTGCAACAGAAAACTTACATGCCAGAATGGTGCATACGGTCCGCTTCCTGGTGGCTGTGGAATTGGTGGTGGGGGGCCACTCTCCGGTGGAGGTCCTGGGCCAAGAATCTGCCTGTTGAAGCCCCGCGGCTCGGGTAGTTCTTCCTCCCCAGCTGTTTGTGCTTCTTCGAGGGCCCTATCTGGCGGCTGATGTCCATCCTCAGCAGGTGTACCTTGCCCTTGTGTTGATTGTAGTTCATTCTCTCCCGGCGGCCCTTCCTCCAATGGCTCTTCCTCCGATGGCTCTTCGTTTTCTGATCCGTCTGAACCGGGAGCATTCTTGATCACAGCTTCCTCAAACCCAAAGTATTGATTCTGCAACTCCATGAATTTGAGTTCCTCCTTCCACTGATCTTGCTGCCACTGCTTGTGGTTAAAGGCGTATTCTTCCCAGCCAAGTCGATTCTCCTTGGTCGCCAGGGGGGGCATACTCCACGTTGATGGCATCTGCTTGTACCCTCGTTTGACCAGCCAACATGATCCAGTTATCAATTGTCACGTTGGGAAAGCTCAGACCATTGCTCAATGCGTAGTTGGTGATAGTGGTGGAGAGCCCTCCAATGGTCACAATCTTGCGATCTACCGAATCAATGAATGACTCTGCCAACTTGTTCGCGTAGGTTTCAAAAACATCTTGAAAGTCGTTCTCTTGTTCATTTTTGGTGTAGAAGTAGACCGCCGATGTCACGGCAATGGCCGTCAAATGACAACACAGTAGACAGCAACACGAACGCAAGCAACGGCTTTCTCCTCCTTTCGTTGTAGCAGCTTGTTCTTCTCCTCAGTTTCCTGCAGCTGACGAGCTGTGGGCTTGGCCCGGTCAACGTGGCTTGAGTCAATGCATTCGCTTTCGTCCACCATGATGCTTGGGTCTTCTTCCTGGACGGCCGGCATGGTTCGAATACAGTTCTTGGCCTCTTGGATCAAATCTCTTTTATTAAGAATTTTTATTTGGAAAAAGTAACTGATGCAGGATTCGGAGGATGAGCCACGCAAAATGACAAAGCAGTTTTCTCAAGGGCCTGCTTCGCCCGGTCCAATACTGTTTTCACGCCATCGTCAAGCTCTTGCCCGTGCCACGACAATGTGTTTGAGAGGCTCCCGTGTCTCAGCTCTCAAGGTTTCCAAGCGTTGGGATGACTGTGGTGCCCTCGATCTCTTCCGCTAGTCTTGCTCCTTTGCTCCTCCCTGCACTCCTGCCTTCACCCCTTTCCTTGGTTTCCATGTTGCCCTGCTTGCGCACTTGATTGCCTGCCTTGCGTTCCTGCGTCATGCCCTCCCCTTGAGCTCTGTCTCCATCCTCATCTTAGCTCTCTCTAATCCATAGTAAACCCGATTCATCACATCGTCAAGCTATCGAATGCTCCGTGGCCAGTGGCGAAAGAGGTTACTCGGAGTATGTTGTACTCCGGTATGCCAGTACGCTCTGACAAGGAATTTCCTATTGGTGCACGTTACTCAGTGGCGAGCAAACTACCCCCGTTGTCAACTACGGTATGCATGCATGCATACGGTACAGTACTTTTTCTGGATCAAGGGAGACGTTCTGTGAGCTGTGAGCTGCAGTACTGGTAGGGTGGTACTGTAGGTAGGTGCTGTTGCAAGTTGCGGCTTCGGTGACCAGCGCTTCTAAAAAGCGAGGGCTTAAAAATGCTCGTGACATGAAGAACTCGTGACCCAGTTGTCAAAAGGTCGACCATGGCGCATGTATGCATACGTACCGGTACCAGTACAAGAAAGCCGCCACCATGAGCTACGCCGCCGCTGCTACTACGGGCCTTCCCATGGCTGCCATCCCGGGGAGCAACAACAGCAAACGCTCGCAGCGCAACATTGTCCTGACGCGTATGAAAGACAAATGCCAAGGCAGCAACAATCCTAAAAAGACGCCCAAATCTTCCATAGTGGAACGCCTTCAAGCCTGTTTGGAAAATGACAAGATTCGTGATTTGTACTTGGTTGCCAAGGATGGAGTACGTGTCCCTGCCTTGCGCTGCGTCTTGGCCAGTGCCAGTCCAGTACTGGAACGAATGCTCTACGGAGACTTTTGCGAATCTCATCAAACCGAAATTGAATTGGGAGAGGACGGCAGAAGTAGTAGCAAGACGTTGGAAGCCTTGGTGGAATTCTGTTGTTCCGATCAATTGACCACGACGCGATGGAAAGACTTGGATACCGCCACCATGATGGAAGATGTCATGAGTGTTGCTCGATTGGGACACACGTACACCATGCCAGCCCTGCAAGAAGCGGTTCATGATTTGGTGTTGCCTCGCTTACAGGAAGACCCATCGTTGGCGTGTGTTGTCTTGAAGGGTGCCAATCCCATGTCCACGCCAGAATTGTATGCGGCAGCCATGGAAATTATTCGAATTCAGCCCTACATGGCACTGAAAAGTTCTCCATCAGCAACTGCCAAAACATCCAACAAGGAAGACGAAGAGGACGAGGAAGAAACAATGCTGGAGCAACAATCGACTACCACAAATACCACTAGCACTACTCGTGGCGGAATTGTGTGTTTGCCACCAGAACAACTGGAAGAAATTCTCCAGGAAGATGTAGAATGCGATGAGTTCTTCCTGTTTCAATGCCTTCTCGATTGGAGAGATTACAACCAAGACACCTTGGATGCGGACGTGAATGTCATTTGTGAGCAACTCGTCCGACGCCACATCCGTCTAGCTTGCATTGATCCAGAGGATTTGAAATCAACCGTCATGTCTTCTGGATTTGTCAGCCAAGAACTGCTGTTGGAAGCTTTCATGCAACAAGCACTTTTGGCTTCCAGGGACGGAATCACGTTTGCCACGCTTCGCAGTGCCCCCGAGGGAGAACAGCATCAGGGACATGTGTTGGTACAAGGAGCAGGCCACTCCGAGTGCAACGGACTGTATACACAGCAACGCAATCTATCGTTTCCGCCTTTGGTCTACTACAGTCGATACAGTCACGTCGACGGGGAAACATACTATCTCGTGAAAGATCGCACGGATCCAAACTGGAAAATCAGTGCCAATGGGACGACCTTTTACGAATGGAAGACATGCGAACAGTCAGAGGATGCTGCCGTGGATCGAGCAAAGCATATTCCTCCTCAGAAGGGTTGGTCCGTGCACTTGCCGTGTGCCTCCACTTCTGCACAATTGTCGATACCAACGTGCAAGTTCTTTCGGCCCGCTACTTCTACTAGTAGTGCTAGAAACGGCAAGACGACAGCAGCCATCCAGGACTAAACGTAGTAAAGAAGATGTCAAAAGAAAGAATGGAGGCACCAAAACCAGCAGGTCGTGGAACCGTATCTTATTAGCGGTGTCTATGTACAAAGGCCAATCCGAAACTGACAGCTAGCCTGGGGTCCAGGATCCATTGATAGCTGTGGCTGGCGCCTGCTTCTGCACTCTCTTCTAGTTTCGTATTGCAGGTTGAGTGTCGTTGCCTCTTTGATTTGGATTTCGTTCTTGCCAGGGCCTTGTCGTCGCGGAAAGCAGTGTTGGCAGGGGACGCCAGCCCCGCGGGAGTTGAGGCGAAAAAACGGATTTCTCCACTGATTTCTCCACTGATTTCTCTCACACTTTGCCAGTGGCAAACAACGAGAGAGACAAGCAACAGGAGGAACTTGCGTCAACAAAGGACAAGCAATACGTAGAGAGATGATGGGTGAGACAGAAGAAAAGCTTTGTTTGGTTGTTTGGAATTGTGGCGGTTTGCGTTTGTCGCCGCTGACGCCTTCTCGTTGCTTTTCGTTTGCGCAGGCCTCTTTTTCGGCGTTTTTGCCATTGTCGCCATTGGCGTCCTTTGTTGTCTTCCCTTGGCTATTTTCATACTATGTCTCTCTCTTGGCTATCTCCGACTTGAGCTACGAAAATTGACTTCCGAAGAAATTGCCGAAGGTGGCGCCGTCGTCCTCGACGACAAGTCAGGAGATCGCTTTGCCGCTGTCGTCGAGGAAGGTGACAAGTCAGGAGATCGCTACGTATCTGAATTCGTCATCAAAGCAAAACGAGGCACCGTTTTGCACGGTGCCATCAAAATATCCACCGCCATCCTTAAATTGCAGCTTATGCTTTTGTTTGTCACTGGCCTGTATGGGTCACAAGAAGGGTTCTCGCTCTTGCGCGGAGTTGCGTGCATCACGCGCTTCTGTGTCGGGGCAACAGTGTTGTTCGGTTTGGCGTTGGTTCCTGCCATCTTGTTGAACATTGCAGCCGCCAAACTAACATACACTATGCTGGCTCTGCGGGTTCCTGTGCGAATAGCTTCGTCCTATTGGCTTCAACTCTCTTCGTCCATGCTCGGAGGAACCAGCTCCAAGATTTGCTAGGGAGGAAAAGGAACACAAACGCTCACATGCCCAGCCTACATACCGGTATTGGTACCGGATTTTGATAGATGATCCAAAGAGCAAACGCAAAAACTCTCTCTAGTAGCCTACTGAATCGAAGCGATTCGTTATTGCCCGAAGAAATTCACTCTTTACCACAGCCCACAGCCGGCGCCATTCACCCTTCTGACAAGTCAAAAGCCGCCGTAAACACTTCCAAGCCAAAGTTTCCCGTTTCCTCGTCCTGGCCCTGCACTAGCAAGTAGTAAAAATCATTTGGTTGTGATGGCCAGGTAATAGACATTCCAAAATATGTGGCACCGTCTTCGTTCACTTCACAGTCACTTGGCTTGACAGCAACACATTGTAGATCAATACAACTTCCAAAGTAGACTGCAATCTTCATGTCAAAGTTGGTGTAGGGCGAGCAGGTGGAGGCAGTGATATTCTCCCCGGTGCCAATCAAGGAGTAAAAGAGGCCACGACCTGTTGTGCCCCGCCCTTCGCTTCCGCAGGTGGGCACATAATCGTCAAAAGTAGCACTTCTTGTTGAACCAAAGGTAGTCAATCCATCATCCACAGTCAAAGGACCAATAGTACCTTCGCAGTTATCGTTTGAACTTGTTTCTTCCAGAGTAAAGACAAAATCACCAGAAGCTGATGGATCCTGACCATGAATGAGAAAGTAGTAAGTTTGGTTTGGGATAGTTCTCCATGTCACGGCATTTTGATCACCACAGGGCGACGACTCCGAAGCTGAAGTCGGCAGACATGCAATGTAAGAGCAGTCTGCAGCTCCTTCGTAGACAGAAACCCGAGCTGAAAAGCCAGTGTTGGAGGAGCAGGTTGAAGCAGTCCAGGTTTGGCCTGTTCCAACTGCTTGATACCATGAGCCAGGACTGCCTTCTTCTCCTCCACCACCACCAAACCCACAAAATGCAATGGATTGTGTATCATTGTTGGAGATTGTACTTCCTAAATTTGAAGTTCCATCAGCTGAGATTGTGATGGCCACTTGACAGCTGGGAGACAGATCGGGCACAGCATCATCATACCATACTTCAAAATAACCTTCCCTGCTGTCATAACCGTGAACAAGAATGAGGTACTCGACCCCTGCCTCTGTAAACCACGAAACTGCACTTTGGTCTCCACAGAATTGGTCATTGCCATCAACGCAAACCAAGCTATCACAGGATCCTGTATACACTGAGATTTGTGTATCCAAGAAATCTCGTCCAAAGTCAGGTGTCTCAGCAGTCACATTTGGGCAGGTGGACACAGTCATGGCCCTTCCAGTGCCAACAGCCGAATACCAAAGACCACTTGATGTGTGCCACACCTGGTCACCACAGCTGGGTGCAGTATCCAACCCAAAACGTGTTGTTGGCGTCCAGGCTTGGAAACCAACCTGGTTCGGCTCAAGAGCGAACGTTTCATTGTTTGACACGGCTTCACAATATGCATTATCTGGTGTCCGGAAAGAGAAACCCGCCTGTGCCCACGTGATCGACAATTCAAAGCTGGTTTCTGTTGCTGTAGTGTTGCCGTAGACCAGAAGATAAAATGTCACTCCTTCTTCACGATCAAACTCGTCGAAGTCGTCAACATGTACGCAGCTTAGCCTGCTGCAAGAACCCTTGTAAACAGCAACGTTCAACCCAGATCCAATGTATAACGAAGGGGAGTCATCCTGTCCATCAATTGCGTACCAAACGCCAATGCCAGAAGGTTTTTGTGAATTGTCATCGCAGTCAGGCAGCAGGTCTGAGTCCAACAGCTCGGCTCCTTGCATGGAACTTTCAATCACAAAACTTCCACGGCCGTTAAACACGGGTTGCGAAATGTTGAAAGCACCCTCACACTGTCCATTTTTTTCTTCCAGTATTTCCATCTCAAAGTCTCCAGTGTAGAACCTGTATCCATGAACCAGGACAAGATATTCTGTATGAGCCTGTCCAAACCATTGCACATAGCTCTTATCACCACAAAAGTCATACTGGTCGCTGCCAGCGACGCAGACTGCAGCATCACAAGGATGCCCATCAAAGGCTGCTCCTCCCTGGTAGACTGAAAGTTGTGTATCATAGTTGGTACCACTACCACAGGTATGAACACGTAACCAAGCGTCATTTCCTTTCACGTTGAACCACTGGCCTCTGCCATTGCTCCTAATATCTCCACATGTAGCCACACTCTCATCCAATGTGTTGCGTGATGTAGCATCTCTTACAACTGTGTTAACTTGCATTTCATGTGATCCTCTGCAAAAGTCATTGGTGAAGAAGGATGGTGCCATGGAGGGAACTGCAGATGGCACAAGAGTAGTGGGTGCTGCAGAGGGTTCCACGGTAATGATGACTTCCTTTCGTGTAAGTGACACTGCCAGCACCACTGCTACGACAACAAGGAGCAAAAACCCAATTCCAAACAGAATCAGCCTTTGTTGGTTGGAATGTTCGTCCTCGCCATCTCTTTTGTCCGGATTTGTTGTTACAACTTCTGCCCTGGCTACATTGGATAGTAGACGTTCTTCTGCATCTTTTTCTGCCTGTTGACGAATGGCTTCCTCATCTATTTCTTCCCCAGGAGTTACCAATGTAGCAACTGCTGTGACTTCTAACACTTCATTGGCTGGCGGTGTTGGGTTGGCAGTGTCCAACACCGGAGGAGGAGCAACCACCATTGCTGGGTCGGTTCGTTGTGAGTGAGGAAGGGAAGAGACTGAGTCAAGTGCTCCAGGTAGCACTTCAGCTGGGGTTTGACGTCTGAATTTGGTGTCCTCCAAGCCGTTTCCGCGTGGTCTTTTCGTTGATGGGGATTGAGGAGGCGGAGATTCACTTGTAGAAGGGCCAGTTTCCATCTTCTGTTTAGCCCTCCTCTGCTTTATTGCCTGCTTTATTGCATTGTCCCCAGGGGCTGGGGTTCGGGGCAATTCACTGATGTTGCTGTTCTCTCTCGAGCGTGATACACGGCTTGTCGGCTCGTTTGGATTCAGGCTTGACCCATCACCCGGAACACTCGAGCCGATGCTGATGTTGCTTTGCCTTCCCATCTTCTTCTCTTCGGGAGCGTGGATGTCGCGAAATTTAATAGTCCAGTAATTTGAACCAAACTCTGACTTCTTCGAGTTCAGATGTTCAGATTTCGAAACTCTGGGGATGGTTCGAATGCGACAAGCTCACGAACTTCAGGAGCCTTGAGGTTTGCTGTTGGTTATTGGGTCTATGTTCATATCAACGTTTGCGCATCTCTCTTATCGTTGTTCGTGGCTTTGAAAACGGAATGCTACCGTACCGTACCGGTACATTGGTGTGTTTGTTAAAAGATGATGGTGGGCGATGAAAAGACGGCTTCGGAGTGGGCTGACTGATGAGTCGTGTCTTTTTTGTGAATGAAAGATTTATTATGGCCCCCTTCAAAGGGGTGGGGTATGGGAAAATCCAGGTTACTGGTAAAGTAGAGTACAATTTTTCCCCACAAGACTTCGCTAACTGTACAGTAAGGTACACAGTGCCGAATTCAAAAAATGTCACTTAAACCGTTGGAGTCTTGTGGAACAAGAGAAGACTTATTCGTGGAGGTGCATTGTACCTCTGTTTTCGAACGACCTCACTTTTTGCAATCTCCGTGGAGTCGTCGAGTCATTGAAAGTCAACACACCACTACAGTAGAGACACTACAGCACCATGTTCCTTACTGCTAGTCATGCATTCAAACAGTGGCTAGATGTTAACAGTCGCTACCCTTACAATGAGTTGAGGAAAACCAGGCAGACTTATAAGCTCAAGTATGTTTTGCTGGAGGATCAAACTGATAGGGAAGATCCCAAAACTCAGTACTTGCTTGTAAAGACCAGATACCTTTCCAGTGGAATCCTTGAGCAACTCATCATGGAAGGGAATGCGCTGCCAATGACTCCTGATCAGACTTGGCTCTTGGAGGAGATGTTTGTGTGGGGTGTCAGGCACAGCAATGAATGATACAGTGAAGTGTTGTCTGAACTGGCATGGCAAGTGTATGAGCATGAACCTGTTACAAGGAAAGAGATGTGCAGGGAGGTAATCAAACCACTTATGAGAGGTGCCCTTCACCAGCAAGGTATTGGTGGAGACCATATTGAAGTCAAGTCTTTGTTACTTACAGAGTGGGAAGAGTGGTTTGACACTGAGTGCTGGAGCCAGCACAAGAACAACCTGAGTGGCATGACAATCAGTAGTGAGCAGTACATTATCAACAGAGCTGCATTCACTCTTCATCATGGTGGCTACTCTTACCCAATGCACCTTGACTGATTCATGTCTGTTCAGAGAGAGTTTAAAAGAAAGGAAGCAACAACTGTAAGATTGTTGTTGTTTGTTATCCAATAAGTGTCACCAGTAACAGTAGTAGCCAAAACAAATCTTTATGTCAAACCAATTGTTCCTTTCAGTGCTGTTCTTGTGGGTTTGTTTACAGCATGTAGGCCCAAAGCCATCATCAGCGCCATGGTAGTCCTTGAGCTGCCAACAGTTGCCACAATAGTTCCTTGTACAATATTTTCCAAGTCCTTCTCCTTCTACATGATCCTTTCTCTTGTGCCCACAAGTTACACAGTAGCGCCTGCTTCTAAAGACCTTCCTTGGTGGTCTCTTTGGTGATGCTTCTCTTGGAGGTGGGGGCGCTGCTATTCCATAAAGCGCCACATTTCTGTTCCTGTGAAGCAATTGCTGTTGCACTCCATCAATCCTGCCCATTGCTATTGCTGTATTCAGAGTTGTAGGATTCCCAAATGGAGTGCGACTACCCTGATGTTGAACATAGTTTGGTGGTTGTGTTCTGTGGGTTATTGCTGGATTGTTGGGGAGAGCGTTCCTTGTTTCTCTAAGCTGTCGGTTCAATTGTTGTCGGTTTGGATCATTGGCTCCTGTGGCGGTGGCTTGTAAGGTACGGTGCTCTCTTGTCTGCCGAAGGAAGTTCTCCAGCTGAAGCCTGCTCTTTCGATTGATTTGAATAATGGAGTCATCTCCTTTACTCTATTCACGGAAGCGCCTGGCTACCGCATTGTTCCAGTTTCTTTCGAATGCCCTGTAATTAGGCTTGCCTCTTCCTTGGAGATTATAGTTCCCATGCTCCACATTAAACAAACGTTCCTCTTCTCTGTCCACGTCAGTAGCAGGAGTGCTTGAATCCGGAGATCGAAAAGGTATCCAGGGCTGCTTGTTACTTAACTTCGTGAAGGCCTGCAGTGTAGTTTCGCGACCATTGGAATCAGGTAAGAGCTTGGCCAGCTCATCTTGAATGAGTTGTCGATTTAAGGCGTCATTGTGTCGAACGGCCTCACTCTGTTGAATGTCTTCCAGGTGCTGTTCCATATCATTCTCAGTGGCCTCATTGGGTTCGCCGGTTAAGTCAACTGTCACCGGTACATCTTCATCATCACCATTCCTGCTAACTGGAACATTCTCCTCTTCTTCATCCCCACTGTTGTAGTTGGTACCACCAGCTGTAGGATTGGACACATCATGGACAGCTTCCGCGACCTTGTAGCAAAAGCCCATGAATTCTTCTTCAGCCTTGTCATCGACAGTGGGTGCTGAAATTCCCTTGAAGGGCAACTCGCTCTCCTTATATCCAACCTTTTTGGCGATTGAATTCAGCAAGAGGAGCCTTTCAGTATCGACAATCCCATAGTCCTCTTCACCAAGACGAATAATTGCCTTCCTCTGATTCCTTTCTTCAAAGAAACATGTCATTAATCGATCACCTCGATGAATTCCTTATAGTACGAAAATCAATAGTGAGTGCGGTCAAAAAGGAAAGATCGAGGGCATTAAGTCGACTGGGTATCACTTACCGATGTGGGTAGCAGTCAATATCTTATATGCAAGATCGAGATTGTCTCTTTCGTTTGTGTTGGTTCCCCTTGCCACAAAAGTGACACCTGTGGCTGGATTTGTTCGAAAGATATCAACTCCAGTTGGATCCGACAGACAACCCTTGTCAATGTATGTAAACAGTTGCTTTATCTTGTCACGCGTTGCTCTGTCATTTTTCAGAAAAAGGCGACCAGAAGGGGTATCCTCTTGGTTGCCGCCAACAGTTGGAGCAGTGGACAAAGCCATTTTGGTTTCAGCATCCTTTGCGCGAACCTACTCCAGTACAGCTTCTACGTTCTTCCTCAGTTGGTCAGGACGAGGAATGACAGCATTGGCTTCCTTCATGATTTCCTTGTGTGTTGGCTCTTGCTTCTTCTTCTGCTCGAGGAAGACCTTGGCACGATCATATTCACTTGGCTCGACAAGGAAAACAGCCCTGCTGAGTAACCCACGAAAGATTCCTCCTTGTGCTGAGTTCTGATCTCTAAGACACTGATTCCAGCGCTTCTGCCAGTGGAACACATCAAGGAGTATCTTCACTTCTTGGCCAAAGATTCGCTTAAGTGTGGTGTGCACTTGGCAACAGTTGTCCACATAAACGACCTTGACAGCATCAGTCAACTCGACCTCAACAGTTGGTATCTCCTGACCATCAGCAACAAAATTTCGCGCCATTTCCATTCTCCGTGTTGTCTCCTTGGCTTTCTTGTTCCTTTTCAATCTGTTGTTCAACCTGACCAAATCCGGTTCAACCTCACTGAAAGACTCAGAGTGCTTCAGGGCTTTCCAGAAAACTGTAAGTCCATCTTCATTCTGAATGGTGATGATACAGCGGTAGGGGCAGAAGCTTTTCCCAGCGCCAGTCCAAACTCTGATCTTGGATGCCAGCTTATAATTGAAGTCAATCTTGATTATCTCAGCAGTCAATCCCTTCATCTTGCTCTCTTGATATTCCTTTCTGTGTTGGAACACAGTGGTGACCAAGCTGTCAATCATGTACTTGCTGATGAACCGACCATCGTATCCTTTCCTGTCATTGAATTTCGAAAAGAGAGGTGGTTTGTTATCTCCCTCTTCCCCTTCTTGACCGTCTTCATTATCTTCCCTGGGCAATCCATTCTGTTCTATGTACTCCCCAATGGCGTCACTGGCTACCTGCAGCTCCAGCTCAGCACCGATGAGCTCCTCTTCAAATTGCTCAACACGGACTTGGTGGGTGGCATAATAGGCTTTTACCTTCTGCTGCCAAACCTTCAATTTCTTGCCCAATCGAGTGGGGTGATCGTCAGGGTCCACTGCTAGTAATTCCTGCATGGATCCCACGCCCAAACCAATCAGCTGTCTCAATTTGGTGCCCCCAACACCAGGAAGAATGTTCTTGTTGGCTCCAAAGTGATTCCGGTCATCCTTTGCACGAAGAATGCTTCTGAATTGTACATCACCGCTAGCTTTGCCCTTGGCTGATGAAAGGAGGAGCCTGATGCGTGTGACATTATTCTCCTTGACATTCTTGACCGATTGGAGAGTTCTTAGTTGGTCGTCGCTTTGAATAAAAACATAGTCATCCATTGTTTTGGCTTTCTTCTTGGGCCGACAATCAATCTTGTCTCTTCCGACTGCCGACAGGTACAGTTCGAAGTCATCGTAGTATGCACTGTACGCATGACGCTTTAGACGGTTCGCGATACTGGCAGTGGATTCTGTAGATGCCTCCAGAACAATCAAACTGTACAGTTCCTCATCCACAGCGTATTTGGGGCCCAAATAAAAATTGAAGCTTGATCCGTAGATACTGGCATCTAATTTCATGCTTTCTTTGTTGTAGCCTGCAAACCGTCTGCCGCAAAGGTTGCAGGGGTATAGAACAGTGTCCATGTACCGGTGTCGGTGTACTCCATACATCACTTTTGGGTTGTTGATCCACCTTGTTTTCGTCACATCCACATAATCGTTCTTCTTGCAATGAGGACACTTGGGGATATGCTTCTCGAATAGTAGATGGGGT